AGGCAAAGCAGGAGGAAGAGATACAAGCGCCAAGTGAAAGACATCTTAACTCCACTGGGGTGCAGACAGACGAGATATCACCTGACCTCGAGATATCACCTGAACCTCAGCAGTTGGAAACTCCTGCTATTATTATTATTACAAACACAAACACAGCCATGAGCTCCTCCACTAGTAGGATGGAACAGAACAGAACAGAAGAAGTGACCAATTATGACTTTCAGGGTTTTGACTCAGTGGAATTAAACCCGCTTCCTTCTGGAGTCGGCCAGGATTCAGAGGACTTAGATGAACAGGACCAAATTGGCTCACCTGACTCCGTAAAGAAATCATCTCCAGAAGAGACCAAAAAGTCAGGCATGAGAGGGCTCATCAGCAGGATGAAAGCTATTTCTGTCCAAACATTTGCTCAAGAGTCAATCCTGAAGGTGAGGTCTAGAGTCAGACGTAGGCTGGCCCACCGTCGAAGACAGGAAGCTGACAGTTCAGATACTTCAATGCTTCTGGAGAGTGAGGATAGTCTTTCAAATGAGATAATTACACCCGAAGATCAGCATACAAACAGTGAGTCTGAAGAGATTGGGCCTTCCACTGCCCTCTGTAAAAGTGACTGTGAGCGTCGTCTGCAGGATGAGAGCATCACAAATGAAAGGAACAGGAGCCTCTTGACTGAGAAGGTGGCGAGTCTTGAAACAAGACTGGATGAAAAAGAGTTAGAAAATGGAAATTTGGTGGCAGAAATTGACGATTTGAAGGAAAGGAATTGGCGTCAAGAAAAGCATTATGGAGAGAAAGTGTTTCACCCCACAACAGCCTTGGAACAAGCTCAGGACAACGAAAGGACCCTGAACCAGCATTCAGAGGAAACAATCAGGAAGCTCAGAGAAGAGCTCAAGACAAAGCAGGAGGAAGAGATACTAGCGCCAAGTGAAAGACATCTTAACTCCACTGGGGTGCAGACAGACGAGATATCACCTGACCTCGAGATATCACCTGAACCTCAGCAGCTGGAAACTCCTGCTGCTGAGGCTCAGAGTGAGAGCCTGTGGAAGCGCTCTCTCAGAGGTGCACTGAGCGTAGGCAAGTTCATCGGTGTGTCCTCTGCATGTGCACTTGTTGCAGTGGGTATACTGTCCATTGGATTGATTGCTCATTGTGATTGCCCATGTGATCCTTTCTCCCACCTGTTGGAATCATTGACTATTCACAACACAGGACACCCCTCTTAAACAGGACCAACACTTCTTTTCCCCAATACAGTTTAATTAATGCAAGGAAGGAGTGGAGGTGCAGTGGTTAGCACTGTCACCTTCAGGATAAAGGTCTCCCTATTTGAATTTTACATTTTCTCTCCATCACACAGGGGTTTACTCCAGGTGCTCTGGTTTCCCCCCACAAGATATTTAGTATCTTAAAAAAAAAAATTCCCCCTCCTCGAGCTACCACCTTACCGTGGTGGAGGGGTTTGTGTGTCCCAGTGATCCCCCAGGAGCAAACAGGTCCTGGGGGGACCAGACTAAGAGTAGCTCAAACAGACCCATTATGATGAACAAAATATTTGGCACCAAGTTTCCCTCGCCTGGACGTGGGTCACTGGGACCTTGGCGGTCTGATCCTCGGCTGCAGAGGCTAGTTCTAGGGACATGGAATGTCACCACTGTCACCTTCAGGATAAAGGTCTCCGTAATCAAATTGTGCATTTTCTCCCCATAACACTGTAGGTTTCCACCAGGTGCTATGGTTTCCTCCCACAGCCCCAAAATGGCAGAACTCAGTAACTAAATAAAAAAAAAACAAATACATATAATTTCATCAAGAGTGTGTTTTTACAAGGTTAACTTGGTTTAAAGTGAATCAGATTGTGTGAAGGTTGATGTACACAACTGCAAAATCTTATGTCAGCTGTGTGGGTTTTTTCCTTTTCACATTTTGATAACAAGGTAAAAAGAAGGTGACTAAAAACAATGTCTTACTACTAGAGGTGCAATAGAAGACTATCGCCAATTAGGTTTTCAGCTGTACTCCACAAACCAGGCCTTGATTGCGGTATGCTGGCCAATTTTAGGCCATCTCCAAGCTTCCCTTTATTTCAAAAATGTTAGAAAGTTGTTCATGTTCAGCTAAAGTCTTTTCTGGTTGAGCATGGAGGTCTTCCAGTCTGGTTTTAAAACTCTTCACAGCACAGAGTCTGCTTTATTAAGAGTTTTAAATGACATCCTCCAGGCAAATGACTCTGGTGATTATGTTATTCTTGTTCTGTTGGATCTAACTGCAGCTTTTGACAGTGGACCACAATACTCTGGTGGTCACACAAAAACACAAAAACACACAAACACAGTATCGTATAGTATGGTATTGTACCATATCATATCGTATCATATCATGTCATATAGTGTCATATTGTATCATATTGTTCCATATTATATCATATCATGTCAGAACACATTCTCCTCGTTAGTATAGTGGTGAGTATCCCCGCCTGTTAGGCGGGAGACCGGGGTTCGATTCCCCGACGGGGAGTGGAAATCAAAACAGAAAGTGTCTGTCTTCTCGCTGGGTGAAGCCACTCTGAGAACAGCACCCTCTGGTGACGGGCTGCAGTATAGGTCATAAAACCCTGTCAGCCATCCTTAAGAGGCTGAGGACAAATTTTAGAAATTAATCACACAGAACAGATTTTTTCCCCTTGCTTGCGATGTTGACATGTAGTTACTGTAAGACTGTTTTGTGCTCAAGTCCTCTTTTTTCTGTACAGCTCTATTTTTAAAAGTTCTTAGGGGGTTCATGTCCACACAGTGTGGACTGTCATGATGACAGTGTAATGCTCATGTACCAAAGGATTAAGTATTTCAATGTGTGGAAACCTACACTAAAGTACAATTCATCTAAATGCTTCACAGTGCTGATTTTAACAACTCTCCAGCACAACAGGTAACTTTACGACTTTATTGTAATATATTAATGACTTTACTCTCCTCAATAATAACTTTATTCTCGAAGATTTAAAAACGTTTTTTTTCTTAATGTGGCCCTCATACCCCGAGGAAATCTCACTCTTAGCTTAGTTCAAAACTTGAGAGCCCTGGAACTGAGTTGAGCCGAGCACAGCCTCAATGACCCAGACAGACCCAAAAAGAAGTACTATAAATGAGCACACTCACCAAACATTGCTGATATAGGATCAGATCAGGGTCAAAACATTAGACAGCTGCTCTTGGAGGTTTTCTGATACGTTCAGTTATTATATCATACAATGGGCACAATGATCACCTAATTGCACATGCAGAAATAGAGAAAAGATTTGACCTTACCCGTCAGCCATTTTAGTTTCTGCTAGAGTGCTATGTAATGTGATATTACTCTACCATGCTAGTTACAGTAATCTGTTCACTCAGTTATTGGCTGTATTTAATCATTACAGACCAGTTGTATCGGAAAGTACTCAGTACTCCATATTCAATACTCAAGCAGAGTATTACCATTGTGTTTTTTCCTCCTTAACCAAAAGTAGCTCCCCTTTAAGCCCCACTCCCCACCCAAACTAGCGATACCTTCCCTGTTCTTATCTCAGTACACTAATAGTCAGTGAAATAGCTGACACTAATCAGAAGCAAATGAGTGTAATAATGTAAAAAGACTAAAACATCATTTTAAAGAGTAACAATTGTCCATATACAATATTAGCATATGAGCTTGCTCTCAAACCATGTCTGTACTCCACAAGATCTCACTCCATTTTTCCATGAAAGAAGAATTGGACAGCGATTGAAATGAATCACACATTTTCTTTCAGTGTTTGTTTGTTTGGATAGTAATGATTGCATGAGGCTTCTTGATTAGCTTGCTAGCTAGTAGAAGTCGAATATGAGATCATTTTGTTTATCACCTAGAGATGAAGAGCAAATGTCTCTGAAAAAAAGACAGAATTACAAAAGACTAATGAAAATTCTTGATCTTGGCCAGTGGACCTAAACAAAAACTGTAGGATCCTATGTGAAATTGAGGCTTGTGTATGGTGCAAATCTAAGTTAAAACTTGACGACTTGACCTGTCACTGACACTGCTGTTAAAGTTAAATAATATCAAAAATTAAGATAATAGTAACATTTAATCACCTCTGAGAACAACTTGTAGTCAAATGTGCAAATGTCATGTGGGGACGAGTCGCAGTGATGCCAACTTGTTCACTTCCAGGAATGAATCAGATGAGCCTATTACAGCATGACGGTGCTAACCCATATTGTGCATGAATTACAACAAAATAGCTCTGCATTCAAAGAGTCTGCATGCTGAGGTAGCTTACCTGCAGTCTCAGCTTGCCAACCAAAAGTTGTGCAAAATTAAAAATAGAAAAAAGAAGACCCCAGCCTGTCACCAGCTGAGATCTTCCCTCAGGCAAAACAAGGAATAACTATCTATTTTTAAAACTCTACAGAAAGAGTTTTTTTTTTTTTTTAAAGGAGAAGTGACTCATCATGATGGCAGACATGTCCCTGCTATAACTTTTTGAAACTATGTGACCATGTGACTGTGATAAAAAAAAAAAAAACTTTCAACATCCGATTTGTCATTTTTACATATTGAATAAATGTGTTGCTTGATATTATGCAAAATATAAAAATATGAAACTGTGCAGGAAAAAAAAAAAGATTCCCTGGCTTGATTGAGCAGTTTTTTTGAAACATATTGTTCACTAAGATATCCATTTTAAGTTTTAAGTTGTGGCAGACTTATGTTGTGATCTGTTGCCATAGTAACTGGGGAAGCCAGAGGGAATTCCATGACTGTGCTTTGACATTACTATGATGTCATCAAAGTGATGACATCATAGTGATGTCATCACTTTGATGTCATCGAAGTGATGACATCACAGCCCTGAGGCATACCAAAAACTTGGTAATGACTACACCAAGGTAAGTAAGATCGAACTTTGCTTCAGGATCATTTTTAAAGGAGACACAAAACTGTTTTAACACCAACTTACAAACACAAACACAGCCATGAGCTCCTCCACTAGTAGGATGGAACAGAACAGAACAGAAGAAGCGACCAATTATGACTTTCAGGGTTTTGACTCAGAGGAAGAATTAAACCCGCTTCCTTCTGGAGTCGGCCAGGATTCAGAGGACTTAGATGAACAGGACCAAATTGGCTCACCTGACTCCGTAAATAAATCATCTCCAGAAGAGACCAAAAAGTCAGGCATGAGAGGGCTCATCAGCAGGATGAAAGCTATTTCTGTCCAAACATTTGCTCAAGAGTCAATCCTGAATGTGAGGTCTAGAGTCAGGCGTAGGCTGGCCCACCGTCAAGGACAGGAAGCTGTCAGTTCAGATACTTCAATGCTTCTGGAGAGTGAGGATAGTCTTTCAAATGAGATAATTACAACCGAAGATCAGCATACAAACAGTGAGTCTGAAGAGGTTTGGCCTTCCACTGCCCTCTGTAAAAGTGACTGTGAGCGTCGTCTCTTGACTGAGAAGGTGGCGAGTCTTGAAACAAGACTGGATGAAAAAGAGAGAGAAAATGAAAATTTGGTGGCAGAAATTGACGATTTGAAGGAAAGGAATTGGCGTCAAGAAAAGCATTATCGAGAGAAAGTGCTTCACCTCACAACAGCCTTGGAACAAGCTCAGGACAGAGAAAGGACCCTGAACCAGCTGGAAACTCCTGCTGCTGAGGCTCAGAGTGAAAGCCTGTGGAAGCGCTCTCTCAGAGGTGCACTGAGCGTATGCAAGTTCATTGGTGTGTCCTCTGCATGTGCACTTGTTGCAGTGGGTATACTGTCCATTGGATTGGTTGCTCATTGTGATTGCCCATGTGATCCTTTCTCCCACCTGTTGGAATCATTGACTATTCACAACACAGGACACCCCTCTTAAACAGGACCAACACTTCTTTTCCCCAATACAGTTTAATTAATGCAAGGAAGGAGTGGAGGTGCAGTAGTTAGCACTGTCACCTTCAGGATAAAGGTCTCCCTATTTGAATTTTACTTTTTCTCTCCATCACACAGGGGTTTACTCCAGGTGCTCTGGTTTCCCCCGACAAGATATTTAGTATCTTAAAAAAAAAAAATTCCCCCTCCTCGAGCTACCACCTTACCGTGGTGGAGGGGTTTGTGTGTCCCAGTGATCCCCCAGGAGCAAACAGGTCCTGGGGGGGGACCAGACTAAGAGTAGCTCAAACAGACCCATTATGATGAACAAAATATTTGGCACCAAGTTTCCCTCGCCTGGACGTGGGTCACTGGGACCTTGGCGGTCTGATCCTCGGCTGCAGAGGCTAGTTCTAGGGACATGGAATGTCACCACTGTCACCTTCAGGATAAAGGTCTCCGTAATCCAATTGTGCATTTTCTCCCCATAACACTGTAGGTTTCCACCAGGTGCTATGGTTTCCTCCCACAGCCCCAAAATGGCAGAACTCAGTAACTAAATAAAAAAAAAAACAAATACATATAATTTCATCAAGAGTGTGTTTTTACAAGGTTAACTTGGTTTAAAGTGAATCAGATTGTGTGAAGGTTGATGTACACAACTGCAAAATCTTATGTCAGCTGTGTGGGTTTTTTCCTTTTCACATTTTGATAACAAGGTAAAAAGAAGGTGACTAAAAACAATGTCTTACTACTAGAGGTGCAATAGAAGACTATCTCCAATTAGGTTTTCAGCTGTACTCCACAAACCAGGCCTTGATTGCGGTATGCTGGCCAATTTTAGGCCATCTCCAAGCTTCCCTTTATTTCAAAAATGTTAGAGAAAGTTGTTCATGTTCAGCTAAAGTCTTTTCTGGTTGAGCATGGAGGTCTTCCAGTCTGGTTTTAAAACTCTTCACAGCACAGAGTCTGCTTTATTAAGAGTTTTAAATGACATCCTCCAGGCAAATGACTGGTGATTATGTTATTCTTGTTCTGTTGGATCTAACTGCAGCTTTTGACAGTGGACCACAATACTCTGGTGGTCACACAAAAACACAAAAACACACAAACACAGTATCATATAGTATGGTATTGTACCATATCATATCGTATCATATCATGTCATATAGTGTCATATTGTATCATATTGTTCCATATTATATCATATCATGTCAGAACACATTCTCCTCGTTAGTATAGTGGTGAGTATCCCCGCCTGTTAGGCGGGAGACCGGGGTTCAATTCCCCGACGGGGAGTGGAAATCAAAACGGAAAGTGTCTGTCTTCTCGCTGGGTGAAGCCACTCTGAGAACAGCACCCTCTGGTGACGGGCTGCAGTATAGGTCATAAATCCCTGTCAGCCATCCTTAAGAGGCTGAGGACAAATTTTAGAAATTAATCACACAGAACAGATTTTTTCCCCTTGCTTGCGATGTTGACATGTAGTTACTGTAAGACTGTTTTGTGCTCAAGTCCTCTTTTTTCTGTACAGCTCTATTTTTAAAAGTTCTTAGGGGGTTCATGTCCACACAGTGTGGACTGTCATGATGACAGTGTAATGCTCATGTACCAAAGGATTAAGTATTTCCATGTTCGTGAAACCTACACTAAAGTACAATTCATCTAAATGCTTCACAGTGCTGATTTTAACAACTCTCCAGCACAACAGGTAACTTTACGACTTTATTCTTATATATTAATGACTTTATTCTCCTCAATAATAACTTTATTCTCGAAGATTTAAAAACGTTTTTTTCTTAATGTGGCCCTCATACCCCAAGGAAATCTCACTCTTAGCTTAGTTCAAAACTTGAGAGCCCTGGAACTGAGTTGAGCCGAGCACAGCCTCAATGACCCAGACAGACCCAAAAAGAAGTACTATAAATGAGCACACTCACCCAACATTGCTGATATAGGATCAGATCAGGGTCAAAACATTAGACAGCTGCTCTTGGAGGTTTTCTGATACGTTCAGTTATTATATCATACAATGGGCACAATGATCACCTAATTGCACATGCAGAGATAGAGAAAAGATTTGACCTTACCCGTCAGCCATTTTAGTTTCTGCTAGAGTGCTATGTAATGTGATATTACTCTACCATGCTAGTTACAGTAATCTGTTCACTCAGTTATTGGCTGTATTTAATCATTACAGACCAGTTGTATCGGAAAGTACTCAGTACTCCATATTCAATACTCAAGCAGAGTATTACCATTGTGTTTTTTCCTCCTTAACCAAAAGTAGCTCCCCTTTAAGCCCCACTCCCCACCCAAACTAGCGATACCTTCCCTGTTCTTATCTCAGTACACTAATAGTCAGTTAAATAGCTGACACTAATCAGAAGCAAATGAGTGTAATAATGTAAAAAGACTAAAACATCATTTTAAAGAGTAACAATTGTCCATATACAATATTAGCATATGAGCTTGCTCTCAAACCATGTCTGTACTCCACAAGATCTCACTCCATTTTTCCATGAAAGAATAATTGGACAGCGATTGAAATGAATCACACATTTTCTTTCAGTCTTTGTTTGTTTGGATAGTAATGATTGTATGAGGCTTCTTGATTAGCTTGCTAGCTAGTAGAAGTCGAATATGAGATCATTTTGTTTATCACCTTGAGATGAAGAGCAAATGTCTCTGAAAAAGAGACAGAATTACAAAAGACTAATGAAAATTCTTGATCTTGGCCAGTGGACCTAAACAAAAACTGTAGGATCCTATGTGAAATTGAGGCTTGTGTGTGGTGCAAATCTAAGTTAAAACTTGACGACTTGACCTGTCACTGACACTGCTGTTAAAATTAAATAATATCAAAAATTAAGATAATAGTAACATTTAATCACCTCTGAGAACAACTTGTAGTCAAATGTGCAAATGTCATGTGGGGACGAGTCGCAGTGATGCCAACTTGTTCACTTCCAGGAATGAATCAGATGAGCCTATTACAGCATGACGGTGCTAACCCATATTGTGCATGAATTACAACAAAATAGCTCTGCATTCAAAGAGTCTGCATGCTGAAGTAGCTTACCTGCAGTCTCAGCTTGCCAACCAAAAGTTGTGCAAAATTAAAAATAGAAAAAAGAAGACCCCAGCCTGTCACCAGCTGAGATCTTCCCTCAGGCAAAACAAGGAATAACTATCCATTTTTAAAACTCTACACAAAGAGTTTTTTTTTTTTTTTAAAGGAGAAGTGACTCGTCATGATGGCAGACATGTCCCTGCTATAACTTTTTGAAACTATGTGATCATGTGACTGTGATAAAAAAAAAAAACTTTCAACATCAGATTTGTCATTTTTACATAAACAAAACATATTGTTCACTAAGGTATCCATTTTAAGTTTCAAGTTGTGGCAGACTTATGTTGTGATCTGTTGCCATAGTAACTGGGGAAGCCAGAGGGAATTCCATGACTGTGCTTTGACATTACTATCATGTCATCATAGTGATGTTTTCATAGTGATGACATCATAGTGATGTCATCACTTTGATGTCATCGAAGTGATGACATCACAGCCCTGAGGCATACCAAAAACTTGGTAATGACTGCACCAAGGTAAGTAAGATCGAACTTTGCTTTAGGATCATTTTTAAAGGAGACACAAAACTGTTTTAACACCAACTTACAAACACAAACACAGCCATGAGCTCCTCCACTAGTAGGATGGAACAGAACAGAACAGAAGAAGCGACCAATTATGACTTTCAGGGTTTTGACTCAGAGGAAGAATTAAACCCGCTTCCTTCTGGAGTCGGCCAGGATTCAGAGGACTTAGATGAACAGGACCAAATTGGCTCACCTGACTCCGTAAATAAATCATCTCCAGAAGAGACCAAAAAGTCAGGCATGAGAGGGCTCATCAGCAGGATGAAAGCTATTTCTGTCCAAACATTTGCTCAAGAGTCAATCCTGAATGTGAGGTCTAGAGTCAGGCGTAGGCTGGCCCACCGTCAAGGACAGGAAGCTGTCAGTTCAGATACTTCAATGCTTCTGGAGAGTGAGGATAGTCTTTCAAATGAGATAATTACAACCGAAGATCAGCATACAAACAGTGAGTCTGAAGAGGTTTGGCCTTCCACTGCCCTCTGTAAAAGTGACTGTCAGTGTCGTCTTGATGAGGCTCAGAAATGCCACATTGAGAAAGTGGCTGAGCTTGAGAGAGAAAAGGAGGAAATCCAGGCTACAAAGGAAAACCTCTTCTCTCAAGTTAGTTGTCAGCAGGATGAGAGCATCACAAATGAAAGGAACAGGAGCCTCTTGACTGAGAAGGTGGCGAGTCTTAAAACAAGACTGGATGAAAAAGAGTTAGAAAATGGAAATTTGGTGGCAGAAATTGACGATTTGAAGGAAAGGAATTGGCGTCAAGAAAAGCATTATCGAGAGAAAGTGTTTCATCCCACAACAGCCTTGGAACAAGCTCAGGACAGAGAAAGGGCCCTGAACCAGCAAGTGACCTCTCTCCAGACATCATTTAATGAAACACAAGACAGGACTACACAGCTCAGGGTAGCATTGCATGACTGTCAGTGTCGTCTTTATGTGGCTCAGAAATGCCACATTGAGAAAGTGGCTGAGCTTGAGAGAGAAAAGGAGGAAATCCAGGCTATAAAGGAAAACCTCTTCTCTCAAGTTAGTCGTCTGCAGGATGAGAGCATCACAAATGAAAGGAACAGGAGCCTCTTGACTGAGAAGGTGGCGAGTCTTGAAACAAGACTGGATGAAAAAGAGAGAGAAAATGAAGATTTGGTGGCAGAAATTGACGATTTGAAGGAAAGGAATTGGCGTCAAGAAAAGCATTATGGAGAGAAAGTGCTTCACCTCACAACAGCCTTGGAACAAGCTCAGGACAGAGAAAGGGCCCTGAACCAGCAAGTGACCTCTCTCCAAACATTATTTAATAAAACACAAGACAGGACTACACAGCTCAGGGTAGCATTGCATGACTGTCAGTGTCGTCTTGATGAGGCTCAGAAATGCCACATTGAGAAAGTGGCTGAGCTTGAGAGAGAAAAGGAGGAAATCCAGGCTATAAAGGAAAACCTCTTCTCTCAAGTTAGTCGTCTGCAGGATGAGAGCATCACAAATGAAAGGAACAGGAGCCTCTTGACTGAGAAGGTGGCGAGTCTTAAAACAAGACTGGATGAAAAAGAGAGAGAAAATGAAAATTTGGTGGCAGAAATTGACGATTTGAAGGAAAGGAATTGGCGTCAAGAAAAGCATTATGGAGAGAAAGTGCTTCACCTCACAACAGCCTTGGAACAAGCTCAGGACAGAGAAAGGGCCCTGAACCAGCAAGTGACCTCTCTCCAAACATCATTTAATAAAACACAAGACGAGGCTACACAGCTCAGGGCAGCATTGCATGACTGTGAGCGTCGTCTTGATGAGGCTCAGAAATGCCACATTGAGAAAGTGGCTGAGCTTGAGAGAGAAAAGGAGGAAATCCAGGCTATAAAGGAAAACCTCTTCTCTCAAGTTAGTCGTCTGCAGGATGAGAGCATCACAAATGAAAGGAACAGGAGCCTCTTGACTGAGAAGGTGGCGAGTCTTGAAACAAGACTGGATGAAAAAGGGAGAGAAATTGACGATTTGAAGGAAAGGAATTGGCGTCAAGAAAAGCATTATGGAGAGAAAGTGCTTCACCTGACAACAGCCTTGGAACAAGCTCAGGACAGAGAAAGGACCCTGAACCAGCATTCAGAGGAAACAATCAGCAAGCTCAGAGAAGAGCTCAAGGCAAAGCAGGAGGAAGAGATACTAGCGCCAAGTGAAAGACATCTTAACTCCACTGGGGTGCAGACAGACGAGATATCACCTGAACCTCAGCAGCTGGAAACTCCTGCTGCTGAGGCTCAGAGTGAAAGCCTGTGGAAGCGCTCTCTCAGAGGTGCACTGAGCGTAGGCAAGTTCATTGGTGTGTCCGCTGCATATGCACTTGTTGCAGTGGGTATACTGTCCATTGGATTGAGTGCTCATTGTGATTGCCCAGGACACCCCTTTTAAACAGGACCAACACTTCTTTTCCCCAATACAGTTTAATTAATGCAAGGAAGGAGTGGAGGTGCAGTGGTTAGCACTGTCACCTTCAGGATAAAGGTCTCCCTATTTGAATTTTACATTTTCTCTCCATCACACAGGGGTTTACTCCAGGTGCTCTGGTTTCCCCCCACAAGATATTTAGTATCTTAAAAAAAAAAATTCCCCCTCCTCGAGCTACCACCTTACCGTGGTGGAGGGGTTTGTGTGTCCCAGTGATCCCCCAGGAGCAAACAGGTCCTGGGGGGGGGGGGACCAGACTAAGAGTAGCTCAAACAGACCCATTATGATGGACAAAATATTTGGCACCAAGTTTCCCTCGCCTGGACGTGGGTCACTGGGACCTTGGCGGTCTGATCCTCGGCTGCAGAGGCTAGTTCTAGGGACATGGAATGTCACCACTGTCACCTTCAGGATAAAGGTCTCCGTAATCGAATTGTGCATTTTCTCCCCATAACACTGTAGGTTTCCACCAGGTACTATGGTTTCCTCCCACAGCCCCAAAATGGCAGAACTCAGGAACTAATTTAAAAAAAAATAAAAAATACACATAATTTAATCAAGAGTGTGTTTTTACAAGGTTAACTTGGTTTAAAGTGAATCAGATTGTGTGAAGGTTGATGTACGCAACTGCAAAATCTTATGTCAGCTGTGTGGGTTTTTTCCTTTTCACATTTTGATAACAAGGTAAAAAGAAGGTGACTAAAAACAATGTCTTACTACTAGAGGTGCAATAGAAGACTATCTCCAATTAGGTTTTCAGCTGTACTCCACAAACCAGGCCTTGATTGCGGTATGCTGGCCAATTTTAGGCCATCTCCAAGCTTCCCTTTATTTCAAAAATGTTAGAGAAAGTTGTTCATGTTCAGCTAAAGTCTTTTCTGGTAGAGCATGGAGGTCTTCCAGTCTGGTTTTAAAACTCTTCACAGCACAGAGTCTGCTTTATTAAGAGTTTTAAATGACATCCTCCAGGCAAATGACTCTGGTGATTATGTTATTCTTGTTCTGTTGGATCTAACTGCAGCTTTTGACAGTGGACCGCAATACTCTGGTGGTCACACAAAAACACAAAAACACAGTATCGTATAGTATGGTATTGTACCATATCATATCATATCGTATCATATCATGTCATATAGTATCATATCGTATCATATTGTTCCATATTATATCATATCATGTCAGAACACATTCTCCTCGTTAGTATAGTGGTGAGTATCCCCGCCTATTAGGTGGGTGACCGGGGTTCGATTCCCCGACGGGGAGTGGAAATCAAAACGGAAAGTGTCCGTCTTCTCGCTGGGTGAAGCCACTCTGAGAACAGCACCCTCTGGTGACGGGCTGCAGTATAGGTCATAAATCCCTGTCAGCCATCCTTAAGAGGCTGAGGACAAATTTTAGAAATTAATCACACAGAACAGATTTTTTCCCCTTGCTTGCGATGTTGACATGTAGTTACTGTAAGACTGTTTTGTGCTCAAGTCCTCTTTTTTCTGTACAGCTCTATTTTTAAAAGTTCTTAGGGGGTTCATGTCCACACAGTGTGGACTGTCATGATGACAGTGTAATGCTCATGTACCAAAGGATTAAGTATTTCCATGTTTGTGAAACCTACACTAAAGTACAATTCATCTAAATGCTTCACAGTGCTGATTTTAACAACTCTCCTGCACAACAGGTAACTTTACGACTTTATTCTAATATATTAATGACTTTACTCTCCTCAATAATAACTTTATTCTCGAAGATTTAAAAACGTTTTTTTTCTTAATGTGGCCCTCATACCCCGAGGAAATCTCACTCTTAGCTTAGTTCAAAACTTGAGAGCCCTGGAACTGAGTTGAGCCGAGCACAGCCTCAATGACCCAGACAGACCCAAAAAGAAGTACTATAAATGAGCACACTCACCAAACATTGCTGATATAGGATCAGATCAGGGTCAAAACATTAGACAGCTGCTCTTGGAGGTTTTCTGATACGTTCAGTTATTATATCATACAATGGGCACAATGATCACCTAATTGCACATGCAGAGATAGAGAAAAGATTTGACCTTACCTGTCAGCCATTTTAGTTTCTGCTAGAGTGCTATGTAATGTGATATTACTCTACCATGCTAGTTACAGTAATCTGTTCACTCAGTTATTGGCTGTAATTAATCATTACAGACCAGTTGTATCGGAAAGTACTCAGTACTCCATATTCAATACTCAAGCAGAGTATTACCATTGTGTTTTTTCCTCCTTAACCAAAAGTAGCTCCCCTTTAAGCCCCACTCCCCACCCAAACTAGCGATACCTTCCCTGTTCTTATCTCAGTACACTAATAGTCAGTGAAATAGCTGACACTAATCAGAAGCAAATGAGTGTAATAATGTAAAAAGACTAAAACATCATTTTAAAGAGTAACAATTGTCCATATACAATATTAGCATATGAGCTTGCTCTCAAACCATGTCTGTACTCCACAAGATCTCACTCCATTTTTCCATGAAAGAAGAATTGGACAGCGATTGAAATGAATCACACATTTTCTTTCAGTGTTTGTTTGTTTGGATAGTAATGATTGCATGAGGCTTCTTGATTAGCTTGCTAGCTAGTAGAAGTCGAATATGAGATCATTTTGTTTATCACCTTGAGATGAAGAGCAAATGTCTCTGAAAAAGAGACAGAATTACAAAAGACTAATGAAAATTCTTGATCTTGGCCAGTGGACCTAAACAAAAACTGTAGGATCCTATGTGAAATTGAGGCTTGTGTATGGTGCAAATCTAAGTTAAAACTTGACGACTTGACCTGTCACTGACACTGCTGTTAAAATTAAATAATATCAAAAATTAAGATAATAGTAACATTTAATCACCTCTGAGAACAACTTGTAGTCAAATGTGCAAATGTCATGTGGGGACGAGTCGCAGTGATGCCAACTTGTTCACTTCCAGGAATGAATCAGATGAGCCTATTACAGCATGACGGTGCTAACCCATATTGTGCATGAATTACAACAAAATAGCTCTGCATTCAAAGAGTCTGCATGCTGAAGTAGCTTACCTGCAGTCTCAGCTTGCCAACCAAAAGTTGTGCAAAATTAAAAATAGAAAAAGAAGACCCCAGCCTGTCACCAGCTGAGATCTTCCCTCAGGCAAAACAAGGAATAACTATCCATTTTTAAAACTCTACACAAAGAGTTTTTTTTTTTTTAAAAGGAGAAGTGACTCGTCATGATGGCAGACATGTCCCTGCTATAACTTTTTGAAACTATGTGACCATGTGACTGTGATAAAAAAAAAAACTTTCAACATCAGATTTGTCATTTTTACATAAACAAAACATATTGTTCACTAAGGTATCCATTTTAAGTTTCAAGTTGTGGCAGACTTATGTTGTGATCTGTTGCCATAGTAACTGGGGAAGCCAGAGGGAATTCCATGACTGTGCTTTGACATTACTATCATGTCATCATAGTGATGTTTTCATAGTGATGACATCATAGTGATGTCATCACTTTGATGTCATCGAAGTGATGACATCACAGCCCTGAGGCATACCAAAAACTTGGTAATGACTGCACCAAGGTAAGTAAGATCGAACTTTGCTTTAGGATCATTTTTAAAGGAGACACAAAACTGTTTTAACACCAACTTACAAACACAAACACAGCCATGAGCTCCTCCACTAGTAGGATGGAACAGAACAGAACAGAAGAAGCGACCAATTATGACTTTCAGGGTTTTGACTCAGAGGAAGAATTAAACCCGCTTCCTTCTGGAGTCGGCCAGGATTCAGAGGACTTAGATGAACAGGACCAAATTGGCTCACCTGACTCCGTAAATAAATCATCTCCAGAAGAGACCAAAAAGTCAGGCATGAGAGGGCTCATCAGCAGGATGAAAGCTATTTCTGTCCAAACATTTGCTCAAGAGTCAATCCTGAATGTGAGGTCTAGAGTCAGGCGTAGGCTGGCCCACCGTCAAGGACAGGAAGCTGTCAGTTCAGATACTTCAATGCTTCTGGAGAGTGAGGATAGTCTTTCAAATGAGATAATTACAACCGAAGATCAGCATACAAACAGTGAGTCTGAAGAGGTTTGGCCTTCCACTGCCCTCTGTAAAAGTGACTGTGAGCGTCGTCTTGATGAGGCTCAGAAATGCCACATTGAGAAAGTGGCTGAGCTTGAGAGAGAAAAGGAGGAAATCCAGGCTATAAAGGAAAACCTCTTCTCTCAAGTTAGTCGTCTGCAGGATGAGAGCATCACAAATGAAAGGAACAGGAGCCTCTTGACTGAGAAGGTGGCGAGTCTTGAAACAAGACTGGATGAAAAAGAGAGAGAAAATGAAAATTTGGTGGCAGAAATTGACGATTTGAAGGAAAGGAATTGGCGTCAAGAAAAGCATTATGGAGAGAAAGTGCTTCACCTAACAAGAGACTTGCAGCAAGCTCAGGACAGAGAAAGGGCCCTGAACCAGCAAGTGACCTCTCTCCAAACATTATTTAATAAAACACAAGACAGGACTACACAGCTCAGGGTAGCATTGCATGACTGTCAGTGTCGTCTTGATGAGGCTCAGAAATGCCACATTGAGAAAGTGGCTGAGCTTGAGAGAGAAAAGGAGGAAATCCAGGCTATAAAGGAAAACCTCTTCTCTCAAGTTAGTCGTCTGCAGGATGAGAGCATCACAAATGAAAGGAACAGGAGCCTCTTGACTGAGAAGGTGGCGAGTCTTAAAACAAGACTGGATGAAAAAGAGAGAGAAAATGAAAATTTGGTGGCAGAAATTGACGATTTGAAGGAAAGGAATTGGCGTCAAGAAAAGCATTATGGAGAGAAAGTGCTTCACCTCACAACAGCCTTGGAACAAGCTCAGGACAGAGAAAGGGCCCTGAACCAGCAAGTGACCTCTCTCCAAACATCATTTAATAAAACACAAGACGAGGCTACACAGCTCAGGGCAGCATTGCATGACTGTGAGCGTCGTCTTGATGAGGCTCAGAAATGCCACATTGAGAAAGTGGCTGAGCTTGAGAGAGAAAAGGAGGAAATCCAGGCTATAAAGGAAAACCTCTTCTCTCAAGTTAGTCGTCTGCAGGATGAGAGCATCACAAATGAAAGGAACAGGAGCCTCTTGACTGAGAAGGTGGCGAGTCTTGAAACAAGACTGGATGAAAAAGGGAGAGAAATTGACGATTTGAAGGAAAGGAATTGGCGTCAAGAAAAGCATTATGGAGAGAAAGTGCTTCACCTGACAACAGCCTTGGAACAAGCTCAGGACAGAGAAAGGACCCTGAACCAGCATTCAGAGGAAACAATCAGCAAGCTCAGAGAAGAGCTCAAGGCAAAGCAGGAGGAAGAGATACTAGCGCCAAGTGAAAGACATCTTAACTCCACTGGGGTGCAGACAGACGAGATATCACCTGAACCTCAGCAGCTGGAAACTCCTGCTGCTGAGGCTCAGAGTGAAAGCCTGTGGAAGTGCTCTCTCAGAGGTGCACTGAGCGTAGGCAAGTTCATTGGTGTGTCCGCTGCATATGCACTTGTTGCAGTGGGTATACTGTCCATTGGATTGAGTGCTCATTGTGATTGCCCAGGACACCCCTTTTAAACAGGACCAACACTTCTTTTCCCCAATACAGTTTAATTAATGCAAGGAAGGAGTGGAGGTGCAGTGGTTAGCACTGTCACCTTCAGGATAAAGGTCTCCCTATTTGAATTTTACATTTTCTCTCCATCACACAGGGGTTTACTCCAGGTGCTCTGGTTTCCCCCCACAAGATATTTAGTATCTTAAAAAAAAAAATTCCCCCTCCTCGAGCTACCACCTTACCGTGGTGGAGGGGTTTGTGTGTCCCAGTGATCCCCCAGGAGCAAACAGGTCCTGGGGGGGGGACCAGACTAAGAGTAGCTCAAACAGACCCATTATGATGGACAAAATATTTGGCACCAAGTTTCCCTCGCCTGGACGTGGGTCACTGGGACCTTGGCGGTCTGATCCTCGGCTGCAGAGGCTAGTTCTAGGGACATGGAATGTCACCACTGTCACCTTCAGGATAAAGGTCTCCGTAATCGAATTGTGCATTTTCTCCCCATAACACTGTAGGTTTCCACCAGGTGCTATGGTTTCCTCCCACAGCCCCAAAATGGCAGAACTCAGGAACTAATTTTAAAAAAAATAAAAAATACACATAATTTAATCAAGAGTGTGTTTTTACAAGGTTAACTTGGTTTAAAGTGAATCAGATTGTGTGAAGGTTGATGTACGCAACTGCAAAATCTTATGTCAGCTGTGTGGGTTTTTTCCTTTTCACATTTTGATAACAAGGTAAAAAGAAGGTGACTAAAAACAATGTCTTACTACTAGAGGTGCAATAGAAGACTATCTCCAATTAGGTTTTCAGCTGTACTCCACAAACCAGGCCTTGATTGCGGTATGCTGGCCAATTTTAGGCCATCTCCAAGCTTCCCTTTATTTCAAAAATGTTAGAGAAAGTTGTTCATGTTCAGCTAAAGTCTTTTCTGGTAGAGCATGGAGGTCTTCCAGTCTGGTTTTAAAACTCTTCACAGCACAGAGTCTGCTTTATTAAGAGTTTTAAATGACATCCTCCAGGCAAATGACTCTGGTGATTATGTTATTCTTGTTCTGTTGGATCTAACTGCAGCTTTTGACAGTGGACCGCAATACTCTGGTGGTCACACAAAAACACAAAAACACAGTATCGTATAGTATGGTATTGTACCATATCATATCATATCGTATCATATCATGTCATATAGTATCATATCGTATCATATTGTTCCATATTATATCATATCATGTCAGAACACATTCTCCTCGTTAGTATAGTGGTGAGTATCCCCGCCTATTAGGTGGGTGACCGGGGTTCGATTCCCCGACGGGGAGTGGAAATCAAAACGGAAAGTGTCCGTCTTCTCGCTGGGTGAAGCCACTCTGAGAACAGCACCCTCTGGTGACGGGCTGCAGTATAGGTCATAAATCCCTGTCAGCCATCCTTAAGAGGCTGAGGACAAATTTTAGAAATTAATCACACAGAACAGATTTTTTCCCCTTGCTTGCGATGTTGACATGTAGTTACTGTAAGACTGTTTTGTGCTCAAGTCCTCTTTTTTCTGTACAGCTCTATTTTTAAAAGTTCTTAGGGGGTTCATGTCCACACAGTGTGGACTGTCATGATGACAGTGTAATGCTCATGTACCAAAGGATTAAGTATTTCCATGTTTGTGAAACCTACACTAAAGTACAATTCATCTAAATGCTTCACAGTGCTGATTTTAACAACTCTCCTGCACAACAGGTAACTTTACGACTTTATTCTAATATATTAATGACTTTACTCTCCTCAATAATAACTTTATTCTCGAAGATTTAAAAACGTTTTTTTTCTTAATGTGGCCCTCATACCCCAAGGAAATCTCACTCTTAGCTTAGTTCAAAACTTGAGAGCCCTGGAACTGAGTTGAGCCGAGCACAGCCTCAATGACCCAGACAGACCCAAAAAGAAGTACTATAAATGAGCACACTCACCAAACATTGCTGATATAGGATCAGATCAGGGTCAAAACATTAGACAGCTGCTCTTGGAGGTTTTCTGATACGTTCAGTTATTATATCATACAATGGGCACAATGATCACCTAATTGCACATGCAGAGATAGAGAAAAGATTTGACCTTACCCGTCAGCCATTTTAGTTTCTGCTAGAGTGCTATGTATTGTGATATTACTCTACCATGCTAGTTACAGTAATCTGTTCACTCAGTTATTGGCTGTATTTAATCATTACAGACCAGTTGTATCGGAAAGTACTCAGTACTCCATATTCAATACTCAAGCAGAGTATTACCATTGTGTTTTTTCCTCCTTAACCAAAAGTAGCTCCCCTTTAAGCCCCACTCCCCACCCAAACTAGCGATACCTTCCCTGTTCTTATCTCAGTACACTAATAGTCAGTTAAATAGCTGACACTAATCAGAAGCAAATGAGTGTAATAATGTAAAAAGACTAAAACATCATTTTAAAGAGTAACAATTGTCCATATACAATATTAGCATATGAGCTTGCTCTCAAACCATGTCTGTACTCCACAAGATCTCACTCCATTTTTCCATGAAAGAAGAATTGGACAGCGATTGAAATGAATCACACATTTTCTTTCAGTGTTTGTTCGTTTGGATAGTAATGATTGCATGAGGCTTCTTGATTAGCTTGCTAGCTAGTAGAAGTCGAATATGAGATCATTTTGTTTATCACCTAGAGATGAAGAGCAAATGTCTCTGAAAAAGAGGCAGAATTACAAAAGACTAATGAAAATTCTTGATCTTGGCCAGTGGACCTAAACAAAAACTGTAGGATCCTATGTGAAATTGAGGCTTGTGTGTGGTGCAAATCTAAGTTAAAACTTGACGACTTGACCTGTCACTGACACTGCTGTTGAAATTCAATAATATCAAAAATTAAGATAATAGTAACATTTAATCACCTCTGAGAACAACTTGTAGTCAAATGTGCAAATGTCATGTGGGGACGAGTCGCAGTGATGCCAACTTGTTCACTTCCAGGAATGAATCAGATGAGCCTATTACAGCATGACGGTGCTAACCCATATTGTGCATGAATTACAACAAAATAGCTCTGCATTCAAAGAGTCTGCATGCTGAAGTAGCTTACCTGCAGTCTCAGCTTGCCAACCAAAAGTTGTGCAAAATTAAAAATAGAAAAAAGAAGACCCCAGCCTGTCACCAGCTGAGATCTTCCCTCAGGCAAAACAAGGAATAACTATCCATTTTTAAAACTCTACACAAAGAGTTTTTTTTTTTTTTTAAAAGGAGAAGTGACTCGTCATGATGGCAGACATGTCCCTGCTATAACTTTTTGAAACTATGTGACCATGTGACTGTGATAAAAAAAAAAAACTTTCAACATCAGATTTGTCATTTTTACATAAACAAAACATATTGTTCACTAAGGTATCCATTTTAAGTTTCAAGTTGTGGCAGACTTATGTTGTGATCTGTTGCCATAGTAACTGGGGAAGCCAGAGGGAATTCCATGACTGTGCTTTGACATTACTATCATGTCATCATAGTGATGTTTTCATAGTGATGACATCATAGTGATGTCATCACTTTGATGTCATCGAAGTGATGACATCACAGCCCTGAGGCATACCAAAAACTTGGTAATGACTGCACCAAGGTAAGTAAGATCGAACTTTGCTTTAGGATCATTTTTAAAGGAGACACAAAACTGTTTTAACACCAACTTACAAACACAAACACAGCCATGAGCTCCTCCACTAGTAGGATGGAACAGAACAGAACAGAAGAAGCGACCAATTATGACTTTCAGGGTTTTGACTCAGAGGAAGAATTAAACCCGCTTCCTTCTGGAGTCGGCCAGGATTCAGAGGACTTAGATGAACAGGACCAAATTGGCTCACCTGACTCCGTAAATAAATCATCTCCAGAAGAGACCAAAAAGTCATGCATGAGAGGGTTCATCAGCAGGATGAAAGCTATTTCTGTCCAAACATTTGCTCAAGAGTCAATCCTGAATGTGAGGTCTAGAGTCAGGCGTAGGCTGGCCCACCGTCAAGGACAGGAAGCTGTCAGTTCAGATACTTCAATGCTTCTGGAGAGTGAGGATAGTCTTTCAAATGAGATAATTACAACCGAAGATCAGCATACAAACAGTGAGTCTGAAGAGGTTTGGCCTTCCACTGCCCTCTGTAAAAGTGACTGTGAGCGTCGTCTTGATGAGGCTCAGAAATGCCACATTGAGAAAGTGGCTGAGCTTGAGAGAGAAAAGGAGGAAATCCAGGCTATAAAGGAAAACCTCTTCTCTCAAGTTAGTCGTCTGCAGGATGAGAGCATCACAAATGAAAGGAACAGGAGCCTCTTGACTGAGAAGGTGGCGAGTCCTGAAACAAGACTGGATGAAAAAGAGAGAGAAATTGACGATTTGAAGGAAAGGAATTGGCGTCAAGAAAAGCATTATGGAGAGAAAGTGCTTCACCTGACAACAGCCTTGGAACAAGCTCAGGACAGAGAAAGGACCCTGAACCAGCATTCAGAGGAAACAATCAGCAAGCTCAGAGAAGAGCTCAAGGCAAAGCAGGAGGAAGAGATACTAGCGCCAAGTGAAAGACATCTTAACTCCACTGGGGTGCAGACAGACGAGATATCACCTGAACCTCAGCAGCTGGAAACTCCTGCTGCTGAGGCTCAGAGTGAAAGCCTGTGGATGCACTCTCTCAGAGGTGCACTGAGCGTAGGCAAGTTCATTGGTGTGTCCGCTGCATATGCACTTGTTGCAGTGGGTATACTGTCCATTGGATTGAGTGCTCATTGTGATTGCCCAGGACGCCCCTTTTAAACAGGACCAACACTTCTTTTCCCCAATACAGTTTAATTAATGCAAGGAAGGAGTGGAGGTGCAGTGGTTAGCACTGTCACCTTCAGGATAAAGGTCTCCCTATTTGAATTTTACATTTTCTCCCCATCACACAGGGGTTTACTCCAGGTGCTCTGGTTTCCCCCCACAAGATATTTAGTATCTTAAAAAAAAAAATTCCCCCTCCTCGAGCTACCACCTTACCGTGGTGGAGGGGTTTGTGTGTCCCAGTGATCCCCCAGGAGCAAACAGGTCCTGGGGGGGGGACCAGACTAAGAGTAGCTCAAACAGACCCATTATGATGGACAAAATATTTGGCACCAAGTTTCCCTCGCCTGGACGTGGGTCACTGGGACCTTGGCGGTCTGATCCTCGGCTGCAGAGGCTAGTTCTAGGGACATGGAATGTCACCACTGTCACCTTCAGGATAAAGGTCTCCGTAATCGAATTGTGCATTTTCTCCCCATAACACTGTAGGTTTCCACCAGGTGCTATGGTTTCCTCCCACAGCCCCAAAATGGCAGAACTCAGGAACTAATTTTAAAAAAAATAAAAAATACACATAATTTAATCAAGAGTGTGTTTTTACAAGGTTAACTTGGTTTAAAGTGAATCAGATTGTGTGAAGGTTGATGCACGCAACTGCAAAATCTTATGTCAGCTGTGTGGGATTTTCCTTTTCACATTTTGATAACAAGGTAAAAAGAAGGTTACTAAAAACAATGTCTTACTACTAGAGGTGCAATAGAAGACTATCTCCAATTAGGTTTTCAGCTGTACTCCACAAACCAGGCCTTGATTGCGGTATGCTGGCCAATTTTAGGCCATCTCCAAGCTTCCCTTTATTTCAAAAAATGTTAGAGAAAGTTGTTCATGTTCAGCTAAAGTCTTTTCTGGTAGAGCATGGAGGTCTTCCAGTCTGGTTTTAAAACTCTTCACAGCACAGAGTCTGCTTTATTAAGAGTTTTAAATGACATCCTCCAAGCAAATGACTCTGGTGATTATGTTATTCTTGTTCTGTTGGATCTAACTGCAGCTTTTGACAGTGGACCACAATACTCTGGTGGTCACACAAAAACACAAAAACAACACTAGTGGATCAGTGGAATACATTTGACTGGAGTTTTGTATGAGAGGCAGCATAAAAAAACAGAATAATTCTGTTGTCATGGTAACTGTACACACTCCACAGATGTTTGATTAGAGCCTTCAGCTGAAGTTAACATTGTTTGGTAATCCAATAGAGGTGGCTGTATAGCATATAGCCACACAGACACTTACATTTGAAGTGGGTCTGTGAACTTCAAAAAAAAGAAAAAAGCAGGACAAAAACAAATGTTACCACTATGAAAATAAAAAAACCACATTTATTTCATAAATATAAATGGCACTGGTAATCTACAAAAGGGAAAGGTTTAAAATATCGTTATCAGTGTCATCTCACATGAGTGGATAAGGCAAACCAGCCCTCCCGTTCTCTCTGTTCCATCTGTTATGAGAAAAAAAGGTTGTGTTAGATGTGAAAAAGTGTCAACAGTTTAGTAAAACCTTTAAGGGGTGTTCAGACCAAACGCGTCGCGTTGGTCGCTCGCGTCGCGTCGCGTGGTGCCCTGGTGTGTTCACAGCAGGTCCAAAGCTGCAGTCGCAGGTCGCGGCTGGTCGCCGGTGACGTCATCCATGAGAACGTCACTAGCTCAGTTTTCAGTTCATCTGTGCTGCCCCATATCTGTACATCCGCAGTAGACGCCGCCGGTGTTTATGGGTGCATGAAACCATCTGGGGGAGGACAGAGCTGGGTGAATTTCACCGCTTGCTCCAGGAACTCCGCCTCGACGACGGCCGCTTCCAGCGGTATTTCCGTGTGTCGACGGCGCAGTTCGTGGACCTCCTCGCCCGGGTGGGAAGCAAAACCCCCTGCCTGGACACGAAATACAGGCGCTCCATCTCAGCTTCGGAACGCCTGTCTATCTGTCTGTCCCTCATATAAACGTCCCTAAGCCCCTTCCACCGCTTGCGGCACACATCCACTGCAAAGACACCCACACATACGTTGAAACATGTAGCCTGGCAAGCAGGGGCAGTTAGCTATGTTTTCATAAAACAGTCCGCTCACTGAAATAAATAAATAAACAAACAAGCTTACCAGAAAGCCCGACATCACGGGCCACCTTCCCCCATGCTTCTTCTTTGGCGTTGCGGTCCCGGTCCAGCCCGCAACCCACGTTGTATAGCACCGGGTGGTAGCTAACGGATGTGATTAACTGCTCCTCCATTGTGATTCTTCTTCTCCTCTTCCTTGTTTCGCCGGTTTGTTGACGTCAGCAGAGCCCTGATTGGCTGTCGCGGCACGGGGTCGCGGATAGTCGCTCCCAAAGTTCAAATATTTGAACTTTGGGAGCGACGCGACTTGGCGTCCTGCGACCTCGGCGACGCGACTTGGCGACCTGAGCTGCGTCCGAATTGCCAAGTAGTAGTTGAAGTAGTAGTCGAAGTAGTATCTAGCATGTCCGAATTGGCCACCTGAGCGAGTAGCATGCTACTTCAGATACTACTTAAGATACTAGACACGCCCACATTGTAGGTTGGTCTCGGTGCATCCTACGGGCATGGTACTGACCCAAAATGCACCACAGGCTTCTTCTTCGTCCTCTTAAAAGTTGTAGACGCGCATGTGATGCTAGCGCCACCAGCTGCTCTGCCTATTTAAATGTGTCGCGAACGCCGGCTGGCCACAGCAGCGCGCACCATGTTGCGGCAGCAGCAGCAGCAGGCGGGACCGCAGCAGTACAGATGTAAGTTTCATGTAACTTCACACACTGTCCTAAAAAAATGTGCGGTTGTATCTCTTTGTCATGTCATGGTGTCATATTTGCCCAAGTAATCATTTTAAGAGCAAATATGTGGCGACATCATGGAGGTAAAGCTCACTTATTCCATCATTAAACTGCACAGCTGCAGTACTACAGCCAGGCCCGCAGATGAGGGGCTTCAGTTACCACTGTCTGCACGGGCGCAGTACCTACTCTCTGCCTGCGGGGGTCGTCTTTCCCCACCGCTCGTCTAGTGTGTCCGAATTGGGCCAACGTGTTTATTATGTAGGAGTAGGATCTAGCAGTAGTATGTAGCAGTAGCATGTAGTATCAGAGCGGGCAATTCGGATGCAGCACTGGTCGCCAAGTCGCTTCAGGTCGCGTCACAGGCAGCCGGCGGTCGCCAAGTCGCGTCAGGTCGCGGCTGTCCATAGACTTTGCATTGGGAGCCGTCGCCGAGGTCGCCGAGGTCGCGTTTGGTCTGAACACCCCTTTACACTTGCATATAATCTTCAGTTGTGGATCTGCTTACTTCTACTCCTCTATCCTTTGTTTCTCCTCTATGGCTATATGGTGGCGGGTCAGACCCAGTAAATCTATCAACAACAATGTGCAATGAGACTTTGTCCTTGCTGTATTTGTAGGTAATTGCAAAAATGGAGAATGTCCTCAAAGTGCCTTGTCAAAAAACACCCCTGTCCATTTGCAGACGCCACTTACTGCCTCCACTCAGCGCTGGTTTGTGAAAGGACTTCTGTTACAGATGACTGTGAAGACATCTTTGGACTTCTTTCAGCTGAGAAGAGTATAAAACACAGATATTCTGGTCTTATTACAGAGTGAAAGAATCAGACAAACAGAGAGATACATGTCTGACTTATCTGACATACCTACAGATGGAGGACTAACGGCAGAAAGAGGGATGGGAGAACCAGAGGGTGAAACTTAAAAGGCCATTAATAAGGCTTTTCAGGATGTCAATTACATATGGTTAGCTAAACACTGTCGCAATACCATATTTGTATCGTATTGTATCCTATTGTGTAGTATAATATCATATCATATTGTAAAGTATCATATCATATAGTATTGTATCGTATTGCATCATATCGTATAGTATGGTATTGTACCATATCATATCGTATCGTATCATATCATGTCATATAGTATCATATCGTATCATATTGTTCCATATTATATCATATCATGTCAGAACACATTCTCCTCGTTAGTATAGTGGTGAGTATCCCCGCCTGTTAGGCGGGAGACCGGGGTTCGATTCCCCGACGGGGAGTGGAAATCAAAACGGAAAGTGTCTGTCTTCTCGCTGGGTGAAGCCACTCTGAGAACAGCACCCTCTGGTGACGGGCTGCAGTATAGGTCATAAATCCCTGTCAGCCATCCTTAAGAGGCTGAGGACAAATTTTAGAAATTAATCACACAGAACAGATTTTTTTCCCCCTGCTTGCGATGTTGACATGTAGTTACTGTAAGACTGTTTTGTGCTCAAGTCCTCTTTTTTCTGTACAGCTCTATTTTTAAAAGTTATTAGGGGGTTCATGTCCACACAGTGTGGACTGTCATGATGACAGTGTAATGCTCATGTACCAAAGGATTAAGTATTTCCATGTTTGTGAAACCTATACTAAAGTACAATTCATCTAAATGCTTCACAGTGCTGATTTTAACAACTCTCCTGCACAACAGGTAACTTTACGACTTTATTCTTATATATTAATGACTTTATTCTCCTCAATAATAACTTTATTCTCGAAGATTTAAAAACGTTTTTTTTCTTAATGTGGCCCTCATACCCCAAGGAAATCTCACTCTTAGCTTAGTTCAAAACTTGAGAGCCCTGTAATAGAGCTCCTCAGAGCTTAGGGGAGAGTGGGGTAAGATGAGCCATTTTTCCTATTTTGGATCACTACATCAAGGCAATCATAGTTTTGTCTCTTACTAGTGGATCTTTCTTTCTTTTCTTTTACCATTTCCAAGGAACAGTGGGTGGCTCAACTTACCCTTTGGCTCAACTTACCCCACTCTCCCCTAAATGAAAAAGTTGCATGTGGCATACAATGATGCTCTCAAAATACTTCTCAAACTGACAGGATGGTCAAGTGCGAGTGGGTTGTTTGTCACTTGTTATGTCCCCACTTTTCATGCTGTACTTAGAAATGAAATGTACAGATTTATGTGCTAATTAACTGCTTAAAAAAAATGAAATTTTGATGTCACAAACTAAACCCTCATAAAGTGATACTAGATTTTTCTCGTTACAGGAAACATTGGAGTAATTGTCTCTTTGTCTTTTAATGTATTTTATTTTATTACCAATATTTATATTTTTATGTTTGAGACTGGAGTAAAGTATCTATCTATCTATCTATTTTGACACAAGTTTTTAAGACTGTACAGATATTTTATTTTGGGGGAGAAGATGCGGTCTGCTGGTAGACTGTCACTATATAATGTATAATTCAATAACTACAGCTGCAATTGGTTTAAACACAAGGTTAATCATTTAATGATTTTATTAAAAAGACAGAGATAGCCTACCTACAATGCAATGCGTATCAACCCCTGTTCATTTCGTTACATTGTTGCAATGCAATTATTGTCCCAAGTAAGGTCTCATACAAAAATACAAAGCATAAGAGCTGATCTATGAGCTGGATGAAAAACTCAGCCTCAGCCACTGACTGTAAATAAATAGATATTTACACAGTCAATATGGAGTCAACTGGTCAAAGGGATGATGGGGAGGGATAAAAACAAGCCAAAGCATAGATACAATTTGTTTCTCAGACACTTCCATAAGTGCATCTGATACAGAGAAGCAAAGTACTGCAGAGGTTTGGAGTAACACACTGATGTAAGTAGCTGGTCATGTTTTTGAGCTTACTGTACTGGAGGTTAATGAACAATCTTAAAACAGTGGAGGAACGGCATAGACCTGTGAAAGTCTACTCTGATTTTTCTCCTCTCTTTTCATCGCGTTATCAAAACTGCATTATAATCCCCAAACGGTTTACATGTAGTAAAAATCTTTGAATATAATATTCAAGAGTATTATTAAGCAAAGAAGCTGAGTAATATACTGTTTGATCCTCATTTTCCCAAATGTCATGCACAAATCACAATGAAGTATGTCAAAGCATTTCAAGTACTCCTTTGGCCCAAACATGGTTGTTTACAGGTACACCTTTGCGAAAGGCTTCTTATTGAGGGTCTGTGCTGGATGATCCCACAATGCCGTGCTGTCGCAGCAGGTTCCTCAAGATCTGATTCTTGGACTTCCAGTCTTCCACCTGAGCAACAGCAACACAGATAAGACGGTAGCAACGATGAATAATCAGCTGCATCCTGACTTTGTATCAGAAATACAATTACTTTGGCTGAAGAGGTAATTTACTCGGTGGAATCTGCAGGTTTGGGAAAGACTGATGATTTAATTTATGAGTAAAATACTGACCACTGAACTATAGTCAGTTTAGTAACTATAGCTGTAAAGGCCAGTGAGACACAAACAGACCTCTTGTCTAAGCAACTGGTTGTCAATCCGCAGCCGGTCAAGAGTGCTGATGTCTTCCCCCAGCTTCAGGTTGTTCTGTCGGAGTTCCTTGATGTACTCACAGGCTTTGGACAAGATTCCTCCTTTGCTCTGAGACAAGAGAACCTAAAAATTCAGAAACTGAACTGTTTTTTCTCCCAACAATTAGAAATTTAACTAAAATGACTATCTCTCTTTGTGGACATCATTGAAGCAGGGACATCGATAAAGTCATCCATACAAAGTATAAAGAGCTGCATGTTCTGGTTCATGAATATGAAGAAGTTCACAACCTGCATCCATCATTTTGTCCTCTTTACACACACTTGATTTAAGCCCTCTGTTGGCTCTTTTCTGACAAAAACAACTAAACATGATGTGGAAACTGTATGGACATATGCTCTCCATGTAAAACCAAGACGGTTGTCTGAGCTCAACTGACTGTAAATAAATAGATATTTACACAGTCAATATGGAGTCAACTGGTCAAAGGGGATGATGGGGAGGGATAAAAACAAGCCAAAGCATAGATACAATTTGTTTCTCAGACACTTCCATAAGTGCATCTGATACAGAGAAGCAAAGTACTGCAGGAGGTTTGGAGTAACACACTTGTGATGTAAGTAGCTGGTCATGTTTTTGAGCTTACGAGGAGCTTCTTGCTTTCTGAAAAGCAAAACAGAGTGAAAACTTTAACTCTTCTCAACTCTGAGGCTGCAGCACATTTTCTACATTGAGCTGTAAACAAACAGCTTCAATTGGAGGTTATAGAGCCGCAAATCTGTTGAACAAGGATGGACTTACGCGATGTATGGCTGCGTGCGAGGTGCGATTGTTCTTTGATTGGAGCCTGTCAAAACTTCCTGTGGTGACATCATCACATAAAGCTGCCCTGCAAAACAAAAGTTATATCAACAATTAGAATAAGTCGACTTTTGAAGTATTTTAAAGAACTCGCTGAAAGCCTTTAATGTGATTGAAGGAGAAAAACTGATAGGCTGATTCTTCTATCTTCAAGTGTTTGTTTTTATTTCAAGGTCTAAATGACTCAGTAGATCAAAAGTTTTTGTGTAGCTTCAGTCGATTAGTTCTCGATGACAAGTGCCAAACAGGCTGTAAGAGTTACAAAAACCACTATAGGTGTTTGTTTTGTCGCTTAAAGGAATAGCTCACATAGCTCTTTTGCCAAAAACAGCCTGAATTTATCTTCATTGAGCCACCTCACTCTTTTTCCTTTGTCAAAGACTTGAGTAGTTGCTCCGAGACTCCAAGTTGCTCATAGACTTAAGTAGTAGCTGCCTCTATCACTCAGGTTTTTTGATTATCGCTCAGCTTTGGTGTTTAGAAAGCGCCAAGTTCAGTAAACACAACTGAGTAAACAAAAAGAACCTGTTAAGACAGCGGCTGATGAGCAGGGCGTACCAGGAAGTGAGATTAGAGTGTAAGATGGATATGTTGAGCCTTAAACCACGTTCATTTTAGCAAGCTGACCTCATAAAATCTCCAGACAAGCTTAATCTCAACTGTTAAACTGGTTGGGACCAAATTTTAGTTAGAGCTGCAATTTGAAATTGGAAGTTAAGCCCTGTCGTTTCATTTATTAATGATTTCTAAGATATCACATAAGATTCAGTTTAGAGTTTTTTATGACAAAATGAAAGTCTGTGTCCTTTTTTATAATATCTTTGGGGGTGCCATCCCTTTTTTCATCCCTTAATGTCTGATAACATCAACAATGGGTAAAACAGATCATTAGCTGATACAGTATGAGAACTGCAGTGTCAGTAACACAAAATGAAGACATGCTCAGATGCAAGTCTGTGCTTTGAGGCGACTTGAATTCAATTTAATTCTCTTGGTCATGAATATAATATCCCCCTCCAGCCTCCCTCCTCTCATTTTTGTCCTGTTTGCCTCCGGTAAAACAAACGTATAACTTTTAGCAGATCACCTGTACAGTAAAAGAATGAAGAGGGCACAGCATCTATGAATGATGTCTGATTAAAGTTCTATGCTTGGTCTTGAAACCCTGTCTAGTCTATTTAACACAGCTGGTTTACTAGCGGAAACAGATAATAATCAGTAAGGTGTTTTGATATGAATCACAGGTCAAATCAATAAAGTAATTAAATTCCATTTGACTGAATCCTAAAGTTATTCCTTTGCAGACACTTAATGTAACCATGGTTTCTGCCAACACTGAAATCTGTTGAACAAGGATGGACTTACGCGATGTATGGCTGCGTGCGAGGTGCGATTGTTCTTTGATTGGAGCCTGTCAAAACTTCCTGTGGTGACATCATCACATAAAGCTGCCCTGCAAAACAAAAGTTATATCAACAATTAGAATAAGTCGACTTTTGAAGTATTTTAAAGAACTCGCTGAAAGCCTTTAATGTGATTGAAGGAGAAAAACTGATAGGCTGATTCTTCTATCTTCAAGTGTTTGTTTTTATTTCAAGGTCTAAATGACTCAGTAGATCAAAAGTTTTTGTGTAGCTTCAGTCGATTAGTTCTCGATGACAAGTGCCAAACAGGCTGTAAGAGTTACAAAAACCACTATAGGTGTTTGTTTAAGTACACTGTTCATTGGTTGTTTGAATATAATTAAGTAAAAACAAAATAGCTAGCGCCCTGACAAATCCATGCTTGGAGTAGCAACGACTGTTATCTGAGCAGTAAGTACCTGTGGGTGTGGTCTGGCCCAGCAGAGTGTCAGAAGCCTGCACTGTGGTCACCATAGTGCCGCTGGTGGCATCTGCAATGGTCGCAGGATAGTAGGTATACTGTGTCTCTGCGTTGCCATCTCCCTCCAACCCGTCAGACTGGGAGAACACAGCCTGATATCAAACAAACACAAATCTCACTCTTAGTCTTCTGTTGCACTGTTCAGCAGGAAAGAGTGAAAAATCAGACAAAGCAGGACAAACAAGTCAGTGGAGTGAGGTTAGGAAACAATGGTCAAACCAGATATAGAGAGATAAGTGCTCCCTCTTTTATCTCTCCACAACCCCATCCAAATGTGGACCAAATTTTAAGTTAGAGCTGCAATTTGAAATTGGAAGTTAAGCCCTGTCGTTTCATTTATTAATGATTTCTAAGATATCACATAAGATTCAGTTTAGAGTTTTTTATGACAAAATGAAAGTCTGTGTCCTTTTTTATAATATCTTTGGGGGTGCCATCCCTTTTTTCATCCCTTTAATTAGAGCACTTTGAAAAAGGTGGAATTAGTCGATAGATTTAGCTTCAAACAAATCTGATGGGTAGGAGGACTGTAAAATGATGTGGTTCAGTTCAGTGATGGGACACTGATTGTCATTCTCACCTGTGTGACAGTCTGTGTGGTTGCAGGGAAACCAGTGACCAGGCTGACTGCTGCTGCTCCCTCCGTCTGAGCCTCCAGCTGGCTGTCTGATACCTGGATCACTCTGTAAGTCACCTTAGACACAACACATCACAATAAGAGGTCAGCACTGAGTTGCACCAGCATTGCAGTAGATCTGACTTAGCCAAGTCTGAACTTAGTTTCTGATTTAGGATGGAACGAACGAACACGTCGATTATGTTTCAGGGGTTGCACCAGCAGAGACACTTTGCCCTGAGAAGGTAAAAGGGTCCATTGAGAGTATTGGTTGTCATGGTGCATCGTTTGTAATATTGGGATAACTTGGAGAATGGGGAGAAACAGAGACTTAACAGCAGTTTAGTGTCGCAATATCTTCTCTGTGATATATTGCATTGCGTCAATTGAAAACATTACAATGATTTATGAAGTAATGCAATGTTTACTAAGGATTCTTTTCTTTCCTGAAAAGCATCAGCACTTTGATATAAACATCATCTTTTTTCTTTATGTAAATCTGACTGTAATAGTCTGTAGTTCCTTTTTGAGTGGGAGATGAATCAAATGGGATGAAATGCCCCTTTTCACTGACAGACTACTGAAAGTATAGATGTTAGATCTGCAGCAATACTAAGGTAAGTCTCAGGGTTTTTCCTGGCTCAAATTGAGGCAGAGGTGGCACCATCCTGACCATGCGCCATGACGTGCATATATTTGTAAATTCAACTGTCTCACTTTCTTTTACAGGCAACATACTTTAAGTTAAGAGTTCAAAAAAGAGTGTGACCATTATCATGTTAAAGCATTCATTTATTAAAACTATATACATACACAAATCAGCTGGCAACTTTAAATTGAAAGTACACTTCATCCACACATCTCGCAACCAGACAGAACATTTCAGCCTCCTCTTTTTCATTCTGTAGAACCTCCTCATGCACTCCTTGTAGTCCAAGGCCTCCTGGTCTGGTCCATCAACGGCCACCTTACAACAGACATCCAAGTGCCTCTCCTTCAGTCTGTTCCACAGAGGTGTCTTCACCTTAAACAAAACAATTCATCATGCATTAAGTATTTTTGTTTTTATTCTGATACAGACATGAAGAGTGATAGTGTTTTCAATCATATATTATATATATGTATACGCTGCAGTGTCCTGCCTAAAAAAACGACAACCAATTATTTCTTAAACTATCTGAACTATGTTCTTTTAGTTTTATTTATTTTTTATTAATTATTAGTTATTATTTATTAGTTGAGTGTTTTTAGGTACTACCATCTTTAATATATTTCTCCTTCTCTTCTGCTGCTTTGTGAACGGCTGTCACCTCATGTCTTTTTAATGTAGAGCACTTTGAAAAAGGTGGAATTAGTCGATAGATTTAGCTTCAAACAAATCTGATGGGTAGGGGCACAGTGCTTTTGGCATAAATAGCAGTGCATGCCTTCCTCAGTATGCCTGAGCCAGGTAAATTGATTGAGCCACTGCTTGTCAAAGCCACTGGCTCTGTGTGGTTGCAGGGAAACCAGTGACCAGGCTGACTGCTGCTGCTCCCTCCGTCTGACCCTCCAGCTGGCTGTCTGATACCTGGATCACTCTGTAAGTCACCTTAGACACAACACATCACAATAAGAGGTCAGCACTGAGTTGCACCACTATGAATTATAGCATTTTAACTGCCTGTTACGTTTTTTCTCTGCTGTGTTTCACTTGGACTCTTGACTTTCCTCCTCGCGAGGTCGCTTTTTAAAGTACTGGCTGATTTTGCCTGTCATAACTGCAACACTAAAAAACGGAGGAAACCTTTTGTTTTAATAAACACGAATGGGGAGAAACAGAGACTTAACAGCAGTTTAGTGTTGCAATATCTTCTCTGTGATATATTGCATTGCGTCAATTGAAAACATTACAATGATTGAACTGTATTCCCGTAATCCTTTACCCCAGGCAGAGATCATTTCCTCTGCACAATAGAGAAAATCATCCCGTCATGATGCTTGTCATATTTTACATATCTTAAAATACGTTGCTGCAGCAGAGGGACATCATACACTCAATCAACACAGCTGGAGCTTTACGCTGTGTTGAGCGAAATCAATCGCTCTGGCTGGGGGCGGCACAAAATTAGGTGGAGGCGGCCGCCACGCAATTTTGAACGCAGGAAAAACCCTGTAAGTCTGGATCCTCTGGTCTACTAGAGAGCCTCTTGGTGATAAAAAAAATAAAGCAGCACATCAATGACTTATATGAAAAAGCTCTCAGGTTCACTGAAATTGCCACGTTTTTGTCAATTCTCAATTGTACCTGTCCGCCTGCTCCTTCTGTCTTGAAGAGGTATTTGATGGGTTGGTCAGTGAAGGTAGCAGCAGACTGAATGGTGGTAATAGCTGCCGGGTCCTCCGCTGTGGCCACTGACCCTAAAGAAGCAGAAAAAAACACAGAGACATGAACAGAGTAATGTGGTGTACGCTGTCCAGTGCAGCGAGGAATGCTCAGACTTGTACATTGGGGAAACTGAACAACCGCTTCACAAACGCATGGCTCAACACAGGAGAGCCACTTCCTCAGGTCAGGACTCAGCTGTCCACCTTCACTTAAAGGACACGGGTCACTCTTTCGAGGACAGCAATGTACAGGTGTTGGCCAGAGAAGACAGATGGTTTGAAAGAAGAGTTAAAGACGCCATCTTTACCAGACTGGAGAAACCCTCTCTGAACAGAGGGGGTGGACTCAGGCACAATCCCTTCAGCACCTACAATGCAGTTTTCAGCTCTCTCCCCAGGAAGCTCCACAAACATTCACACCTGGGACCACATAACCCAGGTGGCATGAGTCAGGTGGTCACATGACAGGGGTCGCTAACGACCCTTTCAGGTTAACAACCCTCGGGGGGGAACACCCGGAGATGGGTTTCTACAACCCATTCTTTCCAACTCCTCCCAGTCGTTGTCTGTCCCCTTCTCCAGTAAGATAAATATCTGCTCCTCATAATAATTAGAGCTGAAGAAGCTTCTTGGATAAGAGGCGAAACATCTTCTCAACTCTACACAGTCCAGTTGCCTGATTTTGGAGTCTTCTAGAAAACTAAAAAAAAAAGGTAGTTACTGGCAGAAACAAGGCCTCTCATGTACAGACTTACCCCACCCCCCGTTCTCTTTCACTTCTAACTTGCAATCACTGCACAACTTGAATGATTTTTATACTTGAAAAAGCAGAAATACTACTGAAGACAAGATCAAAAGGCTTACTTATATTTTTCCCTAAAAAAACACTATACCAAAAGCATTTTTCCCCCAAATGAACACATGTATTTTTTCAGACTCGGTGTCCAATCTTCTTCAAATTTGTTCACTGCCAGGTCACAGAAAAAAACTTGCTCAGAATACACTAATGTTGCAGGTACGCAGCAATATTAGAGTGCCAGCTTTGCCAAATGTGGAAGTTTCTCTGCATGTCTTTTAAACAGTTCTTCACCTTCGGCTCCCCTAATAGAAGACCTGGAGCAAAGCTGCAGCCTTGACTGAGTGTCTATGCTGTGCACAACGTGTTTAGCAGGTAAAGTCACATCAATACATGCCTTAAACTTTAAACACTGGCCTCACAGCTGAATGTCATACAAGATTACACGTTGTGTTCATTCTTAACTGAAGAGTACTTGAAACTCAATCAATTAGTATCCCTGGTTTAACCACATAACACACTGACAAGCTATAACATTTTCAGTACCTGGGCAACCTAATGCAAGTCAAATCATACGTTTCAAACTAAATGACACTTTTACAGAGCTTATACATCCTCTATTTTTGTTGACATTATCAAAATAGCTGTACTAAACGAACACTACTCACTGCAGTCTCAATAATAAAAATGTTAGGTACAGTTATCATCTGTCTGACCATGCCAACTTAAACTGAAAATGTAGAAGTTCACTCAAAAGTAGAATTTGTCGGGAAAGTGTTGTTTCCAATTGTCAAGGATGTTTGGTGAATAATTCATGTTATGATATATGTAGCCACTTCAAACCAGCATGTCTGTCAAATCTGTCTAATTTAAAGAAAATCAATGAATGATGGATGGTTGAAGCTGACCTGAACGGAGACAAAGATACCTTGACACGTTTCTCAACATATTTTGATGGACGTCAAACAACTTTTAATGCCAGTATATAAAGAAATAAACAAAAATGATGAAGATGAGCAGTAAATAGCTGGTGTACCTTCCTCGTTGATGGTTACATTTCCATCTGGTTCAGGGCTTTTCTGTTGGCTGAACACATTCACAAAGAAGACAAGTCATGTTGGGGTTACATTTGCGAGTTATAAAGAAAATAAAACCTGGTCAACAGGCTTAAACACTTGTCGAATGACTTGAAAATGCTTTAATTTGACAATGGCGCATTTTTTTTTGCCGTCCTACTCACCTCTTCATATCTGCAGACGATCCTGTACGAAGAGACCGCCTTCACTCTCTCCTACAGCCAGGCTAAAAATACAAGATCATAAGTTTGACAAAAACGCGTCTGTCCTCCCTTTCAGCTTTGGACTGTGTGTCATTGATAAGACTTCGAAACTCGGAGCAAAAATGCCTCAAACTATTTGGGAAAAAATATTCGTTTGCAGCTAGCCCTGCGACTAAACTGGACAAAACGTTACCCTGCTTGACACCGGAAATAGCCCTTCAATATAAAAGCCCTCTTATTATGACGACGTTATATTTCGGATAAAATGGCGTGATAAACTACTTTTTTGTATCAAAGCAATCCAATACTTATATTTTGTCCTTATTTTTTGAGTCTTTCAGTTGGGATTTTCTTAATTACGAATCTAAGACATGTTTAACATGGAGACTACAGCCGGAAACGACTTGCTCGAAGCTAGCTAGCTTGACACGATCCTGTCTTTCAGCTACTGTGCTTACTCGGCTCCAGCGGTTTTTACAGATGTTTAACATAACATTAGCTGTAAAGACAGTGTCTGCTCATACAATATGACGGTTTCTTAAATGTCGTCTACGGGACGTAATCGTATACGGGAGCTAAAGTCTGTGAAATGTATCTGACTCTGAACAAAGATCCACTTACACTGCAGTGGTCCCTCCCCCGGTATTTGTCAACAGACGAGCCCGACTGTCAGATGTACGCATGCGCGACAGGAAATATCCGTGCCCCGTTCCAGATTAGGAACCCCATACATGGGGTAAAAAGACCATAGGAGACCACATTTCATATTATCAAGACAGTTATGTTTACACTCATTCTGTTGGTTTGCAGGGATAAACAACATCTTGAAATATATGCGGATTCACTAGTTAGAGACAAAATGTATACATATTTACAAAGAACTAAATAGGGGATTTCATAAATGAAAGATAAATAATGAGACCATTTAGCCGATATTGATTGTGGTTCGCCACGTTTCCAAAAGGTATCCCAATTTTCCTCAACTTCTGAGGTGCTTTTCTTTGTTGATGCGGTTTCACATCCATCTTCCATGATAATCTTTCCTTTTCCTGATACCACGTGAATGCGCATGTCGGAAATATTTTGTGGACTATTTTTTTTATATTGTTGTTATTCCGCGTTGATCGTTTTTAGCGCCGAAATAAGCAGATTTATGTGAAAATCTGCTTGTAAATAAACCAGACTCTGGTTCAAAAGAATAACACGAGCCGCTGACACTGCGACACCTATTTACGGAAATAGCCACCAAATACGCGCTACTCTTTTTCACATGATCAACACAGCTGCAGGTTTACTGGAGTAGTCTTACCCTATGTTAGAATATTTAATTATAAAGACATTAAAGACTCATTTGTGATCAGTCTGAGACAAAACACTGGACAGCGCCCGTGGTTCGATCCCGGTGTGGGATGGAGAGCTGTATTCAAATAGAATTAGTTCGAAGTAACCACTGAGCTAAACCAGTGCAGGAAACACAGCGAGAAATAGACTTTATAAAGGTTATGTCAGAGAATACAGACACAAAAGCAGGGGTGAATGGGTAACTAACGAGGATAGTGAATAGAAGTGTTGTTTTATATGTAGTGTTTATTTTACCAGTAGAATTTACATCAGAAAATGGATGGATGGATTAAACAAGAGTTAATGCAGTTGAAGAATCTAGAGGTCAATATAGATAATAATGCAGAGAAAGACAAAATACATGATAAATCTGATGCTTATTTGAAACTTTGAGAGACAGAAGGCAAAACTCTTGTTTTTTTATTCTTAAGTTGATGTGCCCAATATTTTTTGGTGATTTTATTTTGCCAGTATTTCAGTCTAAAAGAAAACAAAAACCTATGCACTGAAGCAACCAAAAATCAACTTATAGATGTAGTGTTACTTCTCACTAAATAGATTCCTATACATTTAATGTACTTATCTTTCTGAGGTTTACCTTTTGACACTGGGAAGTAGGGGAGACCGGGGCTTGTTGTCACATGGGTAAGTTGTCACATTGCAATTATCTTCTCCACCTGGGGGCGCAACTAAAAAGTGGAATACTAGTTTTATTCCTTTACATAGCCAGGGGTCGTGTCCTGTCTGATAGGTGAAGAGCACATTGTTAGCTGAGATGAGCCCCAATTAACCATTTCGCACAACTTAAAGTAAAGAAAATTAACTTTATATATTTTAAAACATGTTGCATAATATTTTATGTTAATGTTTGTTCAATTACTTTTTCTAGCTCAATGATAAATATTTTCTGTGTCTGACTTTGATCTTTACTTTCAAGTAAAAAACTGAGAACAACAATAATTTTGTCCTTGTTTTATTAGCTGCAAAATCCACTGTGACATCTTACCCCATATAGTGAGACAACTTACCCCACGGTGGGGCAACATGTCACATGTTCACACTCTCTATTTGATTACTTATAACTCTGCACTGACACAAGATATGAAAATGACATGGATATGAAATATATACCTGAGACTTTTGTCTTATATCTGGTACACATTTTGTTTATATATGATGTATTGATTGCAATAAATATGTAAAAGTGTAAAAAGTGTGACAACAAGCCCTGGTCTCCTCTATTACTTCACACTAAATAGATTCATATACCTTCGATTTACTTATCTTTCTGAGATTTACCTTTTGACGTTGGGAAGTATGTGATGCAGCTGTTTGAAACTTTTTCCTCTGACAGGAACTGAGGTGAAGTTTTGCATTCTGTTAAATCATTTTGATATTTTCAAAACTAATGAAATGGTACAAAAACCTTTACACCAAGTGTAACAACATTTTTTTGCCACAAAATTGTCAATAATTTTATCCTTCCACTTGTGATGTGATTTGTAAATCATTTGACATACATACAGGTGAATTGAAAATCTTTATTTCACGTTTACAGCCATTTCTTTAACTCTTTCATGACATGCATCGACATAAAAACAGACGGATTATGCCCTTGAACAAAAAACTTCAGGACTGGACTATATTAAAGAAAGTCTCAAGTGGATCTGTGTCAGTGAGACTCACCAAACCCCGTATCAATGCAAATATCACATTAAATGTACACTTATCATTTCAACATTTACTTCAGAAAATAATGGATCAGCTGACATTTTTGTGAGTAAAAACAACAACAACAACAAAAAAGCATTCCTCTTGACAAAACAATGTGCTGCACAGCAGCTGAATGTACATTATGAATGTGCGCTTTTGTTCATCAGAGCTACTTGATCTTCATGTTGTCAGGCAGTCTGTCACAAGGATCCTCCACAGCAACAGACTCAACACAGGCCAAAGTGAAGTTGGAGTTCTATGCAGCAGCATGCCTGCACTGGAAGGACATTTCGGTATTTTTTCTGAAAGGAAGGTGAGAGACAGATTCAGCCATAATTTTTTAATCTATTAAAATACCTGTAACAAAACAACTATGCTACAAATACAAAGCACTGAACTAGCAGTTTAAACTAGTAGACCTTGATGTACATACTAACCAAAATATTATCCAAGATATGATGTTTACACTTCCAGGAGCCAATCAGAAGAAAGCTATCCTTCTCATGAAGTGTTATTTCAGGGTTGAAAAGGTGCCAACAATAATGCCATTTCAATGGTTAAGATGAAACCCAGTCCACACAAAAGCCTTATTTCAACACGTTCTTTTTTTCATACTATAATCACGAATATGGTGGACTGTGCGATGTTCACAAGATGGTCTAGAGACACCACAGAGAGAGCCGATATAAAACTCCTCCACAATCACTGTTTGGCGCTGGTCAATGCTTGGACGCTGCTATGGCTGACTGATACCTGATGGGCATATGCTCATGACAGGACTTGATGGAAAACACTGGTGAGTGGCGAGCTTGAGTGCTGGATTGAGTCCAGTATCAGTCTTTTTTTTTTTTTTCACTGTCAGTGCACCGCACAACCATTTGAGCCACAATATAAATAACATGCTGCTTTAAAATGACCATTAATATGTTTGTGATGGGGAGACAAACAGAGGCAGATTTCCCAGTGAAACCTGGTCAAATGTTCAATCAAGATCCTTGAACAGATGTTGTTGAAACCTTTTTATCAATCATTTTCCCAGTGAAAAAGTTCTCATTGGGTAGAGTTTATAAATTTCTTGATGTCCGTCTGGGAGCCTTTGGGCAAAAAAGCTGTCCAGCCCCTTCTGACCAATCAAATATGTTAACTCTTTTTACTGTTGTTGAAAACATGTGATACTTACTCCTTGCTTTGGCTGTGGTGTAATCGACGGTAATGTTCTTCATTTCAGTCCTTTGTTTTCGTGTTAAGATACAGCTGTAGTTCATCCGTGTTTGCGGGTTTGGTTGAATGTCGAGCTTGCACTTCTTATTTGATTCTCTCAACATGACGACGCCCTCTGATGTCTGAAATTCACAGTCAAAGGACGGGGAGAGTGGGCAGGGCGCGTAAATGCAGTCCAACCTTCAACACATAAAAATGTTGTGGTTACAGTTTTGAATGTATATCAAGGAAAGTAATGTCAAAGTAGACTTAGTGCTTGAACCTGAGTGTTTCATTCTTGGTTTTGCACACAGTGAAAATCCCAAAATCTCCTTGCTTTTTGGCAGCAGTTAAACCTGCAATCAGATCAGAGGGTGATTGTTAAAAACCTTTTGTTCTGTAATAGCTTTGTAGCAAACAATAGTTTAAAGATCAATTCACTCCAAAACGTATTTCTCCATGTTTACAATTCCAAGTGACTAAATTCACTTTGTCCTCAATCTTCACTTGTTGGCTACAGGAGCTTTGACGTCAGCCCAGGTCCTTATAATGTGACACTCAAGGGACCCCCTAACTTGTTTTCTTTTGTTGTTGAAGCCAGGGGACCAAATTTAAAAAGCATCAAAGGCCAGATGGGGGCCATTCAGCAGTAATGTGTGACAACATCTGGGAAACCGGGACTCACCATTTGAAACCAAAAGTCAATGTTGCAGCCAATGCCTTTGGAAATTTAGTCTTGGAAAGCGCTCATTGCATCATGTATGTCCTTAGAGCTGGAGGTTTGGCAGTTTTACACACTTTGTTACAAAAACCAGAAGTAAGCCTGGCTGTTATCTATGATTTAAGGTTCCCTTTCTATCAAAAATATCTAATATTCCACTTCAAAGATGGGAAGAGGTTCATCACTCATGAGAGACTGTGTGAGTGAGGAGTATGATAAGTTATTAATGTTTCCTGGTGTAACATTGCGAGGAATTTGGAGATTTCATCCTCTGCAGTTCATCATATCCGAAAAAGATTCAGAGAATCCAACAAAATCTGTACAAAGGCCAAAAACCAATGTTTGATGGTTATGATCTTTTGGTCCTCAGATAGCATTAAATACAGACTGAATGACTGAATAGGAAACCACAGCATGATCTCAAAATCATAGATCCTGTTTTTATTTGATATAAACATGATCTAGGAATGGTAACTACATTTCTGGGTCCCAGTTCACTTAAAATGGACTCATGCAAGTAGAAACTGTGGCAGTCTGATCAAAGTTTGATCTTCTTTTACAGAAATCACCAACTCTGCATCCTGCACTTTGAGAGGAGAACACACAGTTGACACAATCAGTGCCCATGGCATGGGTTGGGTGATTTACACATCTGGTAAGGCTCCACTAATGTTGTGGCAGGTTTTGGTATAATATTCACTGATATCCAGACAACGCTTCTCTTAGGGAAAACCTTCCATATTGCAGCAAGAAAATGTCAAACCATAACCTGTACATATTGCAACAACATGAATACATATTGTAGAAAACTACATGTGCTAAACCAGCCTGTCTACAGTCTGGATTTGTCACCATTGAAAACATTTGACGTGTCATGAAATGAAAATGCAGTTAAGGAGACCCTTAACGTTTTAGCAGCTAAAATCCTTCCTTAGGTGAGACTGGGACATTTCCCTTTATAAAACATAATACCACAGAGAGTTCTCAGGAGAAGAGATGATGCAACTCAGTGGTTAATGTGCCACGACTCAGCTGTTTTGAAATGAGTTGCTGGCATCAAATATGAAATGAGCTTTTAGTTTTTTATAAAAATGACAACAATTTTTTAGTTTCAACATTTGATTTCCTGTTTAAAATCCAGTTTAAGTGATTTACAAACCTTAAAATAACCGGTTTCATCATCATTTTATACATTGTCCCAACTTTTTACAGTGAGCTTACCGAGGAGGAGAAGGAGAAGAGGCACAGAGGCGAGCATTTTCCTGATCAAACTGTGACAGATGACAAGAACAAAATTCAATTTGGTCAATCAGGGAAAAATTAATGCATGCTTATCTCAGCAGGTCTCATGTTACATTTTCACATGACAACTGATGAGCATTCCATAAAAAAGACTGCAAGTAATTTAATGACAACAAAAGCAGAAGATTTATGTTAAACAGGTGTAAGTGAATATTGTGAGGAATTCAGTACTAATAAATGTTTTATATTGTAGGTGGTTCTAATGTGCAGCAGTGCATAGGAAGTAGATCTATAAGCAGGTGAATACTATCAAACTATAAAATAAGAGCAAATGTTTGACTTGCATTTCACTTCAAGGATTCGTGTTAAGATCTGCACCTGTTTGTAACCATGATGTTATGCTACAACCTTTAGCCTTTAACCTCATACCACTTAGTCAGACCAAATGTCTGACCAACAGGTCTCCTGCTTCGATTGAAAATGGCAACATGTGTAAGATGTAAATCAGCGTCTTACCAGTGATCTGCTCTTTGCTTTTTCCTCGTCTGTGTCATGCAGCAGAGGATGATAGAAATCCTAAAACCATTGTGATCAATGTTCTGGGCTGGGCACTATGAGAGAAACTGGGTGGGGACGTTGAGTCTAAGATGGCTTTAACCCTTTGAGCTCTCATTTCAGGAAAAAAGTCTGCCAGTACATATTTTGTAAGCACTGGCTCATGACAATGTACATTCTTGATGAACCTACCTATTATTTGTATTCTGAAAAATATAGAAATAAGGTTGTGTTGGCAAAATAGCCTAACAATGGATAAATGTATTGATAGTGTAACAAACATAAAAAAAAAATCAGCAGGTTTTGCTAAACTGACAGAAAATACCAGCCAAGATCCGGTCTTAATGTTCAAATAAAAAAACAAAATATTTCTTTGCACTGGTTTATTTGTTCTGTATTTTGGACATTGATAATCAAAATCAAGCTGAATCTAAAATAATCAACAGAAAAAAATAACCAACAGAAAATGGAGACCAAGAGTGATTGTTTTACCAGCTTGTAAAAATGTTTAGTTCTGCTGCAAAAATGTGCTTTTAAGATCATCACCCTATTAAAATAATGGCCTAAGTCATTTTTTGGCTAAAATTAGTTTTTGGCTTAAATCATTCAGGCCAAAAACTCATTTTCATCGAAAAATGACTTAGGGCATTATTTCAATAGGGTGACATTATGGTCTCTAACAGGAATTTCCTTGGTTTTGAAGCCATCCTCTAGTGGATACTTAGAGTATTGCATTTTTTTTTTTTTTTCAATTAGTTTATTTTTTCCAACACCTGAGGCTGCTGTTTAATTGTAATGTTACGTCTTTGAATATCTTTAAATGTTTGTCACTATTACCTACACAACCTAAAGGTTTTGTAACTGATTCATCTTTTTGCAAAATCTGTTAGTGTCTTTATCTCAGATCAGTCAACAAGGTTATGAGATTAAAAAAAAAAAGTCATCTTCAAAAAAATGTTTTTTTAACCACTTTTTGCTGAACATGTAACTCAATGTAATTACCTAATGAACATCAAAATGAAGAACATCTACTCAATCTAACAAAATTATTTTTTATAGTTTATGTGTCTACAACTTTGACCAACATGACAGTTAATGTTTTTACATTTATTCCTTGAAATATCATTTTTATATTCAAAAACAGACAGAGAAGGCAGTCATTTAACTAAAAATCCTCAGGTTGGTCATTTCAAATATTAACATCTGGATTGGAGCTGTAAAAAAATGACAACACTGCATAGGCTACATGTCAGTGTAAGACCAAGTGTTGCTGATTATTATGTGATGTTTGCACCGCGCTGTCATCAGGCTTTTTTACGAGCATTAGAGTTTACACCCTTTGTTTCTGATGCGTATCTATCAGTCTGCTGGTTGTGTAATTGGATTTATTCTGGTTGAAAATGGATCCTCTCAATATCATGTCCCATTGACGATGTCTTCACAGGAATCATTTTATCATTCACTTAGCTCATGCAGCTGCGTGTTATTACAACCCTTTAACTGGAAATTAACTGTGCATTAGTGCATTAAGACTAATGGATGTGGATTATATCATGATTTCATTTCCGGGATCTTGTCCCATAAAATACAGAAACAAAAACAACCTCACCTCGAAAAAAGAGGGAGGGGAGAGAAAGAGAGAAAAAAAAAAAAACATCAGGAAATACATGCTGATGGCAATAAACAAAACATTATTTGATTTAAAGGTTCTGTTTTCAATCTTCTCTATTATATCCTGAAGACTCTGTACTGGGATGACGGATGGAGCTGGTTAGGAGGAAGAGTCAGCAGACACCACATTATCAAAATAATGCAGCCTAACAGTTTATGCCCATAGCTGATGCCAATTCATAGTAAGACTATTAAACTGATTATAGTTTTTCCTGCAAAATGAGATGCACTGATTGGACAGAACCAACCAGCTCATTTATTGGTTCTAAGCTCTATAATGCTAAGTTTTTGTCTTTTTTTTCACTTCAAACAGCACTGCAGCACATAGTTTTTACATTATTTAGCCTATAATGAAATGCACATAAACAGGACACCATCATACTGGTACCAATCAACAGTTGTTCAGTGTGGACAGTGTATTCTGCTTCTAGTTAAAATGTAGGTTTGCAATTTTCTTTTACAGACCCGTCCAAACATTCACATTAAAATTACAGAGTGAAGTTGTTCTGACTGACACTCGTCTCATGTCCTGGGGGTGGGGGGACTAATATTTTGAAAATCATGGGCCTGTCTAACTGCACCTTTTGGGGTCACACCCACTAATTTACCTGGATGAAATGTGTCGTTTTTAGCCTTCCAAAGAAGCAACCTCCTGTTTGATAGAAAATGCGGCACCGCCATGACAACAGTATTTGGTGTAGACTTATGAGCCCTTGGGGGATGGATGAGATTGAACCAGAAGGGGTTGAGTGGTTATGTGAAAGCAGTAACTTCTTCTTCACTGTCAGATGTTGAGACTGGGACTCCTCTTCAGCACGAGGAGTATGATGCAGATGTATAAATGTAGGGCCAAACGAGTAGAGATGGGCACGGCAGTTCTTTTAGATGTACTGAATCACTGGAATCAGTTCACTAAAAAGATTCATTCAAAAGATTCGTTCACCAAATCACCGAATAATGTAGCCCTTGGCGGGAGAAGCCTGTGACTCCGACCTCCTGAACTGATATACAGCTGAACGGTTCAGGATTCAGTTCAATTCATAGCTTCTGGGACCGGGAGACGAGAGTGTTTGGTTGTGTTGCTTTGACAAACAGGATTGTAAAAATGAACTTGTTTATAAGTCATGATGTTTTAGGTGTACTGTACTATGGTATGCTATTTACCAGGTCTGCTCGTTAAATTGGGTTCAGCGAGTGATTCGTTCACTGAACATTTAGAAGAATTCAAACTGAACATTCACCGTTCCCTCGAAAACCGCTGCAATGATAGGATGCTGCGGGTTTAATGCACTACTTGTTACATGCTGCTCCTACTGTATACAAGTTGTTGTGGTGGTAATTTAGCAGTGAAAAAGAAAAAAAAAGATAGTTTTGTCCGACAAAAATTATTCCAGAGAGTGCAGTTCAATGCCTGATTCGTTCACCAAGTGATTCAGGTGTCGGTGCATGTGGTCCCTCATTTGCCGGTTGCTCAACTGGCAATGCTGTTGTTCCCTCCAGCTCAAAGCTCAACTGAAGTGAGAAACAAACAAATCACACAAGGAAGTGATTCGGTTCAGTACGTTCACTAAAAAGATTCGGTTCTTTTGAACGAATCGTTCACGATCCAAACAACACTACAAACTAGAACAGTTAGAAATTTGATGGTGAGACTTCATGCCAAAATTGAACTGTGCAGACCACACCCTCTGACAACAACTCACTTTTTTCACACCTCAAGATAAACGTTTCAAAGATGTTAGGAGCAAAAAAATGATGCAGATATGTTCAACAGTTTTGGAGACTCAGCTCGTAAAATGGCAGCATGACATTTCCTACTGCCACCAGGAGGCACTATCACTGGAATGAAATATCATCACAAAAATGTGCTCAGGTCTGGACTCTTATTATGCCTGGTGAGTTTGGGTCAGTTTGAAGCATGCATGGCTGAGACAAAAACTACTTGTTGACTTATCTGCAGGAGCCGAGACTTTCATTGATCTGGTCTCTGATCTGTCTCTTGGTGAAACTGCTGGGAGGGGCTGCACTTTCCAAAAACTGCTAAGACGGCATGCCACACCCCTTTGAAAATCAATCACACTTCAAATGGGAAACCAACAGAGTCTGCAGTAAGTTAAAATGATGGGTATAATACATTAACGTAGCCACAGAAAAATGCCAATCCTTCATGGCTATCCAATCTCTTGAGGGGCTGAAACCGTCTGAAAGTCTGACTTACCCCTGGATCTGAGAAAAGGTTTCAACAGCAGTTTCTAAGCGAAATCACCTGTTTGGGGGAGTGGGGCCTTTAAAACTGCCTTTAGTGACTGGAGTACAGATATACACTCCTGATCAAAATCTTAAGACCAGTTAAAAAATTGCGAGAATTTACATTTAGCACTGTTGGACCTTAAAACGGTTGTTAGTATAGTTTCAAAATGCAAAAAAAAAGAAGAAATGGGAACAAGAGACCAAAAGTTTTGAGCGGGCAATTTATTGAAAACAGTAATTTAACTGAAATAGGCTGTTCATCAGCTGATCAAAAGTATAAAACCACAGCCTTTAAAAGCCCAAATCTGTGTGAAAATTTGGATTCCATGTCATTTCTTGTCAAGAAGTCACACTGTCAACATCTCTTGATGGCAAAGGCAAAAAAGCTCACTGCCTTTGAATGTAATAAGATTGTTGAGCAGCATAAACAAGGCCTCTCAGAACGTGCCATCGCTGCTGAGGTTGGACGCAGTAAGACAGTCATTTTTCATTTCTGAAAAAATCCGGAGGGTTATGGAACAAAAAAAATCAAGTGGCAGACCTCAAAAAATCTCACCAGCACTGAGCCGGAGGATCCGAATGTGTGTCCGTCAAGACGCAGGACGATCCTCGTCCCAAATTGAGGCTGTTACAGGTGCTGACTGCACCCCAATAAGAATCAGACGATATCAGTGAAGGAAGGGCTCTTCAAAGGCCAGATCTCCTTCCTTTCTTCCATCACCCTCCGGAATCCAAATTTTCTCACAGATTTAGGCTTTTAAAGGCTGTGGTCTTAAAACTATTGATCAGCTGATGAACAGCCAATTTCAGTTAAATTGCTGTTTTCAATAAATTTCCTGCTCAAAACTTTTGGTCTCCTGTTCCCATTTCTTCTTTTTTTTTTGCATTTTGAAACTATACTAACTGTCTTAAGGTCCAACAGTGATAAATGTAAATTCTCGCAATTTTTTTAACTGGTCTTAAGATTTTGATCAGAAGTGTATTAATAAACTCTCATGGTTTATAGATGAAATAAAAAGTCTACTTTTAATAAATTGGACATTCATCTATTTTTTTTTTTTTAAAGATTGTCATGTGAAATCAACACTGGATTTTTCTGTCTAATCAAAACACGCAGCGACACTGGTTACAAGCATCACGTAATGTATTGTCATGTTAATACTAATTACAATCGCAGTTCACATCATTCAGTCCCAACCATACACTCTCTGTTTACACATTATTACACATCAGAACATCTTCCTCATAATCCAGACAAACTAATAAACATCATTCAACAGCAGTCAGGGAGGAACATTAGTATTACATATCATACAAAGACAGCCAAAGATGTGCTTCAGCAGGACCGGCTCATTCTGGGACTATTATCCCTGAACGGCTGGTATGATACAGCTGAGTGACGCCAAGTCCGGTCTAGAAAACAGGAAAGATGAGTTCAAGGACTCCAGGGTTTTAGAGACATTGTGGTATGGCTAATGCATGAAGGCTTGGTTTGTGGAGGAAAAAAGTGGCGTGTGCTGCTCCAGTTTCCCTTTGCTGCGTGAGAAACGGTTCCTATCTGGGGCCTGTTGTTCGGCAGGTGCGTGGTTAAGGTGTGGAGATGTTGTTGTCCTTAGCAGCTGTTGCGTCAAGGCTTGTTGTGCTTGTTTAGGTCCTTATCTAAAGAATGTCTTGTGCAGTTGCAGAAAAATACAAACAAAAAGACTGAGGAAAAAAAGTGCCCTTACTTTATCCGAGAAAAACACTCCCTCTCTCAGTGAGCACCGTCCATAACAGTACATGAGAAACGAGCTTTTTAAACTTACTGTACATTAACCAAGGCACTAGCTAACATTTTACGGAGCGGGTTTTACTCATTAAGAAAACAGAGGAATGAAAAGGGGAGCTAGAAACTGACAGGATTTCTTTGAATTAGCATGAATATTTAAAAGGAGAAAGAAGAAACATGGTCGGCCCGTCGTTACAGGCTACAGAGAAAAGAAAAATGATTCTGTTTGAATTGGATCCATCAAAATTGACCATAAAACAATAAAATGGTAGAAAAGGTGCAGGTCAATACTGTGTCCAGTTATTCTGACTGTTATGGAGAATAATAAACTTTAGACTCATTCGCAGATTCTTGATTGGTTACCCCTGACAACAGCGAGGAAAACCAGCGTGAATTCTGCTAAACTTTTACTCTCCTGACTCTCTGTAAGGCTTTTACACTCTTTCCTTTTTGCTACAGAGACTGTTCCTCATAATCTCCTTCACTATCTGGTCAGGCATCATCATCCATATATGGTATGTCCGGGTCAGAAAAACGTCTCTGGCCCTTTGAAGCCTGTAAATCTTGCTGCTGCTGCTGCTGCTGCTGCTGGTGACGAGGTGCTGCAGGTGCGGGGATGGTGATGGAGGAGGAGGATGAGGAAGCAGAAGGAGGGCAGGAAGAAAAACGCAATAATAAGTCACTCTCCTGGCTGTCAATGTACAAGGACTGAGTGCTGTCTTTGCGACGGCCAGGCTGCTCTCTTCTCTTCACCAAGTACTGTGACACCCGACTTCCAGGGGTCAAAGTCTGATCTGGATTTGAGGATGCAGAGTGGGAGAGGACGCCCGGGGGAAGTTTGACTGTGTCTGGAATGACGGGGTTACGACGTTGCAGCGGGTGTCTGAAGGAGGATTCAGAGGCTGATGAGGCACAGCTGAACACGGAGGAAGTGGAGCTAGCGGGGGTGAGGTTCGGCATTGAGATGCGTCCACTTAGGATTTTAGGTCGCTGGGCCAGGTCTGGTGGTTTGGGTGGGCAGGCTGGCCTTAATCTCTTCAGCTGGGCTCCAACCCGCCCTGAAAAAAAAGGGGAAACAAGAGGAAGAGATGAGGAAGACAGACAGACGAGTTTTCTTTGAAGCTGCTAGTAAGATTCACACAATCCAGGGAGGGTGAGGACCAATGGAAGATCATGCAACCATGTTATCTACGACATTTTTGTTCAGAAAGGCTCAAGTGGATGGAAATTCAATCAAACACGTCATGCCAATTGTCCGGGGAAATTGTTGGGGGGGAGAATTTTCAGCATGCTTCTGTTACACACATGCATTTAAGGGTGTGCAGATATTTGCACACACACACAAACACACAAAAAACACACAAACACGGTTGCTGTTCCTCCGACCTGCTTGGTTATAGAGCAGACGTCACCGCCCCATCACCATCACTGGTCCAGACCTGTACCACAAAAGACAGGAAGGGCCAAAGCCAGCGGCCCGTGGTCTGGTCAGAAACCCAAAGGTGAGCGAGAGAAAGAGGTAGAAGGAAGAAGAGGTGAGGAAGCAGCTGAATACCAACCTTCAGGCTCTGAGCTGTGTACAGAGGAGCGCTGCTGCTCGTCTAATAGGCTCTCGGAGCTCAGCGAGGCTTCCGAGTCCAAGTTCTCCTGGTCTGAGCCAGGCTGCTCCATCTCTGGCAGTCTGCAGGCCAGATCCTCTCTGCAGATGAAAACATTGGAGATATGAGAGACTGAAGAAGGATGCTAAACAACGTTGAATACGCAGAAAACACTGAAAGCACTCTTACTTCTCCTGTTTGATGGACTTGATTCGCTCTACCAAGTTCTTCTCGGCCTCTGTGTCTGAGTCTACAGGCTCATTCTCAGGAACCACACTGAGATCTGAACTGGCCTTCTCATGCACCTGCAAAAAAAACAACAACAAATCTCACACTCACTGAAAAAACTTCACTCGGAGATGTCTGCACCAAATCTGAAAGTGATTTCAGATTTTGTTAGTGAAGAGTAAAGAAGAGGCTGGGTGGTGCTTGTGGCATTCATGCATCTGCCCAGCATTCCTGCAGCGATAACATGAACCAGATTGTAGAGAAAGGCTTAAATCCAAAAGAAACTGGATCACACAAACTTCCACCATCTCACAAATGTACCGTTGAGATTGAGATACGAAACACCACAATAAAAAAAAGAGGAAACGATAAACAAGCTCTCACATTTCAAACTTAGTGGAGCACAACAACAAAATCATTGTTGCGACACCGACCCCAGAGCCGTCTTTCTTCTCATGAAGAGAACGAGTAGGACTGCACAGCAACATGCAAACTACTACCAGTTAGTTAGGAAGAGAAAGAGGGGATTAGGGGAGTGCCACCCACATCTACCATGCCATGCACAGGCGCTACCTCATGGCACTTCAGTATACACATTATAGCTACTGGAACTACTGTACTAGGAGGACTAGATGATACATACCACCACTCCTTTGTAAGGAGCTGAGAACCTGAGGGGTAAGTGCCAGAAGTGCTAAAGAGAGACAAGGAACATCGCCAATGTTACCCATGAACCCTGAAAACAAGACTCTGACACTGGGACAGCTGAACGGTTCTGATGATCCTCATGTATGATGAAATCACATACTAACACATTACTGTTCTAATCAATAACTGTCACTGTCTTTGTTTCTCACCGTGTTTTGTCTCTTGAGTTTGAGTTGGTTCACAGCCAGAGCCTCTGCGTACTCCAGCTGCTCAATCTCATCCATCTTCTCGTTGTAGCGCCTGATTTGCTCGTTAATAATCATCTCCACGCACCTGCAAGCAGAGTAATATTTAAATCAATTCGATACGTACAGCGCGGTGTGCACTCATCTTTATCTTTTATCCTGCTTTCACGACAGCCTTACGTGGTTGTCTTGGCGACATCTTTCATGCTGAGCAGAGGGTCAGCGCTGTCTGGGCAGCGGAGGATACACGGGGCGAAAACGATCGCCAACGAGTTTGGAGACATGCGGTTGTGAGTCTCCTCTTTGCACACCCTGCAAGAGTTGATGAGTTAGCACGTAGTTTAGTAGCACTCGTGTGTAGTAGTAGTAGTCGTCATATTTAAACATCTGAGTATTTCATTGATTGAAGTATTTATTTGTTTATTCAAGAGGAGAAAGTCACTCAAGAACATCTAATGAGTCCAAAACTAGGACCAAATACTCCCAGTAGACCGATGTCTTGTTTACGTCTTACCTGACCAGGTGGAAAACAAGTCTCTCCAATGTGTTGAAGTTGGCTGAGGGGAGCTCTTCCAGCACTTTGTATACAGCATGAAGCTGCTCCTGCTTCTCCGGCAGTTCTACATAGAGAGTAAAACACAAACTCATCAACAACCATTATAGTTTCTGGTTCTGTTGTTAGTCAGCAACAGTTAGTTACTGTAAACAGTCAAAAGCCCCACAGCAGCAAAAAAAAAAAAGAGTATCAAATGTCAAATTCTGCCCCCTGGTGGGTAATGCCCTTCTTACCCACTGCATGCAGGAAGTCATTATAATGTGTGAAGGTCATGAGTGGATCTGGCAGCTCCCTCAGCCACTGTTTCACCAGGCCTGTCACTGTGTGGATGGGGTAGTCTTCCAAACAGACCAGGTGGGGATCTAAAAGCAGGAATGGAAACAGTTACTGAAGGACTCATACAAGATTTTTCTTCTTAGTCTGGATATGAAACAAAGAAGGACTCGGACCCGTCTCCAGTCGCTGATGCAGCTCTTTTATGCGGTTGGCAGAGCCAGACTTGCGATAGATGCCCTCGGTGTAGAGGCCCTGCATCTCCACGTGCTCCAGCATCATCTCCAGCACCATCGGTACAGGGTTTTTATCATTGACCAGGTGACACACACGCACCCCAAAGTGCTGACCACCAGAGTCCTCATCACTCTGCAGGATTAGACAGACAGTTGTAAGGCGCTCTACTTTTACTACTAAAGCAAAATACAGAGCAATGCGATAAAAACGAAGAGAAGCAAGGTCAGTTCAGCTACTGTTCCGTGCCCAGTGTTGTTTGTCAAAGCTTGAAAGCAGGTGAATTGTACCATATACTTCATAAACATGCCATTAATCCAGGCCTGTCACGTGTAAAAACATAAAATAAACGCCCACCTTTTTGACACAGAAAGTGGTGCAGTCAGTGACGATTTTGCAGAGGCACTTCTTGTGGCACACCATTTTACAATCTGCAGTTAAAAACAGTGACGATAAGTTAGGGACATTATTTCTTTGACAGTAACTGCGTTACATGTATTCTTCGTGTTTAAGATAAAGACGCATTTTCTTGGCGTAAACCCACAGCTGCACATGTAGGCCTTTTCCATGCCCCAGATGTAGGAGCTGCACTGGTCACATGACTGCATGATGTTGACCTGATAGTTGACGAAAGTATGATCCAGAGGGCTCTCCATCTAACAGGAAAGACAATCAGCGAATAAAAATCCACATTTTTTAAAATACAAATTTTTTAGAACAATTTTTTGAAAAACATACATCTGAAAAAAAAAGCGACATCTGCAGGTTTGAACACTTACACTCTTATCTTTTTTCCTTCTCTTTTTTCTCGCTTTAGGCTGAAAAAAAAAGAGTAAGTATGTGTTTATGACTTTGTTTAGATTTGGAATAAGAAGACTGAATTGTAATGATTCTCCATATTTCACCTTTGCGGGCTCAGCCTCCTCTTTCTTCATCTCTCCTCTGATGAAACCATCCAGCACTGACTGGAACAGGTTGACCACAAGTTGGACTTCCCCTTTCTGCCTTTCGCCCGCCAGGTGGATTACTTTAGTCTGGTAGCAGGACATCAGACCTTTGTAGCCGGTGGTGGGTTTCTGGTCAAGATGATGGGACAGAAGATAAAATTGAGGAAGAGGAAAGGTTAATAAGGGAGAGCTATGAGACAGAATGATGTAAGATGTGACTGTTGTGCGCCTGCGGATAGACTTACGGGGAGAGAATACATGGCTTTGATATTCTCTCTGAACTGCATGGTAGCAGTAACAAAGATGGCTTCTGTGGCTGACAGTGATTTTCCTCTAGAGCGGAAATCATTCACCTATGAAGGACAAACAAATGTTAAGTGGGTGAAGACAATGAAACGACTTCTCAAGGAAACAAACATCTGGTAGTTTTTCTCTCACCTGGTTGCCTAGAAACTCGTCAAGGTGCCGCAGCTCGTTGGCGTTTGTGATTTCCCGATCGAGCGAAGCGTTCCACTGCTCAGAGACCCGTGTGGCTCGACTGATCTTTATGGTGGGGTTACGGCCCAAACCTTTACCGGCTCGCTCGCCATGTGGCTGGGCTGAGGCTGGCGCTAAAAGAGAGGGAGAATATTTCAAAACTTAGTATCGTGAAGTGGGATTAAAAGTAAAGCGAGTGATTCGTCTCTGGCTTAATTTTAAACACTCGACTGAAACTCTTAAACTCACTAAACACAGAGTGAGCGTAAGAAGTCTAATAGAGGGAACAAAACAAAGAGTTAAGTTACTCTCCAAGCACTGAACATAACCTGCACGGGTCAGTGTTTTTTTAGAAAGCAAACAGCGGGGTTAGTGAAGTCCTGAGAAAAATAGAGATAGCACACCTGTGTTTCTTTGCTTTTCTAACTTTAACAGGTCTGTTGAGAATTCACTGCAGCTAACAGACAGCTGCAGTGCACATCATATTAACCCCACAATCTGGGTCATCACATCCACACTTTGTTTATAGGAGGGAAAATAATCACTCTGTTTGCAGTCGGGAGTAGATCAGATTGATGCGAATTAAACTCCCTGTTCCACAAATATCCTGAGGTTTTTCTAAATCTTGACAAGGACAGATCAAAAGACCTCCCCCCTGTTGGCATGTTTACCTTCCCCTCCTGCTGATCGCTCATTGAGGGTTTGGGCAAACGTCAACTCTCCGTTGTCCGGAGTATGGGCTTCCCTGTGCGGTCGTTTCTTCAGAATCTTGCTGAAGAAACCACCTGACCTGCAGGGCACAGAGAGACAGACAATTCTGGATACCACTGACAAATCTTAAATGACTCATTACCTCATCTAACAAAGAAATAATCCAATAAATTCAAAGTCCAACTTTTCAACTTCATACAGTCTTTTGTTAAACTGTCGCATGTTCAAGTTTAGGTCCAGACTAACATTAACGTCTTATTTAATTATAATCAACTGTCGTTTTATCAACTGTTGATGGACAGTTGAGTCTTTGCTGATGACACAGGAGTTTTCTTATAGAAATTGTCTTTGTGCTTTATTCATCTCAATCATTTCGTCTCCATATCAAACAGATGCGAGGGGGGAAAAGATGTTGCACTCATTTTGGTACCTGTCTGGTGTGGAGGGGATGGGGTGTGCAGCATCTTGGTGACCAGAACTGTCCTGATGTTTCCTTCTGAAGGAGCTTCCCTTCGAGCCATCACTGTGGCACTCTGAGGGGGAAATCAACTGCAGGATGGACAAGAAGTTATATGAATTATGAATAATGGTCATGAACTAGAGTTTAAAAACAGTTTTACAATATCCACCATTGATGAATAGACACATAAAACTTTGAAAACATTCTTTTTATTGCAACAGATGGACGTTTAAAGCACCTCTCTGGCTGAAATAGCACCAGCTCCTTCAGAGCCTGGAGACAAACTGTCCACTGATGAGAAGGTCGATTCACTCCTGCAGCAGGATTGACACACAAATGTAAATGAGGTTCGATTCATTCATGAAAAAGGTACAAGTATTTTAGCACGACAGTAACAGGATATGAAAAGGATGTGTAGATGCATCTTAGATAAATCTGAGAGTGAGTGAGACATACAGAGGCTGTTTTTTCCTCCTCTCCTCCCTGTTATGAGACTGAGCAGGGCTGATGTTCTCAGGAATTTCTCCATCACTCCTCCTCTCCCTCCATTTCTCCGGCTTCTCCTTAATCGCTCCAGGACGGCGGTGCAGGTTTACCGCTCCGGACCCCTCACCTAGACCGTTTCGTTCAGGCATGGAGTCGGCAGGCTGCAGGGGTAACGAAGAAGGACGAACCGGAGCAGAGGAAGCTTTTGTCTCCTTCTTCTTCTCTGCCTTGTCCTCTTTCATCTTCCAGGCTACAAACGTGTACTGGTCCAGCTCTTTGCTGTCTGCCCGCTCTTTCAGCTTGGAGGGTTCTTGATTTTTGCTCTTGGGCTGGGAGGTTTGGTCCTTGGTGCCGGCCGTGGAGGAGGATGCTCGTTCTGTTTCTCGCTGGTTGTGCTCCAGTCCTCTCCGTCTCCTCTGCTCTCTCTTCTCCTGACTCCTGGAGGAGCTGCTCCTGTTGACAAGTTGAGGCCGTCCTTCCTTTTGTTCAGCACTGGAGGATGTGGAGGTATTGCTGGAAGGTGCTTTATTTGACTCTTCACCTGGGGATGTGAGTGTAAGTGCATCAGAGGTGCCCACATCAGAGGGAAGAGCTTGTTGTGACTCTTCTAGTGTTTCAGTCCTCAAATCCTCGTCTTTCTCTGTCTTGTCTGGCTGAGGTCCAGCCTCGGCCAGAGTACCGTTAGTCTTCAAATGTAATTCCTTATCCTCCAGCTCCTCCTCTTTGCTCTGTTCCTCATCTGTGTGTGAACTCGTGTTAACGCTGTCCTCCTTTCTCTTCTCCTCTGTCTCCTGGACAGGAAGGTTCTCATCCAGCATCTCTTCTGTGACCAGCTCTATATCCGTATCCTCTCGTGTTCGAGGCTCCCTTGCTGGTCGGTCCTCTGCTTCCTCTCTCTTTTTCTGTGCTTCTGGGCCTTTCCTGGCAGCCTCTTCCTCTTCAGCTCTCCTGTTTGCCTCCTCTTCTTCTGCCATTCTTATTGCCTCTTCCTCCCTCCTCCTTCTTTCCTCCTCCTCCTCCTCCTCCTCTGCTTTTCTCCTGGCCTCCTCTTCTTCTTCTCTCCTCCTTCTTTCCTCTTCTTCTGCTCTTTCCCGGGCTTCTTTTTCCTCTTCTTCCTTTCTGCGTTTATCCTCCCGTAAAGATTGGCACCTGGGAAACATTTAGAATAAAACAATAGATCAGGTTCTCAGAGCACTGCTTGTCAGTGGATTCGTTTTTGATGACATCTGAGTACTGACCTTCTTCTTGCCGAGTGTCCTCTGACCAGGGCTTGTATTTTGGTAGCACCCTGTTTTTGGAGGCTGAACTCTGTTCGCTGTCTGTGTCCCCTCCACACGGCCTGGATCAGAGTAGCTGCCTGTCGTCTCTTCTCCCTTTTGCAGTACCTGCGCCATGAACGCTGAGGAAACCGGAGAGGAAATTACACACCTGAATGTTACTTTAGGACCGTTTTCTAAGGTCCCGACAATTGTTGCATTTACCTGAATCAAGATGGCTGCCTGTCTCATGTCCAGAAACTCTTTCCTCTGCAGGCGAGCTCTGAACCAGCGCTGAAGGTAAATGATCTTGCGCATTACATCCTTGTGCAGCGTGTCCTGCAGCTGCTGTCGCTCCAGCTCCTTCAGGAAGACCTGAACGGGGACAACACGTCAGATTTTAAAGGGACAGCAGAGGACAGGAAAAGAAGAATCGAACTCAAAGAGTCGTGAGGAAGGTCTACCTTTGTTTTGCCTATCTGGTACGTGGTGGGGTCCAGGCCCATCTTTTTATCAAGCAGTGCTGAGATGTCCTCTTTAGAAGCAGTTGCATTCTTAGGCAGCAAAACCCTGAAATGCTCGACGAACTCCTGAAGAAGCGACAAAAACAACAAAGGTGTTTTAAATTAGAAGACTTCTCAAGAGATGGTAAAGAACCTAAAGCCTAATGTTGATTAGATTTGACACTATTACATTTGTATGAGTAACAGTGTTGGACACCGGTCAATACACCTCTTTCCAACATCAAATGTACAGCTCTTCGGTGCCTGGTGTGACTGTGTGTGGTCTTGGCACCTGCGGTAACTTTACCTGGAATGTGTACTTGGCTCCATAGCCAGACCTCCTGATTCGGACAGTTTCCAGCATTCCTGTGTATCTCAGCTGCTGAACCACCAAGGCTTCATCAAGATACATCTCCTTCTGCTCATACACAAGGACACAAGAGGCATCATCAGTAATGCTCTTACCATTTAGATATCCATGACAGATTAATGCAGGAATTATAAGGCAAATATACAACTACTACTAAACATTATAAAACAAATCTTGACCCTGTTCAATAAAAAATAAAGGTGACACTTTATTTGACGCCTATCTCTGTAACACATTATAAATGTATATATAATGCGCTATAATCACGTTATAGCACTGTATAACTATAGTTATAAACACTCATAAATGATCATAATGCTTTATAGCTATAATCTTAACGCATTATAAAGCATTTTATCATGACTTACAGGGTCAGGTATTATAATGTGTTATAACTGTTAACAACAGTTACATTATATTATCTATGTGGGCATTGTCAGTGAGTTGTTAACAGTTATAACACATTATAATACCTGACCTTGTAAATCATGATAAAATACTTAAGAATGTGTTATGATTATTGCTATAAAGCATTATCAACATTTGTGAGTGTTTATAATGGTAGTTATACAGTGCTATAACATGATTATAACACATCATACATGTATTTATAATGCATTACAGAGATAGGCATCAAATAAAGTGTTACCAAAATGAATTCAGTGTGTACAGGGAAAAAAGTTGTGTTTAGTTGGCCTCCATCCGTTTAGACCAAAGATTTCCACACAGAAATGTCTACATACTGGGTGCATATTTTACAGAACAGATTATTTTGCAACAATTACCTCTGTTTATACAAAAAGTTTTACCTTCTGTGCATTAGAGCGAATACAACGGATGAAGAAAGGCTCGGCCCTGTTCAGAGTCTCCAAGAGTTTGGTCAGAGAAGTCTGGAGTAAAAAACAAAAAGGGGTCATATGAAGGGCTTGTTTTTTTGTCTTTATATTTTTATTTAACAAGGAAGTCCCATTGAGATTTGAAATCTCTTTTGCAAGAGAAACTTGGCCGAGGTAGCAGCCATACAGAGTGAAAAAAAACACATGAACAACAGACTGTTGTTGTTGTGATGTTACCTGAAACTGAGCACTGATGCTGGGGGGCTTCTTCTTCTTGTGCAGGTGGAGCAGAGACTTGGTGGTGCGATCGTGCAGCGTCAGACTCACGATGAACTTCAGAGAACGTGAATCCAGCAAACTCTGCAGAGCCGTGATACAGTGAGTTCATTTGACTGTGATGAGTTTATGACAAACTAATGAAATCACATCAACCCTAAACCAGTAAAATGAAGAGTCTAACCCAGATTTACCTTGGGGATCACCTGCCTCTGTTTGGTGTTCTTGTTTTTCCTGCACAAAGAGGAGAAATAAGACAGAGTGAGATAGAGGGACTCAAGCAGTGTTACAGCCTTTAGGCTCAAGGATGGAACAAGTAGTGGATGGAGCATGTGAAGCCGGGTTAGTACGGATGGCTGACTCCTTCATGCGCTGTCAGTCAGTCAGTGATGAAATCAAGGGTTGAACCTAGAAGACAGGATGACTGACAAAAAGAGGTGAGGCATAACTGAGTGAGGAGGAAGAGGCGGAGGAGAGAGTTTGCTACAGAGGATGGGATATAACTCTACTGATCAGCCCAGCAGAGACTCGCAATACTCAGACAGACATGCTCCTTTGCTATCTTTACGACACAAAGAGCCCTGACAATGTCGAGAATGTGCTGTAAATTTTTAGCATGCTGCTGTAAGGCACCTAACATGCCGGTAAAGTCCCCAATGGTGAACATGCAGCAGGTAATAAAACAGTTCTTGAGGTATTTAATATTCAGCCTTTAAGAGGAAAGTTATCGACAAATAAAGCTGCAAATGCCACGTCTTTTGATTTACAGGAGGGTAAAGAAAAATGGATCAAAACAGCTCATGGGCTGCACAGGGTCGAACTATCTTTGCTTCAATATCAAGAATTGAATCTGAGCATGTTCTGCCTGAGCCCACTACTCTACACTGATCCGGAGGAGAGCTGATGCCGGGTCTGTCTGCAGACTCACTGAAGGACGTGTCGAGGGAAGCGGAGGCGACCCCAGGACTGCAGCAGCTTGCGAGGGTCCTCACCATCCAGCTGCAAGTTCTTAATGGAGCTGATGATTTCTGCATGCATGTCTCTGATCACACCATAGACACACGCCCAACGAGGAGAGGGTTAAGAGGAGGGAAGTACCAAGAGCCACAGAGGAGAGGGGGGGGAGAAAGATTTGGGAAGGAACGACAAAAGGAGGAAGGAAAGAAAAAAAAAGTTGTAATGTTGGATTTGATAGAACACCACTGTTAGGATACCTCGGAGGAAAAACAAACCACCGCAGTTACCCAAAACAAAGACACACACACATACACACACACACACACACCGCAGGATGGCTGGGGGTCTGATGTCAAGAGGAACTTCATGCTCTGCTCATCTATAAAAATACCCACAAAATGCTCTCTTCTTCTTGTCATTTTTATGTACATGAAAACCACAAGACACACTCGACCACCCAACCATGCTGCTGTAACCTTTTTCAGAACAGAGAAACACATACAGGGAGAAACCGCGGGTTGTATTCACGCCCGTAGTCTTGTCGCTGTGGTAGTACACATGCAGAGCTGAGCTGATGTTCAGTGTGGTTGGCTGCCTGTTTCCATGCTGGTTTTTTTTTTTTTTGCGGCTGTAAGTTGTTACTGGTGAGGCTGTTGGATTTATGGTCCTTAATCTGGACCAGTGAAACACTGTACACTGGGTCCGGTGAGGTTAATATGGTAACGTTCCTGTGTCCCAAGGCTGGCCCATGCATTTCTTTTCTATACTTACCATCAAAACAGAGGCCAGGCAGGAAAGAAGAGGCGACACATAAAGTATACGAGTCACAGTGAATTGGACACCTTTGAGTTTGCTCATCTGGATGTTTTTATGACCATATCATGTTTTAGTGGGTTAAACTCATGATGGTCTGTTAAAAAAAACAGCCAAGTGATTTAAGATCCAAATGGCATGAGCCGATCCAGTGTAAAAATTCAGAGGGCCAAACAATCCAAAACTATCCTCCATGGTTTGTTTCCACTTTAAAAAAGCTTTTCAAATTCTTTTGTCTATTTAACTTGAGGCCCCTGTGCTTGTATGAATACATATGTGCTCCCAAAGCTCTACAGCTGATGTAAGTAATCCTGGCTAATCACAGTAGGCCAGTACAAACACCTTCCTGTGCTCTATAGCAAGAATAATAAACCTAAGAATGGTGATAGACTTTAGCAGCTACAGAGAAAACATGGAGATTTCAGCAAAGTAAAGGGCAAATCTCTCATGCTGTGTTAAACTGTGTCTACTGCGAGCTGCTGCTTTCATTTTTAAAGAAGCAGATGTTGTAAGAGTTGATGAACCAAAGCGGTGACAATTTATTTGACGCCTCTCTCTATAACGCATTAAAAATATATGTATAATGTGTTATAATCACGTTATAGCACTGTATAACTATAGTTATAAACACTCATAAAAGATCACAATGCTTTATAGCAATAATCATAACACATTATAAAGCATTTTATCATGACTTACAAGATCAGGTATTATAATGTGTTATAACTGTTAACAACATTTTACATATATTTATAATGCGTTATAGAGACAGGCGTCAAATAAAGTGTAACTCTAAAGCTTCTTCATTAAAACTAGATTTAGAAGCAGACTGAGAAAATGGAGCAAACTCATATCTGTTACCATAAAAAACCCACATTTCCTTCCTGCTTGGCCTCATGTCTTCATTGCTTTCTCCTTTGTCTTTTCTCCTTCGACCAAATTCACTTACTTCTTACTCTCATAGCTAGCAAAGATGTCTTCAAAGGCCTCTAGAGGGCGCTCCTCTGAGTGATCAAAGTAGAAATCGAGCATAGAAGCTCGTCTGTGGATGGGAAAGGGAGAGGAGAGAACCGCACACACCAGGGTCACCAAAAGGTGGAGAGGATATGGGTGATGAGATGAGCTGAGGGAGTACGGGTCCGACTCAACCTTTGTCTTTGTCAGTCTCTCAGGTCAAATATATCATAAGATCTCTGATAAATACAGTTTAGGTGCTACACATACTCCTTCCTCATCTCACGCAGCACCACAGGATAACTGTGGAAGTCCACAGTTCCCCATTAATCTTAAAACATTCCTTCACCCAGAAGCAAACAGGAAGTATGCTGCTGTGCATTTAATACGTGGAAGAAAGGCTGCAGCTGCAGATGGGCTGCGTATTATATTGATTGCATGAAAATTAATCAGTCCGTGTCTCCTGCAGGGTTGGTAACATAGTTAACAGAATGATGATCTGCCTCAATCTCTACAGGCACTATGGCAACCAGTCCAAACACGAGTGAAACATGCTTCATGGTTTCTCACTGGAACATGTTTGAGACTTACTTGTACATTCGGTCTATTGGGGCGTTGGGTCGCTGAAGCTCCCCTAAAGGAGTTCTTGTGATTGGACGGACAACACCTTCAATGAAAATACAACAAAACAGCAAATTAATAATCACTATGAACATGTTCAGAAAAGTATCACAAGCAGGCTTTCAAGTGCAAAAAAAGGCTAAGAGAGTCACATGACTGCAGAAGTTTTGTTGTTTTTGCTTTTTAGTTCTATTATTCCACAGTGAAAGGCACTTTCGTCTGTGTGCTGTATCTTGAGAGTATGAAATAATCCTAGAGGAGGGTTGAAAACTGCACGGAAAAATTCAAAATCTCCTCCAGCCTTATGTTTTGGCATATTCCTGCATGCTGACATGTAAGGCTGATTGTCAAACAAAGAAACTGTAGTGCTGTGACACTGTGGCAAAAGATGCTGCTTTAAATCTACTCAAAGGAAGTGTAATATTTTTCAGTAAATCTGTTATCCATCTGCCTTTAAAATATACTTTTTAACACCTCCTCTACAACACTTTTGACCGTTCAAGACTAGAAAAGAGGCTGTAAATCTTTATTTGACTGTTTTTCGAGCGTTTTAACAGGCCACCAACAACAAAAAAGTGAGGCTCAGACTCTTAGTCTTGACTATTTTTTACCATAGCACATGCTGAAACCAGCCATCTAATGACTTACCAGATGTTTTGGCAGCCCAGGTGCGACCAGCTTCATTAAAGGCAGCAATGCCTCTGATGGTAGCACGCAGGATACCCCATCTAAACATGGCCACCGGGTCCATGCCGATGAGCTGGCGCACATATGCCCGGTCGCTGCTTCGCAACAACGCCACAATGTCCGGACGCATGTGGTCTGTGTTTTTCTCCCGGAAATCCTGGCAAGAACAAACAAATCAACAACATTACAGACATCAGGTAATATTCCAGGGTGTACGAGTAACACTTCAGAACTATCCGTCCTCACCTTGATCTGGTATTTGACCTTCCCAGCAAAGTGTCGAATGACAAAGGCAGGCTCCATCACCGGTGTGGGGACAAAGTACTTGTTCCCCTGGTGCTGCTGCTTGAATTTGGCCAACAATGTCTCATCTGTTGCATGGGGAAAGCTGAAGAACAGAGATAGAGCAGGAGGCATGAAAAATGAGGAAAGATAACGTGTCACAGATTGATAGACATCTTCTTAAGAGAACCTTTAATCCCACTCACAGCCACAAGACATAAATCATAAATCAAACAAACAATGCGTATTATGTGTAGCTCTTCTTACTTGCTCTCCTCATCCAGCAGGTAGAGCAGGCCGGTTGGTTTCTTGCTAATGAGGTGGATACAGCCAACATTGTCGGTGTAGTCGATGTTGTGCCAGGTGATTCCCTCTGCTTGGTACTCCTCCTGGAAAGAGCAAGACGTAGAAATGTATCGATGAATAATTCGAACGCAGGTCAATTTAGATCACGCTGTATTGCTGTTTCTCTGTCAACCTGAGTTATTCACTCCACTGGTCTAAAGTGCAAGTTCATAACTGATAAAAAAACAAAGTAAAATGTAAGAAGTTTGACTAAAAACTCCCCAAATGTTTTCCATCAAATCCAACCTTGCTGTTCTTCTGGTGTTTCTCCTCAGAAGTCTGAACGATAAGATAAACTTCAAAATCATTATGAAACCTCTCCTCCTCTTGGAGATCAGGAAATGCTTGAATGACTCACCGCTGAAGAAGTCATTCGTATAAACAAAGGTCAGAGAAGCTATCTAAAAGTTTTAATCCAAGAGGTGAAAGTCTTCTGCTGTTTAAAAAAAAAAGACAACTGACCTGCTCCAGATTGAAGATGTGGTGGTTGAAATAATATTGAAGCTGCTCATTTGCATAGTTGATGCAGAACTGCTCAAAACTGTTGGTTTCGAAGTCCTCGAAGCCAAAAATGTCCAGGACACCGATGGACAAGCACTGGAGGTTCAACAACAAGTGACACCAGTGAGGAGTAGGAAGAGAAACGTACGATAACAATACCATAAGAGAGTTCAATATTTATTTAGAGACACGCTGGATTGTATTTGTGTTCCTCTGTGTGTCGATGTGATTTGTCTCTTACTGGAACATGTTCCTCCATATCTTTCTTGTTAAGCAGTGCGTGATTGATGCGCAGAACAATCCAGTCAAACAAGGCGCTGTACAAAGATTTGGCCATGGAGTCTCTGGCTGTGATAGCCTGAGGGAGGAAAGAGGATAGTATGCATACATTTTTGATCAATTAATCAGATTACATTCACAAGTTCAGTCTAATTTCATAGCGTGCTTTAGAACAAGATAGTATTACAACACATAAAGTCTGGTTGAGGGTAACAACTGGGCCATTGAGCACTACTGTTGTTACTGTGGATTGCAGACATGCCTCCATGTTTGGTTCCTACCTCCGAGTGGCTATAGGGGAGGATCAGCTTGTCATTGACGGTCACTGTTTTCCTCTTTGTCAGAGCCTCGACCAGCAGCTCCTCTTTAACCTGAAAGGGAGCCAGCACAAATGACAGCTGACACACAAAGAAGACTCACAAACCCCTTAAAGCGTCCTTTAAAAAGCACCGAGTGTATGTACCTTTAACAGGTCAGAGAGTGTGGCGAGAACATCAGGCGGTCCCACATCCAATCCCTCATCTCGGCCTGTTGACTTCCTCCTGTAGGTCACGTTGCCCAGATACAAGATGGCCGAGAGCACAGAGAAGATCCTGTAACACAGTCGCAAAAATAGTATAAATTGAATGAAAAAATGACACAGCTGCATAAAACAATACAGTCTTTTGATGTGTGGTACAATTAAAAGTCTTATGCTCAATTAGAAAAATGAATAGCAGCATTGTTAGCACTACAATTGCATGCTGTCTCTAATAAACTGCAACAATAGTTCATGAGATATATTAGCCCATTGTGTTTTTTGGGCTTTATGGAGACCAAAATAACATGCTGTCAGGACTAAAGGGGGAACATGCTTTACAGTTACACAATCTATTTAGGATGTCTGACAGAACTATTTACTTCCTTCCTGTATTACACATGATAAACCGACTATTTTTTTTACTGATTCACTTACTGTTTCTTTGTGGCGGGGAGGAAACCAACCATCTCCATTGCCTGCTGCAGCCTTTCAAAGTCATGACGTAGATCTTCCTCATCTTCAATCTTAAAGTTTTGCTACAAGGACAGAGAGCCAGAGAGTAGAGTCGTGTATAAGGGAAGGAAAATTGAAAAACAAACAGGTGAGGAACGAGAGAAAGAAAAAAAAAAGGAGACTGAAGAGCAAGAAAAAGGAGAACAAAGCCTGCTTCATTGAAATGCAGGACACATGTGAGCATTAAGCTGGGAGTTTATTCAGCGGCTTATTCAGAAGCTTGACAGTCTCCATGAATACAGAGTCCACACACAGAGAGTAACAGTGTTAGATTTAAGTGGCTGTTCGTGTCTGTAGGGATGAGACTCTAAACTGTTGGATTCGGGACGAGGAGCGGTACCATACCTGCTTGAGGTAGAAGTATTCTTCAGGGGGCAGCAACTTGAACTCCTTCCTCTCCTCTTCTGAAGCTCCCAACAACAGGTAATAAAACACATGGTAGTTCCTGTTAAAACAAAAACGCCAAGTAAAGCAAAACTTGCTCCTTAGGCCAACACAACTGTACCCACAACCGGTTATTACAGCAGGACACTTTATCTAAATGCTCTTCAATTAGTTGACTTATTCCTATGTGCATATCTTATTTGTTTGTTTTGTTATCCTAGTGAACACACATCAGTGGATATGAGCTCCATGTTTAAGGTCACAAATAAGCAGGGTTTCAATAATAAAACAAGAGTCAACATATTGTAAAAAGCTAATAGACAGATGGCAATTTCAGGAGCTTGATGTTGTTAATAATATCATGTACTATCAGTGGGCAGGTAGGCAGATAAGTGACTGTACTATGTTTAGAAAGCCCATGGGAGTAATGAGTTTCCACACTTATCACTAGGAAACATGACATCATACTGTAGGCTCACTCCCTGACTAGACAGGCGAGATATTCTGTCAACAGAGAGTGTAGGCCGGGTAACCGACAGTACGCCATGTAGGCTGCTAGGAGCCTGGAGGTTACAGAGGCGGGAGGAGACTACGCTTTCCAAAGCGAGCTGGAAAAATCTATGAATGAGAAACGTGAATGACAACTCACAACAGCTTCAGCTTTTTTTTTTTTTTTTTCTTCTCATCAAAGCAGAAAATGTTTCAGCTGAGTGGCTCAGTGGAAGACTGTGGTTTACAGACCAACACCCATGAGAGCTTCTGTGCAAACGCATCTAAAATGTCTCAAATGGAAACATGGTAAGTGTAAATAGAAAAGTCTTTCGATGATAACAACGTCAAAATGATTACCACCCTACGGCCTCAGTCTGTAGAAAAGTATTCATATTAAAGTTATGAAACAAATACAAACATAGACTTTAATTATAATGAGTCAAAACAAAGTTTGACTAATTAATCAGTGTTTCACACAACTTCAAATTTAAGAGCTGAAATTAATTAGCTCACTTCCCAAACACTCTTATCTCATATTAATCGCACAACCAGCAGCAGGCTACTGTTAGTCTAGAGAGTGGTGAACATCACAGTGAGCAACAACTGCTTGTACGAAGAAGGGGAACTCGACGCGGTGACATGGCGAGTGTGACTGCTGCTCTCCAAACTGAGAGATAGGAAAGTGATTTTTTTCTTCTTCTTTGTATGTAAAGCAGCAGCAGTTAACTCTTATCTTACATAAACAGGAGTGACTGAAGGTCACATTAAAATGAGGAAACCCAACAGCGCTGATCTCATCCATCACAGGAACATACATACTGTGTAATAACGGATTTAACACCTGTGTACAATCATGTATTACACGTCTAATATCGCGGTCTGCATGTCTCACTTCAAGGTTAAATGTGTGTTCCTGGGTGAGTACGAGTAAAGGTAGAGGAACATCTGAAGTGAAAGGCCTGTGGTTGAAGCTCTTAGCTGAACTTCATCAGAGGCCTTCCATATTTGCACAAAGGGCCCCCATGGAGGTCATTTAGGGTTAAAGGTCGGGACCCCTTCTGTCCCCCATTACCTCTCGTTCTTCTCTCTGGAGACCAGACGAGACTTCTCTAGAAGATACTTCTCCACCACGGCCCTGAAAGGCAGAGAGGGGGAAGGAGGAGGAGGAGGAGAAGAAAAAAGGGGAAGAAGAAAAACAATGAGGAGGAATCACTTAACACCAAAGGTCACTCTGCTCTGTGTGTGTGTGTGTGTTCAAGTCATATGTGAAAGTGGGCTGGTAATAAAAAATGAGGGGAGGAGTAGGAGGGGAAGTGAGGGCAGATGGTTGGAACAATCAAAGAGTGACCAAGGCTTTCAGAGCATTACAACACACACACAACTAGTCCACTTTTGCATCCATTTGTTCAGTCCTATAGTATGTAACAGTCTGACACAGGAGACTAGAAAGCCGCCACAGAAGTAAAGGCACGCTTTCAGACCGCTGCAGTCATGAGATATGCACTTTTAAAAGCAGTGGTATTTACCCGAATACAACAGGCCAAGACCATAAAGTCGTCCAAATCAGATTTTATAAGTCAGAAGTGTTTTTCTTTTTTTAAAGCCAGGCAAAACAACACTGACGCCAGTCTTCATGACACACTAAGAATAGAGCTGTTCTGTGAGAAACACAGCTGCCTCCATCTGCTAGAAGGTAGAGTCCAAGTTAAGTGTAGATCAAATGATACCAAGTTTAAACTTCTTCTTTAAAGACCTGCTGACAGTGAGTTTCAATGCATTTTCTCATTTTTACTAACACTGACCTGAGCAGCCGATTCACAACAGAAATATTATCACTTATTGTTGACATGATTCCTGGTAGATGTCTCTAATGGGGCGTTGCGAATACTGGAATAATAATGTTATAATGGCACTTGTGAATACTGTTTAGCTTTGTGCATGGATTTGGTGTGATACAATACCATGTAATGGGACACAGCACGCTAAAACACCTTATGTTATGACATGATACAATATGATATGAAACAGTATGATAGGATGTGATTTCTGGCATCTACTTCATTCATGGTTTTAAAAAAAAATAAAATAAAATACTGACATACAGGTGTTATGACCCTCTATGGCCAAGTTTAAGACTTGAAAATTTCCAAACTCCTCGATAATGTGTCTAGTGAAGATGAATCAGGTGCTTTTCAAGTACCGGTCAGTATCAGAAGCCTTTAAACTAGATAAGCAAATGATGCATTCATCAAAAGAGCCATCACAGGACATTAAATACAAGTGCCAAAAGCTAGACTGTCTTCTTGTTTGTTAATATCTGCTCAAAAGAAAAACGTACACAGTAGTCATTTATCTGTCAACGTTTTTACGAGAGTGAGAGAACGCTCGACACGTGCAGTCGGGAGCTTGAATACAACACGTGTTCATGTACAGACATATTTCACTGACACACACCACTGTCTTTTAACAGCTCTTCTAAAGGGTGGGTGTTCCTTTGCATTGTTTCACACATCTCACTCAGATCCCAGAGAAGAGGGATTAGCCAGAGACCAAGAGAGAGAAAGAGAGCGAGTGAGTGAGTGAGAGAGAGAGGAGGGGAGAATAAAAATATCCTGTCTGTCAGAAAGCAGAGCAGAGTGGAACAGCAGCCTTTCCTTTGTTAATCTCCTCTATTGACTGTCTGAATGGCTGCCACTGGAGATGGAGAGATAGACAGACAGCCTTTGTGAGTTCTGCACAGCAGAGTTGGCGTGGCCACTCTGTATCCAGCAATGATGCGGCACTACACTGGCAAGTAGGGGGTATGAAATAAAAAAGATGCAGTTTGTTCGCCTTCATTCATGGTTTAGAGTGTGTTCTTGGTTAGGATGGTTGACTTCATAGACCAGAAAAGTACAAGCCAGCTGAAATTACCTCTCCTGATTGGATTACAGACCCTTCCCTTGGTAAGAAATTCAATAAAGCATGATGAGACCTGGTGCCATTAGAGGATAATCAGGTTGGGGGTGCTCACTTACCGTGGAGTCGAGCAGCTGTCGCCACAGGCTTTAACATGTTTCAAATCAACTTTTTTTATGATTGCAATTGTGCATTTACAACAACAGTAATTTCTCTTGCTGTTGGTTGCTGTTAGTTCGAATTTCTAGCTGCCTGTCACCTATAAATCTACCACAATTAGAGCGCAACAGGTTTTCTTTCAGCAGCCGTTTCCCTCTCCTCAAGAGGAAATGAGGAAGTAGCACAGCTGACCAGAATCTGACTGCTGAGAAAAAAGGAAGGACGTGCTGGTGGTTGAAAGTTTCAGACTACACAAACACACACAGACGCACACAATGCACACAAAAAGAGCCACATGACGTCTTATTAAGAAGTAAAGAGGAAGACAATGGCTATAGAGAGAAAGAGGAGCAGGAAGACAGGGTACATGACGAACACACAGATAATCTGATCAAACGGTCAATTTAAACGTCCTCAAAACTCTTGTGCTGCAGATTACAGCATCTGGGATCAGAGTCATACTGTTACTCACCCCCGGACCACTCCACTCTCCAGGTAATTCACCTGGATGAATTTACCGAAGCGGCTGGAGTTGTTGTTGTGGGCTGTCTTGGCATTTCCGAAGGCCTGACAGAGACAACAAAAGAAGAGGACAGAAACAGAGAGTAAGTCGATGTAGTTAAAAAACACAAAGGACATTAACGAATCAAACAAAAAATATCAAAGTGGAACGCAAACTTAAGATTTCAAGTCTCGACTGTCAAGGACAACACCAGACAATCTAGTAAAGTATAATTTAGGAGCCCTCAAATGTTAAAATAACCTCTTGGTTGTTGTTGTTGAACTTCTGAAACTCAGCCTAAGCCGCTGATCAGTTTCAACCCTTACATGGAAGTGCTTGTGAACGCAACACGGTCTGGAAGTTCACCTTATAAGTCAACTCATCTGTTAACAATTTAACCGAAGTCAATAAAAACAACGTCAAATCAACACGACGACACAGAAACAAGATACTGCAGGGCTTCATTGTTGTTTTCAAACTGTAGTATGAGAGCACAGAAAGGGGCAGGTCCAAGTGTGTGTGTTTGTGCGCATGTGCTTGTGTATCGTGGTGGTGGTGGGGGGGGGCATTTGCAGCTTGTTGGCCCCTCTTGCCCTCCTATCACTCTTCTCATTTTGTTTTTTTTCTTTTCTTTCCTGCCTCAAGACCCTTTCTTTCAATTTTTTCTGTTAGTCTATAAGGGAGTAAGAGAGAGAGAGAGAGAGAGAGAGAGAGAGAGAGAGAGAGAGAGAGAGAGAAAGAGAGAGCGATGGCAAAGGTCAGTGATGATAAATGAGGTTCAGACAGACGTTCTGCGCAGCAACCTCGAAACAGAACCAGAGAGGGGAGCGGAGCTTCTCTCCAGGCTTAAGGCTAATGCTAACTAAGCCACCAATTCTTCCCTGAGAGGCCCTGTTTATTGCATCAGTACGGTCATAGAATAGCATTCTTTTTTTCCCCTTCATGATGCACATACTCACATGGTTACTGACACACACAGGCAAACACACAAACACACACATACATTCGACAAAAGGCTACCGCAGGGGAAGTTGACTCAGTGCATGCTAAATAGGACCCACATTGTATCTTCTAAAGCAGTTGCAGGGTGAATTTGATACAGTGGTGGTGGGGCTGATTCGAGTTAGGGCTCACACAAACAAACACACACACAAAGGATCTGATTGGGATTCCTTCGTATGAAACGCTGACCTAAATTTCTACTGCTTAAGTGGACCTACCAATCTCATATTGTCCCTTTTTTAAAACCTCATTGCACTTTTTTTTTTGGTGCGACAGAGTATTAGGGCCACATTTAGAAAAGAAAATTTTTTAGACTTTATAATTACGTCGCAGTAAAATAACGACTTACGAGAATGAAGTCCTAAAGTAAATGAAGTCTTAAAGCTGCTTTTGTGGAGGAGGAAAAGGCTGAACTGGTCAACTGCAGAGTTTTCTGTGGGTGCATCAGTGGGTCATTCAGAGGGCTTTTTTGGTTTCTCAAGAAATAATCGAACTGATGATCAACATCTGCGATTCAGAGGGAGTCGAGCTCCGATGAGCATCACCTCTGTCTCTGATGCCGGCACAACACCGGGCGCAACCTACATCTGCAGAGGCACCAACACCTTATGGCAAATAGATTCATATGACAAACTAAAGCCATATGCTATTGCTATAAACGGCTGCATTGAGGGATTTAACCTCTGCACAGCCATTTCCCCCTCCTCAAAAACAGCGATTCCCTACAAGTCCGCCTGGTTCTTTCTGCGGAAAAGATGTATTTCTTGCATATGTCCTGATACTTATGACAATGTGATGCTGAAGTGCCAAAGGATTTATCTCTTTGTTTGTGAAACCTTTAGCTACTGAAGATCAATTCATCCATATGCTTCACAGCGCTCATTTAAACAACGAACAACAGGTTAGAATAGCTATTAGCTACGACTTTATTCTCCCAAGTAATAATTATAATATGACTTTATTCTCGTAAGTAATTACTTTATGATGACTTTATTCTCTTAAGTAATGATTTTATTACAACTTTATTCTCATAGGTAATTACGAAGTCTTACTTTTTTTTTTTCTTAATGTGACCCTAATACTCCGTAGTGATTTTGGAGATATAATTTTGCACTAGAGATTTTCTGAAGCTGCTTATTTCCTAATCCTTCAAACTGAAATTTCAACTGAAACCAACAGCAATTTACTTAATACAGCTAAATACAGAGTTACAGCATAAATATTGTGTGGCTAAGGTTAGCAGAGCTAGCACCACTGGCCTTGTGTCTCTCCTGTCTGTATGTCTACACTGCTTAAGCATTGCTCTGATCAAGTGGTTTCCAGTGTAACCAGACACATCCAACATTAGGGGTGAAACGATTCATTCACCACATTCAAGCATGATTTTAATTCACACAGTCCAACTGTAATAATATGTAGACAGCAGTGCAACGATCCTAGATTTACTTTTATAATCCATAATGCTAATAACTCTCATTCTAACGGCAGTAGGGCATGAGCAGTAACAATTCACTATATGATCTACAGCCGTAACTAGCAGCTGGTGGCTGGGCTACAGCTTAGATGCAACATTGAAAACATAAAGAACTTGTTTCACTGACTAGTAAATCTGGTGCCACTTTGCATCTTCCTAAAAAGCTTTTGAGGCCAACTGTGATTTATGAATAGTTTAGAGAGAGAGAGAAAGAGAGAGAGTACGTGTGTGTGCTGCTTGCAAACAACAACAACAAAAGAGATGTTCAGTTGCTGCTTATCCGTGACCAGGATCATCCATTTTCATCAAAACCTGGACTTGCTCTGACAAGACTCCAGCTCACTCACTCCCTGAACTTTTTCAACTTTAAGCTCAAAAGTTTTGTTTGTACCAGGAATCAAATGTATCACTCTGTTGATTTTTAATATTTTTTAATCAATATGACTTATCTTCAAGGTTCAAGGGTCAGTGAGTGCGGTGCGTTTGGGAGCTGATACTCAGAACTTTCTCCTTGTGTCACTGCTGGTCTTTGGGCCCAGTGCTGTTCTGATCCACCTCACTACATAAACCTCGTAGATGAGAGCACAAAACCTTGGGAAATCTCCTCAAAGCCCAGGCCACTGCACCATGGGGGGAATGCTAAACATGTCACAGCATCTTTCGTATTCGAACTTGCCCATGAGCAGACAATCTGATTGGCTGGATGGCTCAGCAGGTATGGGGAAGTTTGCCAAATCACGTTTTTTTTCTAATCTGCATTCATACCAACTTGGGGTTCCTCTCTTGGAGTTTGTGGAGGAATAGCAAAGAAGGGAGACTGAGAAAAGAGAAAGAGAGAAAGGAAGAGGCACAGAGAGCAGGGGGCGACAGCTACCTGCATGTTGAGGGTACGCTTATCTAGCAATCAGTTCATGACATATGACGCTGTCTAAACTGATTCCTCTATGTGGTGAGCGGGATTCTCTGAAGGCCCCCTCCCCCTGTACATTTCTATTTAAACAGAGCCAGACCTACAAGTCTCAGAACTCACATCCTCATTCAGCCCTCTGATACATACACACTCATGAAAAGAAAACACATGACAACTTCTCCTTACAAACCATAAAGGGGAGTGTCCCTAAACCTGTGTATTTTATGAGCTGTTTGTCCTGACAAGCAGAGGGGCGGAGCCAAGACAGTAGAAATCATATACACTCACAAAGACTTTAAATTGTAAGGTTGCATCAACTCTGAAATCAGAGAAGTGAAATGATTAAACGTTCATGGGGACTATCTTGCTTGCGACGTCTCATAAACAACTTTCTTTGGTCTGACAGATTATATACTTTACTCAGTCTTTGCAAACAAGCTTGAGTTAGTCACAGTTTACAGTACTATTTTGCAGTAATATTGCCTAACACTAATAGCTGATGAAAAAATGAGATGAGAGTTTATCAGTTACAAAAAACTCACAACCAGAGCTTGGATATGGGCTCTTACTGCTATGACTCTAATGCACTACTGCATCCTCTACAGACCAAACTGCTCAAAGGAGCTTCAGTTAAACGTTTCCACAGGCACTGCCAAGACCCTGACACTGACACCTCACTACAGCATGGTTACACTCACAAAAGGGCTCTAAATAGTCCAACTGCCACAAAGACAGTTCCCACATTCTTCGAGAGGCAACATCGTGCATTCCTGCTACAAACATCAAACTTCTACAACAACCTATCAACTGGTTTATTTCCACAACCACATAAATAATGTTCCTGACGCTCAGCTACAAATACAGATGGCTGCGATGATGGGACAAATCACAGTTTGATTCTGAATGTGAAAGAGAGTGACAGTGAACACATATGTTCACACAGTTCATCCTCCATGCCTTGCTTCTCAGCACCACTCCCACCAACTACACTTAACCCCTCCAGCTTTACTCAGCGGTTAACAAAGGATTGATTCTAAGAGGCACAATAATGGCGTCAACAGGGCTCACAGGGGCTGCTGCTAGTCTAAGTCTATCATGAATTTACTGCATGAAGGTCAAAAGTAAATAACATGCCAAAGTCTGTACTCCTTGACTTCAACCACATGACAGTTCATTTGAATAGTCTAGGAGCAGAACGACCCCTTTATACCTTTAATTATTTTTATGTTAGGATTTCAGGGCTTAAAGAATTGAGGCGTAAATCATTCTGATCAAAAATAGGTTTCCTAAAGCAATCAAAAGTTTGCTCAGTCTAATGCTACAAATGTGTAATCTTCTAATTTCACTTAAAAATCATTGGAGACAGGAAATCTTTGGGTGAGATAGAATTATAATGGACTTATTAATACTAACATTTTTCAAACTGTTGTTACCAACCCAATGATATCACCGACAATGGTTTGCTGAAGCCAAGAATGATTTATGAATTTACACAAAGACAACACTAAATAATGAAAAATCCTGAGACTCAATTTAACCTGGATGTGAATAATTAGGCCTGTTATCAAATGCAGCTATACAGCAGTAAATCAGACACAGTGGAAAACCTATTTACTTGTGTTAGACAGCAGCGCTGTGGAAAGAAAGTGATTGTAGTAGTGGTTAGGAGAGAAAAAAACCCTAATTGCTTCAGTATGCTGTGGGTGATACTAAAAGATGATTGTAATTATTAGCAAAGGCTGGGAAGCAAATCGGACACTTTGACGTACTTTCAGCTAAATGCTGCATTGTTCCCAGCTGTAGAGGGGAGGAATAACACATTATTTTAAAGCTTGACAGTATTCCACTTACCCTAATATAAGGCTGGGTTATTTTCCCCAAAATACATCTGAAAAAGTGTGATTGTCCTATTGGGTAGTCCTAATGACAGAGGCAGGCTGTGAATCCCTGCTACAATGATAGAGGGATAAAAAGTGAACTAATGCCAGGGTCAAAACAGCACAAAAGTAGGACAGGTACAAAAATAATAAAATAAATAAATAAATAAACTAGGGCTGTCAATCGATTAAAATATTTAATCGCGATTAATCGAATTTTGATCATAATAAATCATGATTAATCGCAAATTGATCGCATATTTTTGATCCATTCTAAATCGATCTTTTTCAAATTGTAATACTTATGTCAACATGAGAATCAACACGAGAACAGATCGTGGATTTTCGTGGATGCGATTTGTATGATTTTGCAGACCAACGTCCTGCACAATGCTAATCGGCTAATCAGTCAATGCAATACTTCCTGATTCGCGAAACTACGGAGTGCCCCGAGGCTCACATAGCCTGGACACCTCACCAACTGTTCCTCTACAACGGCAAGAATATCCACGCAGTGTGTGTATAGTTTGGTCAAGCCAGGCTAAGGCTTGCGTTAATCGTGCGTCAAAAAAATTAGTGGCGATAAAAGTCACTCGAGTTAACGCGACAATAACGCGCTAACTTTGACAGCCTTAAAATAAACCCTCTAAGGTATAATGTCTACATATCTGTGAACAATGGTTATACAGCATACACTGTCATACACCGTCAACTCAGACTCCAGTGTGGATCTACCTGGATTCAATCTCATATCTCTCATATGTCCGACCAATCTCATGGTCGGACAGAGATGCTAAAGCTAGCGGCAAGAATAAAGGACGGGGTCTGGCTTTATCTGTGAACCTGAGATGGTGTAACTCTCTTCACTTAAGAGAGAAATTGTGTTGTCCAGATATTGAACAGTTGACAGTTGCCCTGCGACCATATTATGTTTCAAACTAGTCATATCATAACAATATTTACACGTGATTCTATGTTGCTACGATACAGACTACGATACAGACTTGGAAAGTTTCAGGTGAGCATGCAAGTGTGTTGTGTTTCCTTTTTTTTGTAGTGTGACAGCTTTTGAACAAATTCAGCGTACTGGCTTGTATGTGTTGATGGCAGGGCTCGACAGTGCGACCGTTTCACTCGCATTTGTGACTAAAAATAGATGTGTACGACTTGTAAAATGTATTTACGGGCACATATGCGCATAAAAAAAACAGCCAAGGCAACATAAGTTTTTTCATGTAAATAATGCAACGAGTTTGTTTTAGGTTGGATATTCGACGTACATGCACTGCTGACCTACCGGTGTCTTCTCACTCTATAACCTGGAGTAGCAACAGCCGCACAGTTAGATCTACTTGGCACCCTCGCTGTCAACGTCAGTTGTTTGAATAAGGGACCGTCAATAAATTACCGGTTGATGTTCTCAAAAAGGACGGTTTCCCTTCAATAGCTTCCATGAAATTGACTGACCTAAAATTGATTTCAAACAATTGTACTAAGGTCGGACGATAAGACACACCTCTTTATTTCCCTAATTTGTCCTCTTAAAATTTTTGTGTTAAATTTACAGCCAAATTTTGAACATTTTCTTCAATAGCTTCCATTACAAGTGACCAGCTGACCTAAAATTGATTTCAAATAACAGTACTTATGCCGACCAATAGTACGCACATTATTTGATCAATTTTCATTGTGCCCCTCAAGTTCTTTGAGTGCTCCTTACTTTTTCCACTTAGGAGCACATGTGCTTGTTCTGAAAAAAGTTAATGTCAAGCCCTGGATGGGCTCACCTTGCTCATTCGGTTTGAAGCCGAGATATCTCCACACCAGGGCTTTAGGATTTGGATTTGCAATCATCTTTTTTTCCATCAAATTTCTACTATGTTACCTTAAGTTGCTTCTCAAGAGATTCATGAGCTGCACTCTGTGCAAAGAGACTGGATGACTGACAAGAGAGTTCCCTCCATTCATTCCACAAACAAACACGCACATGTGCTGAGACTGATGCACAGTCCAAACCCTTTAGTCATCCAGCCTGTGTGTAGGCGAGGGACGAAAAAAGTAATCACGCATTAACTGTATTTATTGTATTAATTAATGAATACACATGTGATTAGTTGATTTATTGATGATCGTCCCAGGTCTAAATTGTTTTGTATCATCAGGTTTAAATCGAAGCTTACAAGTAGAAGCCAGCTCATTTCATCTCACACCTTTCCACAGGTGACGTATTACTGTGGGTACAGCTATTATCAGCTCTTACATCCAGCCATGACTTCAACAAGTCATCTATCATCAGAGGCCAGTCTGCAGATCACAGATACCTCAGAAATCTTCAGTGGCTCAGAAAAAGAGGTCCTGCTTAGTCAGATCAAGGAGCTTCAGACTCAGCTGGAGATGGCCAAGAAGCAAAGCTGCCATCAGGAAGCGAGGATAGCTAATCTTAATGCCCATCTTAAGTCAGAGAAAGGTGAAAATCGTAAACTCTGGGATCAGGTGGAATATTTGACCTATAAGCTCCACATAAAAAAAGCCGAGGCCAAGTTTTGTAAAGAAAGAGCTGATTGTACGATGGAGCGAGGAGAGATGGATAGTCCAGAGGTGAACTCTCCACAGGGGAGGAAGGAGGAGGAGGAAGAGGAGGAGTCATTTTGGAGAAGAGTCTGCTGCTTCACCTGCCTGAAGATACACCCAGAGGAGCAGGAGGAGACCACATCCAACTAAAACCACCATGTTGTTCTTCCGGTGCATTCTGTGGCTTTTCCCTAGGAGCTCCAGTCTGTTCCCAAAGCCCCAAAACACGCTTGGTAGATTACTTGGTTAGTCTAAATTGACCCCAGGTGCAAGTTTAAAAATATACTTTGTACCAAAGACAATAAAAATATATGAACATAAAATGGATGAGTTAATGAAAAATATGATAACACAAAAATCTGAACATTTAGCTGTCACTTGTGTTTGTGTTGTTTTGGTTTTTGCTGATATAATTCAATTCATATTTGTCATATTTGACAGATGCATTCATAGCATCAAAATTATCCACTGGCTCTAAAAACAATGGAAAGGAAAATACAAATACCCCCTGATACATAAACAAGTTTTACTAGATATTGCAAGGTTGTGATGTTTCGTCTTAATAATTTTATTTTCAGCAAGTGCCACAACCATTGCTCCACTTTACTGTCTGCATTGTTCTTTGCAGCACAAGCATCTGCATGCATCTGCAATCAAAGCCAATTTTTTGTTTGCCCAAAGGAAATATTTTCTTAAAAGTATCTTTAAAGGAGCTAAATGCTGTCTGATTTAAGTAGTGAAAAAGTAACTTTTTTTTTGTATTTTGTATTTTTGTAAGTGCTTTCAAATCGCAGAGTTAAACATACAGCTGAACGATTATAACAGAGCTGAAGGAACATGGACTGAAAATTTCTGTGCATCATTCAGAACTTAATTTTTAGTCAAATTTTGTGACAAGTTTGCTGATTATGCTATTTAATTGTAATCTTAAAACAACACATATATTTGTCATAACTCCGGTAGATTAAAGAGGTATAAGTAATTAAGATGCCAAAGGTTAGCTGTAGGAAAAAATTACCAAAGCTTTAAGTCATGGATTTGCTCGTCTTGCGGCCCGCTGTTTTACCAGATTGGAGCAATTTCAAGCGACTCCACCCCTGTCTGGATGGGTACCACATCAAACTGTGCTTGTGGTGAGGTCAGAAGACCATGAATACATCCTGAATCGGCTGGCCAGTAGCATTTTGCTGCATATAAGCTGTGTTTGGCCTGTAAGGAACAGCGTGTTCTGCTCTTCAATGTGATTTTGAATGGTATGATTATAGCAAGGCCTCTGTAAACTGTGTGTGTGTGTGTGATACATGACACGTGTGCATGACGCAGAAACGTAAACTCAGTAATGCCAGCTTTTCCCAGACTCAAAACAATGCCACCCAGCTTGACCAAATATAGCTGAGGAATAAAGAGGTGCTACCCATAACTAAGAGATAAACAATGGATCAGCAGAGAGAATGGCCAGCTACTCCTCTGCACTTCCTGAACAACAATACAGTTGTTACTTTGGTAGATTCACACCCCTCAAGGCTCTGTGCTAACAGCGCAGGGAGCCTCTGCCATTAATTCCTGTGTCGTAGCCGCTTCCTGTTAAAAAGGGTTCCGGATGATAGGAACTTCCTGTCTGAAGCAGTGAGATGACGGGTATAAAAAAGGCTGGGGACTTAAAGAGCACTTTTACTGAGATTAGTCTTTTAATTGAAGTAATAATTTATCTTCCTGTCAGGTTTTTTTTTCAACTCCTCCAAACCTAAATCAAAGGTTGACTGGACGGGAGATAAAAGGATAATTACTTAGATTATCATTTTTAGTGCTGCTAGAGACCATCTACATCTCTGGAAGATTCAAAAAGTTTTATTTAAGCTCAAACAAACTATTTAAGGGGTAAAATTAACAAACAACAAAAAAATCTTACATGCTTAAAGGTCCTTTCACACCAGGACCGTTTTTTACGTGCGATTATTTTGGATGTCAATATTTTTTTCAAACCCGTATCCTGTCAATACAAGCGTTCACATCAGCGACGTTTTCCTATTCTGCGATATTGCGGAATTAATTTTTTTGGATCACGGTCGATTTTTTAAAGTTTTGCATTCTGTGAGTCCACTTCTGACCAATCAGATTTCGTGTTGTTGCGACGTCTGATTCACCAGTATATCCAACATGGCCGACTGGCTGATTGTTTACGTGGCGGAGAACAGAGTGCTTTTTGATAAAAGACACAAACATTACAAAGATAACGACCTGAAGGACAACTTGTGGGGAGTCATTGCGTCGGATCTCTCAAGACGATAGTTTGTGTGCTTTAACGGTTTGCTAAACGTCTGTGTTTTAACTTTCATCTGTGCTAAGTAACTTTAGCTCGTAAGCTAACCTGTTCAGATACAACATACCATATGTATTTTCACTGTCTCAAACTCAATCGCGTTGCTGTCACAGCACCATTAGGTCTCTGTTGTTACCTTACATTTATGGATTATAGTTTAATGTGCTTATCTGGTACTGACCCGACTCAGTATGTTGCTATCTATAGTCCAGCAGAATAGTATGCTACATGCTACAGACAGCCATCTCAACACTAAGGACCTTAATTTGCTATTAGAAAGCCCTTTTTTTCCCAAATAGAGTGTACACGTACACCAAGCACTGTGCTTTGGCTGGATTTGATTTAAATGTGCTAAATCATGTGGTTGAGTCGACACCAACTGCAGAGGTTTACAGCCTAGTTTCCATTCCGGCTCTCTGGTGGCTTTCTCAACAAAGGGGTCGAGCTAACTGGCATCCCTGAGACTACAACACTTTGGCATCCCCAATTCCATCAGCCAGCTCATGTCCAATTTGCTGGCAGGTGGTTGGTTGTCCATTTGTATCCCAGAGGCATTTCCCAACAGTTGCTAATGCCTTCTGAAAAAAAAAAGGAAATATAAAGTGGACAGTGTACAGAGTTTTCAGCTTGTGAATTTCTGTTTTTAAAAGCGACCTCAATGAAGATAACACTGCAGGAAATATAATCCAAACTTAAGCATACTGCAATGTTCAGTTATCTCTCTCCAACCAACAAAGAGGGGCCCTATTATTAGGAGGAAAGCCTGGCAGCAAAACAACACCAAAAGAGCCACGTCACAGAGGACTAACTAGTCTGACCAGTTTGGAGCCGATATCTTTATTTAGGGTGGGTGAGCTGTTCTGCGGGTAGAGGCCCTGTAGGTTTTGCTGTTGCGATTGTTGGGGACAATCCCTTCTGTACATGCAGTATTTCAGGACAAAAAGAGATTGAATGCAGGGGGGGAGACATAGAGGGAAGTGGTACAAAGAAGTAAAGTAGGACACATGGCTTCAGGTTGAGGCCTGCAACACAGCACACATGCAGAGTCCAGCACCACAAACGATGATCTCATCTCCTCAAAATGCACAACCTGGGCCTGAAGACCTCCTCTATAGCTTGAGGACACACATACATTTTCCATCAGTGTAATCCGATCAGCTTTGAGTAATAAAAAAAGGACAAATAAAATGTCTTCTAAACTTCTAAGAATAGCATTTTCATTCTGTTTATGTGATCTGAACTGGAACTTGTCTGAAAGGAGTCACAAGACTTCTGTGGGACGTAATTCTAGGAGTTATTGCTTCCTCTGTAAAGTCAGTTTTGTTTCATGTCAGCCATCTTATGAGCGCTCTGCAGAGGCTGGTAGTCAAAACAGAATCTTTAAACATAAACTCAAAACTTGGAGAGTTGCGTAGCGAGGAAAAAACATTGAGCAGCTGCCTCGCTTTTGCTTGGAGTTTAGTGGGCAGCACACATATTTAGATGCAACGACGCTGCCAGGGGTAAATACAGGGAGTACAGCTGTTCTACAGCAGGGATCACCGACAGACTGGTCATAGATGCACCGAAACCTCCTCTTTCTCCTCTGAACAGGCCAACGAGGGCCAAACCTGTCCCCCGAGTCTACCATTACAACCACAGCTCTGGACTGGGTTAACACACATACACACACTCACATACACGTACAAACTGCATTTTCATATTCAGAAGCAGAGTGGCAGAGTTTCTGCCAAAAGGACCAGAACTCTGCTGACTGAGGGGAAAAATCCCACCATCCCCCCCTGCACCCCCTGATCCTTCAATCAGCCGTCTGGAACCAAAGACTCTGACAGACTGACACACATCAAGGGACCAACACTGCATTTATTCAGATGGACTCGAGAGCAGCAGCAGTTTTGTGAGGAGAGGCTTCAGTACTGCGTCAGAGGGCGCAGTGGAGACGACTGAGACATGAAAAATGATGGATGGATACAAAGTGGCTGCGAGTGACTGTAGCCACCCACTCACTTTTCCTGCCATTAGGGCCCAGGCCAACAGCCTTTGGGCAATCCTCTTTGGTTGGCTTGATTATATTCCTCAGTGCTGAGTTTCAGTGACCTTAGTTTAACAGATGAGGGGATTTTCACTTTCAGCCATATTCTCTATCTTGAATTAACCACATTCTACGTACAGCTTTTCTGTTTAAACTTCTATTCTTAGTTCTGTTACCATGTAATGAAACAGATCAACTCCCAGATCAGGAATAAAAATGTGTATTTCCCCACACTAAGCAGGGCTATTAAACAGAAACCACATGTTGAGATTTCTGCTGTTTGCCTACATGGTATCTAGTCCAGAGATCCTGTTATATTTACCCCACAACTTAAGGTGGAACATCATGTTACCTTTTCTAGGCCTTGTTCTTCTTTACATTTCAAATCACATACACGTCACAAGCAGAAGCCACTATATAATTGAGCCAAGGACCCTGCACTTCAAAGCCACACTGTCCACACTGCACACATGAACACACACAACGTTGTAATTCATTTACTTTAGCCAGAACTACAGGGCAGTATAACAGTGTTGAGAAACACATTTTAATTGCAGTTTACTGAGTGCATATAAAAGAACTTGAGAGTGGTAATGATGTGGATGCTGAAAAATAACTTCACAGTAACAACTCTTCACGGTAATAAGGTCTGACCAGAGGTAAATTCTTCCATATGTGAAAGTGGAGTCAATCCCGTTTCTCATTGCAGGGAAAAAAAAAATACACAAAATAAAACCAACTCTATTCTTTGCCACGTAGCTCAGGGCTTAGACTCATGCGCTGTAATAAACTACCTTATCATGACGCAATCTTTTTTGTTAAAAGCTAACAAATGTCTGCTTGTCTGTATCTGTTTATGTGGCCTCTGTATCATCAAAACACAAAGAACTGCCTTCATCTATTTAGCTGTCTGAAACAAAGAGACGACCCGAGCGGCCTCAAAGACAGAAGCCTCGAAATGTCTGTAAGGATACAGAGCCTCATGCAAACCCTTCAAAGAATACAACCGTAAGAATCTGATCACAGACTGCAAAGGAAAATATTGAAGTCACAACTGCTGAGGAGATAAACAAAGATATGGACACAAACTTGTCTTTGTTCTATTTACACTCAGTCTGAAACACTTCAAGCTTCATGTGTAATCGTAAATAACTGTGTGAAGACACAGAAATGTGTGTTTGCTATAGTGTCGGCTCTGCCTGCTTGATAAATGTTATCAATGAGACTACTCAGATAGATAGAGAGGCAGTTTCCAGCCAAACCAACTGGATCTACGGAGACTGTGCATTTCATTCTTATTGGTATGTACCCTGCCGCGCAGTCCAAATCTAACCTCCACAATCCTTTATGTCTGGCTGTGTCATTGTGGCTGTTGTTTCAGTTCATGCTGTCTTCGTGGTTGCACAAAGCAAGTCAGCACAAGCATATCATTTCTCAAAGATCAGAAAGCAGGAAGAAGGCTGAAGTCACCTGACTGAAACAACAACAAAAATACCAGCGAAGGCAAATCATATTGTTCTTATTTTCACAGTTAAAAAACACCCCATGGTGTTATACAATCAGTTATGCACAGCTAGTATTTGTGTCTGACGCACAACTAGAAACACAGTTTTTACAAAGTTGTGGGGAAACAACAAACCCCCCTTTCTTTGAACGACACAACAGCATCTTTTAACAACTTCATTTAACTCATGAAGGGTTAACAGAGGAAGTTCCCATTTGCTTTTTCATTTCTTCTTTCTTGGTTAAACACTGTCCTATGTTTACGTCTTACTCAGACTACCATATGGTTTTATAGCTCAGCCCACACATGAAAGTCACAGGCTGGAAATACATTTGCTGAGTGCTGCATGTGATCCGATACTTTCATGGAAAGTTTCATCATTTGGGAGCTGCAGACACTTACTGTACCATAAAACTATATCAGATCGTAACTCTCTCTCTCTATTGTGCATCCTTCGGCTTCGTGTGAATGTACTGTTGCGCGCTGTGCCGACATGATGAGTCACATCTGAGGAAACACTGTCACTGTTTGATATGACTTAATCATATGAGCATAAGAGCACACCTTACAGAGGCCAGCTCAGAAAATGAATGTGTGAATCATTATTCCACATTGACCAAGAAAAAGGATATGATTCCCACGTGACTGAGACGCCCAAGAAGCTTGAAGCTAATCTGCAACAAAGAAGCTCAATAGAAACATGAACAACTTTACTGTGTGTATTTTTAATTTTTGTATTCTACTCTCTGCACGAGCATTCAGCTTAGGGTTTTCTAATCAGAGCAGATAACTTAGCTGGGAGAAACTCTAAGTTGCAAGTAACTAAAACAAACAACAACAAATTATCTAGCTGTCAAATGTTATCCTCCTACCTCCAGGACTGGCCCAGCTCCAAGTATGGTCCTTTCCACCCCGCTGGCGTAGCCCTTCTGGCTCAGTGCAGTCAGACAGTGGATCAGGAAGTTGGTACTCTGGGTTTTGCCTGAGCCACTTTCCCCAGAGATCACAATACACTGGTTGACCCTCTTCCTGAGCATAGCGTAGTATGCTACATCTGCGATTGCAAAAATGTGAGGCTCCAGTTTGCCGAGCTGGTGGTTCTCGTACATCTTGACATACTTGGGGTTGTAGATGGGCAGGAACTTGAAGGGGTTGATGGCGATGAGGATGCTGCCTGCATAGGTGTAGATCTTTTTCTTGTGAAAGCGTGTGCGCAGGTTGTTTAATATATTGTCCTCATTGAGGACGGGAAGGTTGCAGAGATCTGCAAAGTCATCCTGTGGAGGGGGAAGGAAGCCCCTGGCGGCTAACCGCTGGGCCTCCTGCTCCTTGGACACAGATGGGAGGTGAACGTAATGGATTGTGCCATCACGATTCCTCTCCTGGATGAGGAAAAGAAAATGAGATATAAGGTCAAATTAGTTTAGCAGTTTACAGATGAAAGTCTGGCAAAAGCTTTGACTTGAGCTTTGTGGTTTAACAGGTAGAAAATACTTCCATCCACATATACTTCTTCACAGCTTGTTTCTGTCCTCCTCCGGAAATAACAAGAAAGAGGAAGCACAATGCAACATCAAGAGCATCTTTTCACAATAATCCATCCACAGGGTCTGACTACAAAGTGAACTTTTGACTCTACCTGGAGAAGAAAGTAAAAACCGAGGCTCTGAGGGTGTTGCTCCTGGGCTTTGCGAGGCCATAGCAGAAACCTTTGAGCTGGAAGGTCTCCTGCCTCTAGCACCCACTCTTCCCCACCACACTCTTTCACCTCTGCCAGCACATACATGCGACCAGGGTCCAGCCCCAGGGCCGAGGCAGCGTCTGAGATCACAGACGCTGCTGTTGCATCCTTCTGCACCCTGATGAGTTCATACAGGGAACAAGTTGTTTTGATTAATGCACAAAAACCACCGAGGACTTTAGAAACATTATGCACAGCACAAATCACTAATGCTGTTATTACTATTAGGCTCACCTAAGGCTGCAGCATGTGGTAGATTGAGCAGCCAGCCGTGTGTAGATCTGGAGCAGGTACGAGCGGCCATCGTGATCGTTGGGGCTGGCTGGCCCACCTCCCCCCCCTCCTCCACCTGCATTCGTTGCCATGGGGGCAGCGCCATCTCTGACACTCATTCTGGGCCTGGGGGAGTGGCCTCAGCATGCCGCATCTACTGCTTCAGTCTCACCACACAGCACCTGAAAGTGAGAGGGTTGATTCATCAGTGAGGGTCTTTATATATCTAATGCATCTACATTGATGATGGAGCTAGTTATCATCATGTGAGTTGCAGTACATCATGTACATCATGTATCAGTTTGAAAGGACGCAGGCTGCAGCATTTGGGAGGCTATTTCTGATCATAATTTCACTTTCTATATCAAAATACTAAGTGCTGAAATTCTGTGCAACACAATGAAAATAAATAAACAGCCTCATGCTTAAAGAAAACAGGAGTGAAACAAGCAAACAGCGGGTTACTTTATGTGTAACAGACAAGTGTGAAGAGCTAATGATTGCAATAAAAATTCCTACTCGGCTGGGTCACAACTCTTTCTAGAAATCAACGTTAACATCTCTCTACCTCTCTCTCTCTCTCTCTACAGGCTGGTCCCAATCTGTTGCCATAGTCGAATTAGAATTCATAAAATCAGGCCAATGGGACTGCATTGTGATTGCATTTTTTGGTCACCTTTGATTCGAAGTGCTGGACTCAAAACTAAACCTGGCTGCATTTAAAACCAATTTTTTATGTGGTTTTAACCGCTGAGCTAAACAAGTGCCTTACAACAAACAAATATTAATAACACTAACAATCAAAAGGCTGAAAAGATGTTAAAGTATGTGCCAAATTGTTTAAATGTTCAAAGATTAACATAGACGTTTGGACAGGTGTCATTCATCCCACAAAATATTCAAAGTCAATTTCTTTATTAAGTTCAAGTGATGGCAGTGGAAAAGATACCAACACACTAAAGCAAAAAGAACAAACAATCTCTGCTCAAGGAAAATTCAGATTTGGCATTCTGGGTAAAAAGGACCATATGAAAGTGATTTAATTCAAGGGGTTTTCTCAAATCTAAAAATACAAGTGAGTCATTGGAGAAGTTCTGATTAAATTTGACTTCACTTCCATTTCAGCTAAATAAAAGAAGGAAATTCCCTGCAGCTTTGGAGAGCACATTTGCCTGGGTACGGGGCTCACACTTTTGCATTAGTAGTGATTCAACAACATGGCAGTAATCTCACATCACACGTAGACAGATCCGTCCCTGAAAGTTTACCAGAAGTTGCATCTGCAGATGCTGCACAGAAATACAACCCCTCAGTTCAATGATAGCAACAAGATATGCAAACAGAGGGCGCTTATGGTAAACCACAAATTGTGTAATGACTGCGTATTATTCACTCTCACAGACAACACACCTACAGTTATGTGTGACGTAGAACACAAAAAGTATTAGGTAACTTTTCACCACGGTAACCGATGCCTCCATTCCTGGATAAGTCAATTTTCTCTGTCTGGCAGCTTCCCATCAGAAAAGGTCTTGCAACATCACAGAGCATTAGCTGAATACAAATAGAGGTCTGTTTCTGCCCTAGCTGCGGAGATGACTGATTTCCTGACCAAGTTAGACTGCCTTGTTGAAGATAAATCTAGATCTATCAAGATGTCTTAATGAAGTAAAGTACAGTATACCAAGAGGGCAGGACAAACATGTTACTGATAGGTCATGTGAATGGCATCCATACAATAAATGGACTAAACAGAATCCAGCTCAATGCTTGAAGCCCTGTGTAAACTAACTGTAGGTTTGACTTTAGGTTAAAATTGCAAAACAAAATTTTTCCAGATTTTTGAAGGACTTTATCAAGCAAACCAGCTGATATAGATTTTAATCTGTAAAACAATATATGCATATCTGCAACTATTCCCACTTGAACGTATCTGTCGTCAGAACTTCTCTAAAGGGGATCCTTTGAATAATGACATGTTGAACAGTAGGGCCCACACAGTACTAGTTAGTTAGTTAGTTAGTTAATAAGTAAGCAGTAAGTAAGTAAGTAGGTAATTAAGTAAGTAAGTAAGTAAGTAAGTAAGTATGTAGTAAGTAAGTAAGTAAGTAAGTAAGTAAGTAGGCAGGTAAGTAAGTAAGTAGGTAGGTAAGTAAGTAAGTAAGTACGTAAGTAAGTAGGTAAGTAAGTGAGTAAGTAAGTAAGTAAGTATGTAGTTAAGTAAGTATGTAAGTAAGTAAGTAAGTAGGTAGGTAAGTAAGTAAGTAAGTAGTTAAGTAGGCAGGTAAGTAAGTAAGTAAGTAAGTAGGTAGGTAAGTAAGTAAGTAAGTAAGTAAGTAGTTAAGTAGGCAGGTAAGTAAGTAAGTAAGTAGGTAGGTAAGTAAGTAAGTAAGTAAGTAAGTAAGTAAGTAAGTAAGTAAGTAAGTAAGTTAAGTAGGCAGGTAAGTAAGTAAGTAAGTAAGTAGGTAGGTAGGTAAGTAAGTAAGTAAGTAAGTAAGTAAGTAGGTAAGTAAGTAAGTAAGTAAGTAAGTAAGTAAGTAAGTAAGTAAGTAAGTAGGTTAGTAAGTAAGTAAGTAAGTAAGTAAGTAAGTAGGTAGGTGGGCTTTATTGATCCCAAACTGGGAAATTCACATACAAGTGATCTGGGGTCTGATTTCTCCCTTTCGACATAAGTCTGCAAAGGCCCAGTTACTGAACATTTCTAAAGATTATCTTGTCAGACTACCACGGCAACCATGGCGATGACAGTAAACGTGAAGCATAAACTGAGACGGACATCCAAAATACTCGCTGACACATGGCTTACCTACACATTGTGTTTGGTAAAACACACCATGACTGAAAAGACGTGTGGTGGGGTTCAAAAGAAAATGCTACTTCGATGACAGTACCAGGAAGCTAGGCAGCTAGCAACGGTTAGCTCCCAGAGTCCGCCATGACGCTTACTCTTAAATCCTGTTAGACAGCAAAAGACTTTTAAAGATTACAAGAGTAGGGACACACTATAGGACCAAAACTCTCAAACCTGTCATCACTTGTAACACATCAAAGAAGCATGATCAGTTAAAGTGTAGGCAGTGCTACATTTAGAAAAGTTGCATCACATGCCCTTTCAACAGCCTGCTCCTTGTGCATAACTTCCTCTATACAGTATTTTTACGTAAGCTATGTGTGCACAGTTCTCCGTGTTTCAGCAGAGCTCTAATGATGCTTCTTCACAGAGAAACCTGTACCATCTGCTGTGAGTAATGCAACGACTGTTGATGAGTACCTCTCACATTGACACTCAAAAACATGAATTAACTCTCTAATAAGCGGTTATTACACAGGTATAGATTTATCTGAGATGTTCACATTGTGTTCTTTGAGTTGTGTCTGAACATGCTAGGGTTAGTGCTAAGTGATCCAAATGTCTCGATACAAAGAAAACCTCACTTTAAAGACCAATCTGTGACTAATCCATGTACACATGGCACATAGATCTGCAGCCTGCAGAGAGGGAGGACTCGAGTCGGGTTCATCCATGTATGAGTTTGCAGTTTTCCACACCGCATGAATCTACTGTACAGCAGTTAGTGGCAGTACAAACTCATGTAGGGATAACACTCCTCTGTAATTAGCATCCAAATCATTGCACTATCATGCGTACAGCTGCAAGCTCACTTCATCCCACACCTAAATTACTGACGGTGTCGATTGTTGTGGTGTCTTCACCAGACTGACTCAATGACAGTTTGACATCATCAGAGTTGAGGAGAAGGTCCGGCTGGTGTAACCTGTTCATTTAAAGGGAAAAACTCAAAAGTACTGTTGAGGTATTTCACGTCAGACTCAGTGTCACACACAACTGGACAAACGGATCCAGGTTAAGACCGTCTTTGTCTAAAATAATGCAAAATGGTGATCTGTGTGTAAAGTGAAGTGGATGAAGAGCATCTGGGAATGGTTTGGTCTAATGTTGGATCACATAGCGTGGCTTTGCATCAGTAATGCACACTGTGTGAACTGTAAGTCTCTCATGGGGAAACACAAACCTGGTTCAAATTGCTGTACAGCAAACTGCACTGCTTTGGTAACCTGATCTCGGGTTGAGTCCTGCAGGCAGAGAATCCTGCAGTTTATCACTTCTATCATGTATGCAAGGCAGTTTGTTTTCTCAGCCTGAAGAATACGTAATATAATAGCCCAAGATACAGGCCAAAAAAATACAGGCAGAGGAAAAAGAGGATCTCATACACTTCTGCATGAATTATGAAATTAAATTCTCCATTAAAATGTTTGTTTTTGCTGAAGCTTGATGATGAGCAATTGGGCTCATGTGTTCTACGACGTTAATACAAATAATACCCACCAGCTCTTTTCTATCATCTGCAAGAATCTAGTCATGGGATGGTAGATAAGTCGTTTTAGATTAGTTTCACCATGGGAACTAAAGTCAGAACAAAAAAAAATCATGGTTCTACTATAGGACTGGGTGATAAACCGAAAACTTACCAATGCTGAAATTTACGACAATAACTGAAGTCATTATACACATGTCGGTATATTCGGTGTCAAATAAATAAATAAAAGTTGGTTTTGGGTGTGTGTAGGTAGGCTATGGTCTCATGTCCCTTTAAGACGCTGTCCTACACTGGAGACATGACTCCATCCCATCCAGTCGGTCACAAAGAGGGAAAGACGGGAGGAGATGAAGACTTGTAGCGGCTGGAGCGGCGAGGGGGTGAGCAGCTTATGGAGGAGTTATTGTTCATTTATCGTTATCAAGATGAACTGCTCAATATATCGTGTTGATTTGAGGCCATATCACCCAGCCCTATTCTACTACATCTTTTACTTTGTGGTAATTTAACACGTGCAGAAAAGGAAGATTTACATCAAATGATTAACAAAATCTAAACAAACCCTAACTCTGAACTGGAGGCATCTGGGTCACAGGAGAGAAATAGAGGGAAAATAAAGCATTGGAGAGTCATGAGCTTGTGCTTTTGCCAGGCTGACCACAGTCCCAAAAACATGCAAGCCAGTAAAATGGCAAGGCACGCAAAACTGCATGCAAAGACCACAAAAGACAGCATCATCATTATCCTCCATCATGGGCCCTGTCTGGTTTAAATCTGTCACTTCAAGTCCTGAGCTGCTCTCAAAAGAAGTTTTAAAAAAAAGAGCTTACATAAAGCTGCAGTACCAGTGTGTGAGCGTTTATAGCAGAGAGAGTGAAAAAAGAGGCAAAAGGGAATGACAGACAAGGTAAGAAAAAAGGGGCACGAAGAGAGAGTCAGAGAGAGGGAGAAAACAAAAAGTAAACATCTAAAAGTCAGACAGTAAAGAGAGAGGTCTCAGGGGAAAATCAAAGGAGACGGAGGCTTTGTGATAATGCAGCTTCCTCCCTGTGGAGGAGATCCTCTGCAAGGATGCCCGGCATTCCTAAGATAAGACCTGGGGTTGTCTGCTTTACGTAGGCTTAGCCTGGCACTTTAGCTGCTTACTGGTGGTTGATGAGAGACTCTAGAGCGAGAGAGCTTTGCTGAGGGTAGAGAGGAGCTCTTTAGCTGCTTACGGCAGGAAGAGGGTTTAACAACTAACAAGCTCTTTAAAACAGACATTTTTGTAAAAAGGCGGTACCACTCATCTCCAATGGACTAACTAACCTCCTTCAAGCTCCACCTCATTATCTACCAGGCCACTGTGCAGTGATTGGTTAGGTAAAAATGTATTGATCTACATAATAATGACACAATGAATTACTTAAGATTTAAAAAGCCGGTAACATGTCTTGTTGAATGATCTATTTGGTGATTTACAGAATCGTTAAATCCCATTTTTGAGACTTCAGCACTATTTTTTTTAACTCTGTCGCACAGGATTAAATAGAGACATCAATGAAGACAAGTTAAATAATAGTTATCAAAAATGTACAAGAGTGAACACATATATTCACACTCACAGGCTGTATAACAAACAGCAAATGCCTTTCTGCCGTACTGTGAACAGAAAAATAGCTGCACGAAAGCACTGCTTTGGAGTTGACGTCAGTGAAACAAGAAAACCAGGTCTAACTCCTAACTCCCCTTTTTCTCTACTCCTAATCTATCTCCATAATCCGCCGTCAATGAAAAGTAAAAAAAAAGTCCTGCGCTGCCAAAGAGGAGGAGTTGTAGTAAGTCTACAGTGCAAATTAGCGGAGGGAGAGAGGGAATATTTTGCCTTTATAAGGCCATTGTTGTAGTTTTTGTGATCTCACTTGGAGATGTGTCAAAGCTTGGAGTGTTCTGCTCTTAGTCGAACCTACAAAGAGTACATTTTCTCCCGAATGGATAATCAAAGCCACACACACTCACACTCATATGCACTGTGTAAACAGAGCAACCAGTCAGTGCTGAGACACCAGCAGCTGACTCGATGATCCGACAGGAAGTGGATGACCCAGTGACACATAGTGGGTCAGTGAACTTGGGCTGGATATCTGTGTATGCCTCTGAGTTAACTCACTCCTCTGGTCTACCCCACACTGTCTGCCTTACTCGCTGAGACATGCATGTGCACAAAGAGGAGGACTGAGAGGAAGTAAGACATGACGTCATCACACAGACTCAGTGACTGCCGGCAGTCCACTCTAGCATCACTGATAACTCTGGTTACTCAGGGCTGCTAGATGCTACAAAGTTCAATAACAGGATAAGAACAGAAGAGGGACTCATACAGACTTTGGCAGTGAAAGGATGTCAAGTTAACGAGGGATTTGAATGCGATGTTTGCAAACATTGGCATTGTCCCAGAAAGTCTCCCAGTTTTGCACAATTACCCTCCACACTATGGTAATATCTTTGTAGATAGGGTCTTAAAGGATGATATCAGTCCTCCTCTACTGAAAACTATGATTTTTTCCCCCCAATGGAAACAACAATAATGTAGAGGTTTGTGTGCATTGAAGACAAATTACTAAGGGTGGGAGAAAAAACTGATACAGCATAGTACCGCAATATTTTATCTGACGATATATCGTTTCGTCTCATTTACCAAGTATTGATTTTTCAAATTAATTGCTAATATGAAATGAAATCTATGATAATGGAAAAATGAAATCAACTGTTTGTCCAGTGAGGTTGGCAGAAGTGATACCATAGAGCAGTAGAAATTCAGCACAACAAATATTAGGGGTGGGAGAAAAAATCAATTCATGTAAGTATCGCAAGTTTTTGTTTTACAATTTTTAAATCGATTTCTTTGTTCAAAAATCAATATTTTTGCAAATTTAAGAATAAATCTTAAAAACTGACTTACATGTGATATGTATTTTTGGGGGAAATATGGTTTCTGGAATAGTCAGTAGACAATCATATTCATTCAGCTGTTTCACTGGTGTTAAAAATGCGGCCTAAAAATCGAGAAAAATCGACATTATCATGGAATCGCAATTTAAATCGAACAGCATCCAAAACATCGTAGAACAATCAAATCGGGAGAAAAGCATATCATCAGAGCCTAACAAATACAGATATAAAGTTTGTAAGATGTGCTACATGAAAATAAAATACTGTGTAAATAAGACAAACATAAAGGACAGACAAATGCTACATTACCTAAACAGTTGAAAAAATTGCATAAATCACGAAACATGGTATCGTAATACTCACTGTATCGTGATAATATCATAACGTGGGGCCACTGGTGATTCCCACCCCTACAAAATACCGTATAGACTTCAGAGATAGGGGAAAAGGGTAATTCTAGGCTTTGTTAAATGGTCAACACTGACTCTATACTATTTCTAGAGAGGAGTACATTCATTGTAGCAATTATCAAGTCGACATTCACAACACAACCATAAAGGAAGCGATCAGATTAGCTCTAAAAAGCAAGCCTGGTGAGAATAAGACAAGTGAGTCAACACAAGGCTACGCTCTCCCCTTATATGAGGGAGTGCTGTAAATGAGACAATCCTGGATGTGACTCAGAGGATGAATAAGTTTATCTGTAGGGATGAGTGATTGGGTAGTAAAACAGGATTCCTCAGACTATCGCACTCAAGACTCTGTTAACCATCCTGAATGTCTCAGCGGCAAACTTTCGGGGGTTGGTGAATACTGACTCACTTTTTTATTCACTGTTTTCTATTACACTTCATTGATATTATCTTGCTTCAAACGTTCAAAAATCTGTAGGTCCATCCTAAATTTCTTGCAGGGTAGATTTATGAGCCTGCAACGCTGTGGCTGTGCTCTTCTCCTCTCCTCCCCAGGGAAAGTGGAGCTGGGGCCACTCAAGTATCCATCACCACTACAACTCTCTGTGCATGACCTAATGGAGATGAGAGGGGCTGGCTCTCTGCCAAAACAGGCTTCATTGTCCTCTGGGCACAATGAAAGACACAAGCAAGATTCACTATGAGTGTGAGTGTGTGTTTGTGAGTGCTCCATGCCTGTGGCGTTCTGCCCATGTTTATGTGTGTATGTGTCTTCTCTCGGAGGTTCATTAATGCTCTCAGGAGCAGCATGTTAGAGAGAGAGAAAGAGGGAGAGAGGGATTGCTCCTGTTGCTGCTGACTGGCGGTAAATCAGCCTCACAGCCGAGGCTCTAAAGGAAGTGCAGATGCACCCGAAATGGCTCTGAATGGATCAGAGCCCGCCCACCAGAGCCACATGGGATCATTCAAAGATTCAACCCTTTGTTTCAGAAAAAGACCAAAACCTCAGTCAGGGAATTAACCCATCCAGCAGACACTAACCAGGCTCAATGAGACAAACACAGACAGTAAGAGAGGGAACTATGATGAGACGGAGGGAAGAAAAAAAATGGCACTAAAAGCTCATCTCCTCCCCCCTGTCTTTAAGTCAGCTCCCAAGCTGGCAGGCCACAAACAATAAAACCAGAGCTGAGGAGCATCTGCTGCCTGCGTCTAAAGAAGAGGATAAAGGAGAGCGGAGCCGCAGGGATCCAGTCTTTGACTTGTTGATATTATTCAGTCAGCGTTGAACCCAAGCTCATTGCCAACGTGCTGTTCTTGCAAAGGCTCGAGGAGAAAGACACCACAGCTGATACATTCAAGCAAGGGTCAAAAGAGCAATAAATACCATTTTATGCTCTATCCATCACGGCATTGACCTGTTTATCTGAATCAAAACTAAGTTCAAGCTAGCCAGCTGTCTGTCACGATGAATTCACCAGAACTGTGACAGATAACTCAAATCAATTATGGCATGGTCATCACTGAGCAGTCCATTGATCTGCTACACTAAATATGTATTTGAGTCATGTATTGACAGACTGAAGTGGGCTGCTGTTTATCTGACATCCCTGGGAGGACAGTATGACCCACATCCCACTTAAATCAGTGCAAGTCAAGCGAGAAGGGTGAACATCAACAGCTGAGGTTGTCTATAAACATACTGGACAACCTACTTTTACACAACTTGAAACCATGGCTGCACAACTCCTCTAGGTGTCGGGGTGTTCTGGTGTTGCAGCCTGGACTAATCCAATGTTAGTTTTAGCCACAGCTTTATGAACTCCCACTTTATGTGCATTTCACAGCAGGTCAGTAATCCAAGAGGCCCCGGGTACGGCCCTACACCACTGCCCTGTCTCTCACCACCCGTCTGTCTCAGCTGCACTGCTGTGTTTACAACTGCCTCCCTAACCGTGCCCCTTTCCCTCCATTTCTCCAGCCATACCACCTTCTTTTTTTGCAGACCCCCTCTGCTTCCCTCCCCTTAACCCCCCTGCTGGCCACCCCCTTTTGTTCCCCAGCACTGCCTAACATTTGGCACTGCTGCTTTAACTCAGTCCAGATGCCGAACCACACCGAGAGGACGAGAGTGAGGGAAAATCTGGGTCTTCAGGCTCTGGAAAAAAAACAATGAAAAAAACTTGCCCTTGTAATTACAATTCACATGCAAAATCAACCTTTGCTTGCCTGTCATCTCGTCAGTGACCCAAGTGAGAAGAGCAGAAGAGCAAACATACCAGGTAATAACAGAAAAAGCACTGTCAACCTATTTCAACATCTCATTTCATATCAGAGATACTGCATCACAACACAGAGACGATCATATGCAAATGAAGTAGACATGCAAATCCTCTTCAGAGTTAACCCCGCCTTGACTGTCAGACCTACACACACCTAAGGGTCTTTCATTTGAGAGATTAATACTGGGGTGAGCTGCTGCATGATGCAGACAAATGTATGTTTTCAATCAGCAAGATTAGCTGAAACTTTAGCTCCGGAGCGGCAGTGTCCACATGAAATATATCAGACTGCTGAGGCCTTAGCATGTCTGCCTTAATGCATCCCAGAAGGCTTTGCAGAGTCTGATTGGCTGTTGTGGGATTCCACTCTGGTTGGTGGTGACAGAGAATTCCGGAGTTTTCCGGACCAGTCATCCCAGCCATGATGGACTAATAGACTTGTTTGGACCAGTGCTGGACAAACAGAGTGCAGTGGTGTGATGTGGGGAGTGGGGTTGTGGTATGGTCTTTATTTAGTGTTGTACTCAGCAGGAGGGCAACATAACAAACAGAAGAGATTTAGACAAGTCCACAATTTACAGATGGACTGAATCAGAGAACTGTTGGTCTGACCTTCAGATATTTTATTAGAGGCACTATAAAAACAGATTAACTGTATTTTTTGTACATGTATTTATGTATTTGAACTTTTGGATAGATAAATAAACACTAACTAATCTGTCACATCAGCATTCGCTCTCACGAGGTCATTATTACCATTATCTTTACAATTAGAAAATACATTTGACAGTCAATCAAATCTAAGACTGACTAGTATTTTATGCAAACGATGATGATGAATAAAATAATAGTTTTATGTATAGCTTCAAACACCGTTTTCTAAGGTATAAGAACTCAAATTATGTGCAATAACATGTCCAAATTCTTTTTTTTTACTGAGTGAATCTGTTTCTCTTCTAGTTTTTTTTCTCTCTCTTTTTTACAACATTTTCTTGTATAGCTCTAAGTTTACTTTTTTGTAATTATCTGTGCACTGTTTGCACAAAGAGAGTTGTACCTATTCTTCTGTTTGCTGTGCTGATCCTCTGCTGCTGTTAACACTGCGAATTTCCCCACCCCAATCATGGTTAATTTTATCTTGACTTACAATAACATGAATATTTATTTACCTTGCATATTTTTTTCCTATTCAACTCATTTGAGATCTCCTCAGCTATCTACAATTACTTAACAGAAATCCAAAACTTCCTTGTGGCAGTATTTTACTGAAACCTATATTTTTGGTCTATATTTATCCAATCAAACTTTCACTAGTTCAGCATATTGTTTCTCATTTGTTAGGACTATCATATCGACAAAAACAGTGTGATATCAGCATTATACACTCACCGGCCACTTTATTAGGTACACCTGTCCAACTGCTCGTTAACACTTAATTTCTAATCAGCCAATCACATGGTGGCAACTTAGTGCATTTAGGCATGTAGACATGGTCAAGACAATCTCCTGCAGTTCAAACCGAGCATCAGTATTTGGAAGAGAGGTGATTTGAGTGACTTTGAACGTGGCATGGTTGTTGGTGCCTGAAGGGCTGGTCTGAGTATTTCAGAAACTGCTGATCTACTGGGATTTTCACGCACAACCATCTCTAGGGTTTACAGAGGATGGTCCGAAAATGAAAAAATATCCAGTGAGCGGCAGTTCTGTGGGCGGAAATGCCTTGTTGATGCCAGAGGTCAGAGGAGAATGGCCAGACTGGTTCGAGCTGATAGAAAGGCAACAGTGACTCAAATAACCACCCGTTACAACCAAGGTAGGCAGAAGAGCATCTCTGAACGCACAGTACGTCGAACTTTGAGGCAGATGGGCTACAGCAGCAGAAGACCACGCCGGGTGCCACTCCTTTCAGCTAAGAACAGGAAACTGAGGCTACAATTTGCACAAGCTCATCGAAATTGGACAATAGAAGATTGGAAAAACGTTGCCTGGTCTGATGAGTCTCGATTTCTGCTGCGACATTCGGATGGTAGGGTCAGAATTTGGCGTCAACAACATGAAAGCATGGATCCATCCTGCCTTGTATCAACGGTTCAGGCTGGTGGTGGTGGTGTCATGGTGTGGGGAATATTTTCTTGGCACTCTTTGGGCCCCTTGGTACCAATTGAGCATCGTTGCAACGCCACAGCCTACCTGAGTATTGTTGCTGACCATGTCCATCCCTTTATGACCACAATGTACCCAACTTCTGATGGCTACTTTCAGCAGGATAATGCGCCATGTCATAAAGCTGGAATCATCTCAGACTGGTTTCTTGAACATGACAATGAGTTCACTGTACTCAAATGGCCTCCACAGTCACCAGATCTCAATCCAATAGAGCATCTTTGGGATGTGGTGGAACAGGAGATTCGCATCATGGATGTGCAGCCGACAAATCTGCGGCAACTGTGTGATGCCATCATGTCAATATGGACCAAGCTCTCTGAGGAATGCTTCCAGCACCTTGTTGAATCTATGCCACGAAGAATTGAGGCAGTTCTGAAGGCAAAAGGGGGTCCAACCCGTTACTAGCATGGTGTACCTAATAAAGTGGCCGGTGAGTGTATATCAACCATCAGCTTTTTTTGTACCTGACTTCACAACAATGATTCTCCTTGGCATTAATTGAGAATTAAGTTGATAATGATGTTAAACTTTATTATATTTTGGTGTGAGTTGAAAGGCTAAAGGCTCTCGTAAATGATCCAGTGGTTGAATTATCTTTGGGTTACTCTGTTCAGAAAACTGCTTGGAATAAATGCTACTCTTTACACAACGGCTTCAATCCAGTCAAGTGCATTTCATATAAGGTAAACAGCGGTGGCTCAAGATGGTGTCCATTTGCGGAAACACTTCCTTCCCATTCAGTGCGATGAACAACATGCACACAAACACACAGTGTGTCATCTGGAGATGTGGGGCAGCTGCAGGCAGAAAAATCAGGAAGAGGAAAAAAGGAAGCAAAAGGAAGGAGGCAGACAGAGGGGATTATTGTACACGCTCACTCATGTGGGGCCTCCTTGCTCTAAATACACTTCCAAAAACACATGACTCCATTGTAGCACAAGAATAGTTACAGCGACGCACTAAGTTCATACTCCATTAAAAAAAACTGACGCCTGATACACACCCCACACACACACATACTCAGACAATTCCTCAGCAGGACACAAAGCCAAACTTTTAATCTTAAAACTTATTCCATGAAATAGCATACATCACAGGAAAGAGCTGAGACTTCACCTCGCTCACACAGACGTAAGCTTCTGCTCTCTCTGTCATGGCACCACCTTCAAGTGTGGGTGGCTCTATGCGGTGCCAAATCCTGCCCTCCCATCTGGAAACACCTCAATGTTTGTAATATTACTCAGCCTACATTTGTGCCCCGACCTCAGGTTGAACTTCAAAGTGGGACAAAAAACAGCAGGAGGGTTGAAATAAAAATAAGCTTGTAATACAGGATATGTAAAAAAAATCAGGAATCGTCATAATCTCAGACATTTTAATACACAATAGATTATTAAAATGTCGATCTATTGAAAGCATCTTCCCTGTGGTGTGTTCTGATGATGTTTGGGTGGCCGTGCAGATTCACACATCAATGAGCAGATGATAAGCATCTTAAGGAGGATGATGTTGCATCGACAACCTTTTTCTAAATTGAACAACGTTGTTTTTCAAGAAGCAACAGCAGAAAAGAACAAAACTAGAGCAGGATATTCAAAGCCAAGCACCACTTAAGCCAAAGGCATCGGCTTTTTCAACTGTTCTTGTCTTCACTTCTGTGCAGATCATTTCATGTCCAAATCCCGGCCAACATCCTGACTAATTTCTATCATGAAATGTACATTACATATGGAGTCATTCATCAGTGACCAGAGTCAGACTGCACTGTAAAAATAGAGCAAAAATAAACAGAGCAGAGCAGAGCCATGCCAGCACAGAACGCCTAGCCAAGGTCTACTGTTTCTGCTCCATGTCTCTCTCTCTCTCTCCTCCTACCCTCAGCTTGTCTCTTTCTTTCCATCTCTCTCCCCATCTGTGCCTTCCTGGGTTGTGCTTTTTCTCTTTTTACACTCCTGTCGCTCCTTACAGTGCTTAAAGGAATCTAGTGGCAAGACCGTGTTGTGGTCTCTCATTCATATTGCCCTTGTGTATATCTGGTCTGTCGTAAAAGGATACAAATGTGTCCCAAAAACTAGATTTGAGCATGATATCCAGTTATAAAAATTATAAACATTTTTATCATTTCAGGTCCTAAATGCTGATTCTATACCGGCTCATGTCTATACTACCTGGATGACAGGTGACATCTAGTAGCCTGATGCAGTTTGGAAATATTTTGAAGTTGTATGTGTGCTGCATCTGGTTTCAGTGGCAGCGTGTGTATGTGGACGTTGACCTGCAAAAAGAACTACAGACTGGTTTTCTGCGAGAATAAGCCAGCATGTTGCAGCGCCTGCTAACTGACATTCTCACATTGTACCCACAGACTCTTTTATCCAGAGTTAAATCGACTGATTTAGATTTTGACTATTTTTTAAACTTCAGACGAGTTGGTCGTTTGAAATTCAGATTTCCATTTCATACGCAAACCCCAGAGATAAATCACAGTATAATGAAGTCAAATCTCACATTCATCTCATGCCACTGAGTGGAATTTTTATGTTCCGGTGCGAAACTGTGCCGCCTTCACCATCTACCTCTGTAACACACTGACTGGTTTCTGCCCTGGCACATTCAACGGGAAGGGACCGTCAGCCCTACCGCCCTGTATTCATTTTTTCCTCACTCCTTTTCAAAGGGAGTGAGTAAGGAATGACGCTGGAGTCTGTTTCCTCAGACCGCCTTTAACTCTTGACTTAAAGCAGTCTCGCTTCATTTCAGAACAGTCTAAGGCCTTTTGAAGATCATGTGCTGTTTCATTGACTTTGATTTTTCAGATTTATTCCTAAATGTCTTTTTTTCTCCGTCTTTGCCTCTCTACAACATATATGTAAGGCAATAAAGTGTTCACAGAGAGAAAGAGTGCTGTTTAGGGTACTTAGCTTCTTCAACTCCATTTCTTACTACTGCAGGAAAAACTGAGAGATGTTGCTACAGAGGAGATTAGCAGAACACACATACTGTACATATATTTGTGTGAGTGTATGTGACTAGCCTTTATTAGTGATGGCTAATGATCCAACTTTGACAGTGATCCCAGAGCTGGATTACAGTGCAGAGTAACAGCAAACAGAGCCTCAGGGTGTGCCCTGTCTCTGCCCATAATCCAGAGCAAAGGGACAGGATCAGTGACCGCGGAGAGGATGGAGGGGGAGGTTATAGCACTCACTGCAGCCATCAGTTAGTCAGTCGATCTGTAAACAAACGCGCACACACACACATGCACACACACACGACACACACTCAGCAGTCTCCTTCCTGTGAGTGACCACTGCAACTGAGGGGGCAGGGAGCAAGGAGTTGAAAGGACTTTGGGTCAATATTTCAGACTTGAAAGGGTCAAGTCCTACATGGTGGGTTCTCCAAAATGTGCTTTCTATTTTCATGGACAGTTCAACTATTTTGTGTGTTTATGCAGCACAAGTGTTTTGTTTGGTTGCTGTGTGTTGCTGCGGCAGAATCTGGGTGGGGGGAGTCTTTACAGGAGCTGGAGATGCACCAACAAAAGAGTAACTTCACCTTTACACAATCCAAAATAGACAAATATCAGTTCAACCCTTTGAGATCTCTCCGTCTAGAAGCGACATTTGAATGTGATACAACAAGCCTGCTGATGCAAACACTATAAATGGTCACGAATAACCCGATTGCACTCACAGATTTTAACCTAAAAGCCATATGAACTCGGTGTGCTCGGGCTGCCTTAAAGTGGTTAAGATATGTCTTCCATGACGCTGGCTGGCCACTTTTCACTTCACTGTGGAAAATTCTTGGGTTGTATATTTTGCCTGAAACTTTTGCTTGGCTCGTGCCTCTAATCCCAATCTAAGCAGGCACATTTGGTTAAAGCATTATTATCACAATCAAACTTTGATCTTCAACATCTTGATTTGATGTCTTTGGACCTTGAGTGCAGACCGAAAATACGACAAACAAATGCAGTGTAAGTAGGCCATCCTTAAGCACTCTGCCTGCCTTTTCCTCACTTGTACCCTATCATTACAGCTGGGTCTATTTATAAAGCCCATAAATTCGGCTTGCCACACTGAAAAAAGCCAAGTTACCGAGGAGTTTGTGGAATTCTTGATGACTTTAAAAAACCTTGCCGCGCTCGTCTGCTGAAACACACTGTATGACTTTCTTTTGCCTGAACTCTCCAGCTGCTCCAGTCTTTACAAAATACAGGTCACTGCAAATCCACACTGCAGAGCTTTGTGAGCAGATTTCTGCACAGAGTCGGCTGGTTTTTGTTCTGACTTTGGCCACAGAAAAGGCCAACCCTGAAGCATTCTTGTCACATTACTGCACTAAGTGTTGCCACACTGTATGTTCACAAAAGCACACTCGTAGTGGTGTACCATTTCTTCTTTCTGACCTCTCTCTCTGTCTTCTCCTTCTCTGTCTTGAAGCGCCTAGATTCCTTCATAAAGAGAGCAGGTAATGCCAATGGGAATGATCCTATTTATAACCATCACAGCCAGTTTATTAAACTGGCTATCAGTGTCTTAGATGAGAGGGTAAGGAGACAATAGAGATTAAGCTCTCCTGAAATCACTCGATCAAGCCCACAAGTTTACAAAATATAAAAGACATAACCTGGTCCTCTTGAGAAGTAGAGTTAAGTAATAGATACTGACATCTTTCTGATGAGTACACAGGCAATAGAAACACATGCCTCTACATGCCCAGCTTACTTGCCAAGCCCTTGACAATCAATCCTGCAGTGTACCTTCAGAAGTAAACAGTTGAATGCTTGGTCAACACTGGTTTTCCCACATTTATAGAAGCACGTTTTAAAGATATCAGACTCATCTTTGAGGAAATTGTGGTTTCACTTCTTCGTTTAGATTAAATGTAATTATTCTTTTAGGTTACAGTTTGTAAAAATGTTCATACTGAGATTTAAAAATTGAAGATACAGACTTGTTTTTAAATATGTTTTACAGACCAATCAACTAATAACCAGGCAGACAAAATAATATATGAATTTGTTGCAAAGAAGATAATTATCAACCAAACCAATAAAGCCCCAAGAAGTCTACAAAACATGATCTTTAAAGGCGGAGAGAGTATCTGCAGAACCGTGCACTGCAGGTGTCTGCATAATACCAGAGGTAACCAGAAAAATAACAGATTGAACTCCAAGATAGAGAGAGAGAGAGGGAGAGAGAGAGAGAGAGAGCAAGCAGGTCTCATAAGATCCACTTAATTGAGTTTTGATCATCATCAGAAATGCAATTTTGTAAGCCAACCCTGCAGGTTTCACAAATACACACTCAACAGTGGGATGAAATCAGACTTCAGTGCCACCTGTTTGACCTAGTTTCTCACACTCTTCATGATTCATCAAACAGTTGGGAGAAAAAACAAAGTTTCCCATTGGTTTTAGAAAGTCCAGATACATTTGCCCCTGACATCAGACAAGATAAGATAGACAGCAGTCAGAAGTGTTAACAGATCGGCTGCAGCCCACACGGAGTTGCGTTTACTATCTACAGTGCAAAAAACAGCTCCCACACTTACAAAGTCATCGACTAAAAATAACACTCTCATCTGCATTTACCACACGTCACGTATGAGATCAAACAGTCACCTCGGCGTAAAACAAGCCAGAGTTTCATTTTCACCTCTTGTTCACAGCTTTGTTACTGGTGCCACTAAGTACTTTTCCTTTTTCCAACTTTGCAGTTGTTTGCTGTTGTGGTGTCAAACTGTAGAGCAGCTTAATGGAGGAGCTGAAAACACCTTAGTTCCTCTAATGTGGTTCAGGCTAATGACCCAAAACAGTCACAGTCCTAAATGTAACAGAAACAAGGCCATACTACGCAGCCTGCAGAAAACAAACAGCACTGTGAACTGCAAACATAGATAAGACCGATTCACTTTGTTATCTGCAAGGAAATTAATCTTTAATACCAAACCAGGTAAGATTCAGTGGATGAAAACAGATGTAATAAAGCTGACTATGAAAGCTGAGACTGAGGAAACCCTCAATCTCTCCTCCGAGGAGCGCTGGCACAGCTATGATTGAAGCAATTATCTTTTCATCCGCAGTTTCACACAATTGCATCCGCCAGGATGTGCAGTCCAATTACAACTCAAGGCTGAGCTGGAGATGTAATTGGTCTTCCTCCCCCTACCCCCTTCTTATCCACAACCACTCTCAGCTCTCAGCTCTGCAGAGGGGCTTGCAGAGCACCTACCATTAGCAGGGGGCCATATGGTCCCTTTCTTTTGAGAAAGGTAGAGAGCTGCTCTGGAGGCTGCCTGATGTAAGGGGGGGGGGTGAAAATGGTGCCACTGCAACCTTATTTGAAGGCTTTTCTGTATGAAATACTGCGAGGACATTTGGACATGTCTATAAAGATGAACAGCTTTTCCATAAATGGTAACCCATTACACATTGATATCTAAAAAATGCATTCAATTACATTTCATCCCTGTCATTTGAAACTGTTGAATATTTATAGAAATTATGAGGCAAAAAGCATTAAAGTAATTGCAGATTTGGGTCTTAAGCTCTCTGTATGAGGGATTGGGATGTTAATTAGATTTCCAATATGACAGATGGGGACCTCGACTGGATTGAATATGCTGATGCTTGATCCAGAGCAGAGTCTGGCTGGTAGGTTGTTTAAGGTGGGTCTCACACATCTCAAGACTGTTGTAGATGTTGTTGTGAAATTTCCTTTGCTGGCTTTGTTTACATTAGAAACAGGACAATTACAGCATGATCATTGGATTCTTTTACTTCTATTGTTTTAGAGAAATGATTACATTTAATACAAAGCAATATATACTGCATATAAGTGAAAGAGTCGCTGTCCTTTCCAAAACTCTTTGTCAAGACTTAATTTAAAGGCAGTCTGCTTAATCCACTAAACGTGATGCTGTTTACATATACGTCATATGTTAATCCACACAGAAGATTTGAAGTTCAATAAAGAAAATTGTAGTGTTTATTTCACTCCACAAACACCAGAGTAAAGCTGTCCCTTCAGTGTTTTGTGGTTATTTGCTGGCTCAATTTGTGGACTAGAAATAACTCTTGCCAATCGTCTTAATGACCATTATCAGATGAGGAGTCAAACTACAGTTCTAAAAACGTTTTTTCTCTTAACACTTGACTGAAACTAACTTTGAGGTAAAGTTAAAGTGCACGCAAACATGAGAGGTCGAAACCCCACACACTTGTTATGTTGTACTTCCCCAAAACCTCAAAACAAGTGAATATTTATCATTTTCCCCTCTTAAGTCTGAAAGCTTATTTCAAGCCTTTCTCAAGGTCTGGGTCATGGTATTTGGCTTATTGAGCCATAGAGCTGCCAGTGGGACAGAACAAAGTGTAAACACAACATTTCACCAGGAGGAAATTAGTTACAAGCAGGATCCACTCGAAGAGCAGGACAGTGTTTAGACCAGAGCAAGTCACAGAAATGGAAAGAGGGAAATGCTGCTAGAGAGACAGAGAGAGGCATCCAAGTAAAGTGCATGTGAGTGCAGTTTCAGTGTTCATACATGTGATTACTTTGTTCCACCACCCAGACATTAGCCATGTAGGCAGAGCCTGGTCCTGAAGCTTGAACGGGAGATGATGTTGATGCTTGGCCAAAGGAAAAAAAAGCTACAAAATGACCACATCTGTATTCATCTCTATACAGCTCTGAACAGTAGTTATTAGTTAGTTTGTGAAGTAGTTAAAATTCAAGCTATAACATTCAAACTCTGGGTCATTATTGATCTCAAATCACCAGAACTTGCTACATAATACATAATTACATAATAACTCATATCCTGATCTTGTAAACTGAATCCATATTGTTTCATCTTTACTTGCTCTGCAACCACAACTCTGCATGAGCTGTTGTTGTTGTTGCCGTTGTTTTAATGTTGCTGCTGTCCACTCTCTCTCTCTCTGTATTCCTCCCCAACCCAGCAGCGGCTTGGTGGCTGTCTGGCATGTGTCTGGTCCTACCCAAGGTTTCTGCCCGTTAATAGGAAGTTTTTCCTTGCCACTGTCACTCATGTTAGATGAGATGGGCCAAATCCCATCTTAGGTTGGGTCTTGATAATTCATCAAACAATGAGCATGGTCTAGACCTGCTCTTTTTTCTTTGGAAAGCATCTTGGGATGACGGCTGTTGTGAATTGGCGCGATATCCTCCTGAGATCCAAGGAACAAAAGGGTCTTTCAATTTAACTTTTTTGTGATTTTCAGCCTATAAAATAAATATAAATATCTAGGTGTTCCTATATCTAAGAAGGTGGAGACTATTCCAAAGAACATGGATCTTCCACTTCATAACACCTTGATGAACCAAAGTGCCAATGATGGTGGACAGCTCCTCTCTCTTTGCTGCAGGACAAAAACATTCAAGTCCAGCAACATTAAAGAAATGAGCCATCAGTAGAAGCTTAACATTAGGTCACAGAGGTCAACACCTCAAAACAAAAAGTTTAACTGAACTCTGACTCGAATTTAGAATTCTTAACATGTTCACAAACAAGAAAATATATAATTTCCATTGGTAAAAAATCGATATCATAGCTAAATTTGGCCTACCTTTTCTTTTTTGCTCAAAGCTGTTACCATTTTGTCTTAGCATGAAATCAAAGTTGCCCTCATCCCACCCAAACACATGAGATATCATTGGAAAAGCCAGGATGTCCTCAATTAAGCACATCAGGACTTAGTAGGGTAGCTTAAATGAGTCAAAGACACCAAGAACAAATGTGCACTAAAGAGGACATAAATGAATAGGCTGGGTCACAGGAGGTTAAAAATAAAAAATTGAATTCCATAACAAAACTGTACTAATAACTTCCAGCTCTTGACAGAATTGTCTTTATCATGGCTGTATATTCTTCCTTGCCTATCACTGGCTATCATGGCTCCACACAGCCATAAATTGTGCACCACTGAGAGCCCATAATAACAGATATGATACACTGGTGATTTGGATAAACTCTAGTTGCAACTTCCAGACTATTCCCAAAGATTTATGTCATGACCTTGCTTCTGCAAACTAAACACTGTAGTGCTCAAGATCCAAATCAATCTTAACCATCTGTAGGAAAATAACAACCCCCTGACATGTAGGTTAGTCACATTGTGAACCAGGCCTGGGGACATTGCACTGCAACAAGTCAGCCTACATTCTCAGCCCATCCACGGCATGCTATCCTACCATGTCACTAACAAAACAGAGAAAAAACTCAACATATGTCATCATTACAGTAACCCAAAACGGCTGTGAAGGTTACTAGTTAGCTGGCTTTATTTTGTTTCATGGTGGGACTTCATACACTACTTTTGAGAATGGGTAGATGTGGCATGGGTCACTTTACAGTAACTTTCAATAAGAGCTCTGTCAATGCAAAGATTTAACGAAACATGTACTGTAACGATAAAACCAAGATATATCGATAAATTAATTGACTACATTGCCGAAAAGCAAACTTCTGCTTTAAAGAACAAGCTCATACACAGTCACATATACTCTCAGTGTTGTTGGACGTACCTTTCCCGGCTGTATTTCTCATTGTCTTGTTGTAATCCTTAACAGCATCGTCTGCGATCCAACCAGCGTATGAAATTATAATTTATCGGCCTTTTTTCGGTTTTTCCCTTGAATAAAACAGGTCTGAATCGTACCAACAAGGCTAACAACGGTGGCGTCCCAGACAGACAGACAAAGCTCCCAGTCAAGTCAGTTTGAAGCTCTGAGAGGAAATAAAATGTATCGGCAAAACCCCGCAGCTCTCTCACACGCTGTTGTTAAATGAAGAAAAAAAAAACACACTCGTCGGGATAAAAAAAAAAGCCCCTGTTTTCCACTCTTTACTGACAGACTGCGTGGTTTCAGACCGGCTAACCAGCTAGCCTGTCGCTACTTCCTTTCTCGTGGCTGAATAACAGAAGCAGTCTGAGCAGCGGTGAAAAAAAGTTGAGGAAAAGGAACAAGCCAGATTCAACACAATGAAGGCAGGCACCCTGTTGCTTGAGTAGTTTTATGGAAGAACAGCGTCCTCTGTAGGAGCATGGAGGCGGTACTACAGGCCACCGTGAATTTTTAGCTAGCTTAATTATAAACTCAAGCGAACTGACCCTCGCCGACTTGAATTATGTCAGTGAAGAAGAAAAGAGATTACTCGGTGCAATACTCCACCACCATTTTGGGTCAAAGCGGAACACCTTGTAACTATAGCAACCACCGCTCGCTTAGTTCCATACCATCCTCTAAATACAAATATAATAATAAAATAATAATAATAATAATGATAATAATAATAATAATAATAACTTTATTTGTATATCACTTTTAAAAACAGAAGTTTAAAATGTGCTTTGACATATAGTCATAGAGCACATTGAACAAAAAGCTCAGTTAAAACAGAATTGAAGGCCATTTTCATGTCTTAAGGAACCCAGACAATACAAGAACCATGCAACTTAAAATGAGACCACGAGGACGAAAATTATAGTTAAGGAAAAAAGAAAATGCAATTAAAAAGGGGGTCAAAAGCGGAAACAGGATAGTAAATATAAATGACGATATCAACAATGATAATAAAATAATAACAGGAAATACTGATAATAATTGTAATGATAAAATAGAGCAACAGAAATGAGCAAGAGGTAAAACAACAAGGCCTTAAAGGTTAATTAAGAAAAAAACAACTTCCTGTTGTTGATTAATGGTTATCAATTTATTTGCAAACAGCTCCTTATTCACAGTATGACGCAGATGGAAAGTTATGGACCTAATGCACTTTTGCAAACCACCTCTTGCTTAATGAGGTGAATGTTGGTTGATGTTACATTAGAACATCAACTTTAAAGCAAATAAAATAATAAACCCCTTTGCAGCAAACATCATAAGAAAGAGATAGTCCAGGTTCTGTGTGGATCTAAACAAATAAAGTGTAAGTGTAAGGTTGAGGGTATGATTACAGGTCTTATAGATCACATGCCAAAGTATCTTTGATATTTGACCCTAGAACTTCCTCCTGGCTACATCCAGCAGTGTGTAATGGAAAGAGTTAATCGGGATGGCCTTTGCATATTAACCCCAACATAAATGCGGTGTGAACGAGTAAATGTGAAATATACCGTAAAGTGGTCAGAGGACTTAAAGAAGGAACTGTATGAACAGAGTCCTTTAACAGAGCTGTCCTTTGCAGTTTAAAACCCTGTTTGAATCTGGGACTGAGCAAGACTCACTCAATGCTACAGAGGACAGACAGCACATCATTTTCTCAAGAGGAGAATCAAAACTGAAGCGTCCTGATAACTCAGCACAGCACTTAATAGATTTTAACTAATATGCTGTCGTACTTTGAGAGATCCAAACTCAAGTACGACTTGTAATACACAGAGCAAATTTATTTCCTATGTTGCAATTTTTTTAATAGTCGAGTAAAGCTTGCTGTTGTGATTAAATTATTGCTGATGATTGTTCTGGCTGTAAATCAAGTCCCTTAAATACAAACAAGAAGGAAATGCCAAAGTTATACAGTTGTCAGATCAATTAACTCGTCTAAAGGAATCCATACAGCTGATTAATCTCTTCACTGGTGATCAAAGAAGCAACAATACAGTTCGACAACACTTAATACAACAGCCTATGATTACAAAACAGATGACTCATTAAGATGACAGATTCAAGAATTAAACCAGATATAATACACCCAGATGTCACTCATACCTGTATATCAGCAGACATGAACTTGAGTATCTGTACACAGTCTAACTTCACCACCGGCTCTGTAGTCCTCCCCTTTATCCTCTTAATAGCTATTTTGGCATTGAGTAGATACACAAATATTTTTCTGTTCATTATTGTATAAGTGCAGTAGTCAGCAAAGTAACAGCTTCACCCCATGTTCAACACGAATCTATAGTCCAGCTGCATCACATTATTACTCAGCCCAGCTGGCATTAGGTAGAGTACGGTCTGCTTTATACGACATTATCACTGATTTTAAAAATGAAAAATGATTTTGAACATTTTGATGTTTGTAGTATCTTCCATCAGTCTCAGAATGATCCTGTAAGTTTACTCTTGACAAGGACTATGACTGTAATACTGCTTTACAGCCACCAGATGTTGACTTTCACACATCATACACCATTTACCACACACACTCAAGAAAGTAAGTTGAGTTTCTAGCAACCAAAGATGCAAATGTCACAAATAACACCAGTGTAGGAGAGCATGTCATTATTTTTTATTACTGCTAAACCATAAGGCTGAACTGTCAATTGATTCACGCACTTAGGAGTTTGCACCAGTGAGGAGCTTTTAATCAAGCAAATAGTTTAAATCTGACACCAGATTCATTGCACTGACAAATTTAACTCCCTCCTTTATCCTTCTAACACTGTTTGACCACAACATATCATGAAGCAGTCATTCCTAAACAATCAAAGCTGCTTCTATCTCTGTTTACTTAACATTTTAATGAATAAACAGGCTGTGCCTCATGTCAGTGACTGCTGCCTCTTATTAAAGAGGACCGGTTGTGCTGATCTACACAGACACAATTTTACAATGTTATATGACCATACTAAACTTTGGCAAAGTTTCATAACATCAAATATGCCTATCGTGGTTTCAAACCCTCACATGTTCTCCAGGTTCCTTGTATGGCTGATTCTAAGACACAACCTAACTGAGCAGCACTGTCAAAGAAGCACTAACCTTGACTCAGATGCCAAGACTGTGCACCCATGTGCATGTTTTTGAGTTCCTAACTGGGTTTTTATGGCAGAACCCTACTGTCACCCTGGGGTTCCTTTGCTTTAACAACCACCCCTCTAAACAGGTGCAGCTTGAAAATTCAAAATTGTTATTATCACCATCATTATTAGTATTTGTTGTAGTTGTCAATGGATAGGTTTGAGTTGTCACACATTTGACAGACTCCCCTGATTGGCAGCTTTTATAGGCTGTTGATAAAGTGGCTACTAAAATAGTGTGCTGTGTTAATTGTCAGCAGCATTTCTTGACAATACAGTGAATTTATGTGATTAAAAAAGATGTTGGCATCAATGTCAAGCCATCCATGTTAAGGATGTGCAATTCTTAGTCAGCAGCCAACTTGTGGGATTGTTTTCCTTTTGATATTAGTAACTCATCCTTTGACTTCCCTTATGATTAAGCCAGTTGCTATTGCTCAAAGTCAAGGAAACCCTGGCCTTGATGTTCATCTAACTTAAGACTTACACTTATGTCCATGAGTGGCCAGTAAAGATTAACTTTGAAATTAGCCAGACCTTTTGCATAGATTTTGCATAGCTTTGTACACATTTTAGTAACACCTAAAAAGAGTGATGTATCACTATACCCACAGGGCATTTGTTTACAGTCTATAAGTCTGAACTGATTAAACAAAGACAGCTAACCAGACCCGGACTTATTTTAGAATACTAGCACTCAGAAGGTCAGATAAGGCTGGTTAGAGTATTCATGATCATGCAGTTTAAGATCTGTGGTCTCTCACCCTCTGCAATCATTTACAGGTGATGGGTTCAAATCCCACATGGCCATTGGGGGCCTCTCTAAGCAGAGTTTGCATTGAGTATATTGGTTTCCGCCCACAGGCCACAGACTTGCAGTGCAGGTGAATGGGGAGCCCTACGTGTCTGTGAGGCACGTGTGACAGACCAGTGCCCAGTCTGCAGACTTTTCTATACAGTAAAAACTGTGATGTAGTCAAGATAATAAATATATGTTTAAAAAAAAAAACAACACACAGTTCTGGAGTGAGTGAAGGGTTTATTACTGGACAAATACACTGGCACAATTTTGTTTAGAGGCATGACGGTAAAATTCTACATGCGTAGCTCGATTTATCAGTGAAAACAAAAGACACACACACACAAACACACACACACACACATGCACACACACACACGCATACACACACTTGTGGTTTAGACAACACATTGTAAGTAATACAGCCAAGACATATTTATTCACAGTCAGGGCGTTTTTGACAGCTGTGGGTGTAGTTAACACCTCGGGTTGCCATTGCTTCCAGTGTATTTCTTGCTTTCCTCATTTTACTTGTAATTACAAGCTTGTCACAGTACAGTTAGATGGAGACATACAACCTTCTCTCCTGAAAAATAATATTCTGACTTTGCTCACCGATGCGTGTGATAATCTTTTTTTAACATCTGAGCCCTGAAAAGGAGAAGTTGTAGATTTCTTTGTTTTCATAGACCCTCTCAAAGTCATGCCTTACTACCCTCACACGTGCTACATAATGTAGGTCAACTTTTTCACTGTCATATCACCGTTTTTTCATTTGTAACACGTATGCTCTATATTTGGTCTTGAATGCAAGTGCAACCACTTGAGTTAAACAACAAAAACACTTCAGTCATAAATAACAGAAAAAAGGAGAGTATCTGTATGCAATTTATGCATATCACTAAAATAATAACGGTCTATAACAATATAAGTTGAAAATTGAAAGGATTATGCCTACATTTTCTCTAAGATTTCTTTTAGCCTGTTTTAGCATGCTTCTGAAGCATTTGCTCGATGATAATTATAGTGTGTGGATACAATTAAAGCCTACTCTGCTGAAAGTTTGAAATATATAATCATAAGTCTTTGAAACTCCACTCTGAGGAAAAATACATTCAGCCACGAGTTCTGGTTTTGTTCATATTTGCACGGTGGCGTTTTGATTTTGGGCTCTGGCATCTTTTTCCATGGACTGTTGCTATGCAGGTTGTCAGCATCTTGTGTGTTTATGGTTGACTTGGAAGTGGTCATGGTCTCAGTGCCACCGCCTGTCTTCTGACATGTGGTTTCAGTCTGCTGGTGCATGATTTGCTAAAGACAAGTGTGCCCTGCATTGTGACAACAACAGCATGGAGTGCGTTGTGTGATGGTGGCTTGTTCACCCTAAACCAACAACTACAGCTGTAAGAAGGGAGGCATGCAACCAGGTTTCTATACAGGGAGGGGCATATTTCCATCTGATTGGGAGTTCCTGTTTTTCTCTCTTTCTGAGAAATATTGAGAAAAAAAGCATCTCTAATTTGAGACTGTTGTAATCTCACTGTTGGCCCGCTGCCATCATCTTGTAAGTGCAAGTGAGTTTATTGCCCCATATCTTTAAAAAAAACAAAAAAAAACGTATTGTGTCATTTTACTCTCAAAAGCACTACAACTTGCTTAGTATGGCATATTTTGAAAGAGTCTTTCCCGTTTGAGTTATTATAGGGCATCTTGAGCAATAGAATATGATGAGCTGTAGTAGTCAAACTTAAACAATGCAGTGAACAGTGATCATGGTGCAAATGAAAATTGTGGTAAATTATCAAACATCATCAATAATAGAATAAACTCTTATGATTAAAAAAAAAGGATTTCTTGTCAACCGATTTTGATTTCCGTAACTGTGACATTTTAAACAACAAGAAACTGGGAAATTCTCACAGTTACTTTGTGTTTTTACCAGGTGATGGAATAAAAAGTTGCAGCAATCACTATGTTGCAGTGTGTATTTGTGTGAGTCTTGGGTGTGGTGTGTGTGATAACCCAACCTTCTTTGGCTTACTTCCCCATCAACTGCGCGACCTTCTCATACACTCAGAGTCACCACCACCAACCAGGGTGGCCTGCAGAGCATCTCCTTCAGTCTACAGGTAGGATCATCAATGGTGCATTTTATATTTTTATTTTTTGTTTAAGATAAAACTGCAACGCAATTTAAAACACTTTTGTTCGCTGCTTAATTGTGAGGGTGCAGAATTAAGTACACAAAATAGAAAGATGACCGGATTTTTATGCGTTTGCTCATATTTGACTAAAACAACTGAAACAAAGAAGTTTTTGTTGATAATTTCGTAAATAATTTATACTAATAGATCTTTGTGGCATGATATTGTTAGAAAAAGATGGAAAAACAATGTTTGGGCTTTTTTAAAACCATCAAAAAGTTAAAAACTTTATTGCACAAATGTTTTTAATTACTGTTGCTGTTTAATTTTTCTAGAAAAATCAGTATTTTTCATTATTCTTATGAGACATAAACAGGTATTTCCTTCATGTGGTGATTTAAATGCCCTGATGCTGCACTGTCATCCTGTGTTAACCACAGAGAGGTGGAGTAGTGTGGCACATGTAGCAGGCATTTAACTGATGCCTGTTAAACGGATCGAAACACCACAATGAGGAAGCACGTAGTCTCTACAGACTTTCTCCTATTTTCCCAGTGATGCCTTGCTGAAATGGTTCCTCATGGTTCTGCTTTTGTCTTCTCAGGTGTGTATTGAGCTCCAGCAGTAGAGTGTGACATTAGCCTGTTTGATCACAGGAGTTTCACACTAATTCCCCTGCAGCTCACTTCAGCCCATCCACACCTGCCACTTTGACTTCCACCAAACCAGCTTCCACCATGGACGTCTTCTCCTCTCTCGTCTCTCACTCCTCATGTCCCCACATGTACCACTCAGCCAGCAAGCCCGGTAACTCCAACACCACCATCTCTGGCTCTGGAGTCAACAATGTGATACTGCTGCATTACAACAACACCGGCCGCCTGCAGAACCGACCCATCTCAAATACCCAGAACCAAATCAGTATCACCACTGCCATGTTCCTCCTCTTCAGTATCTGCATCATCCTGGAGAACTTCCTGGTTCTGGTGGCTGTCATCACCCGTATCCGCCACAGCCAGCGTTGGGTATTTGTCTGCATCGCCAACATTACACTTAGCGACCTCCTCACCGGCGCTGCTTATGTTGTCAACATCTGTTTGTCTGGTAGTAAGACCTTTCGCCTCACCCCTGCTCTGTGGCTCTTCAGGGAGGGGATGCTTTTTGTGGCTCTGGCTGCTTCCATATTCAGTTTGTTTCTGATTGCTGTGGAGCGTTACACCACCATGATGAGGCCATTGCCACAGAAGTCCACCCGGTGGACCTACTACAGGATCTACGGCTTGGTCTTTCTCTGCTGGTGTTTGGCCGCGATCATCGGCTTCCTCCCCTTGCTTGGCTGGAACTGTGTGTGCAGCCTGAATGAATGCTCCACTCTCCTCCCTCTCTACTCAAAGACCTACATCCTTTTCTCTCTCATCATTTTCTTCCTGATTCTCCTTGCAATTGGTGTGCTCTATGGTCTCATCTACTGCCACGTACACAAAAGTGCAAAGCTGAGCGCTCAGCGCAACCGCAAGCGCTCCTTGGCTCTGCTTAAAACTGTGATCACCATTGTGGGGGTCTTCGTAGTCTGCTGGGGACCTCTGTTCGTACTCCTGCTGGTGGATTTCTTCTGTGGCTCCCGTCAGTGTGCATTGCTGCAAAGTGCTGACTATTGCATCTCACTAGCTGTCCTAAACTCTGGCCTGAACCCCATCATATACGGACTGGGTAGCAGTGAAATGAAGAAGGCCATCTCTCAGCTGCTGTGCTGCTGCTGTGTGAGGGTCGGCCTCTGTCACCCAGACCGCTTCACATCCAAGGAGACCAGCAGCACCAGTAGCAGGAGGGACAGCCTGAGGAACAGTTTCAACAAAGTCAGAAATCTGAGCGTGGCCTCCCCGCCCTCAACCCCGAAAAAGCCACGTAAGGCACCAAAGAAATACAGGCTGAGCTCCACAACCAGCTGCCTGTCAGTTTCAAGTGGTTAAAACCACAACCTGATCCCCTCCCAAGCAAAAACGACCTGTGTGCACTGATACATATCTAACCGTTTCCTCCCAGTTTTGGTTTGACTGTTCAGTGCTTCGTCTGCAGGTATTTGCACTGTGCACGCTGTCAAAAAGTATAAATTTATCCTCAGGTTGCAGTGATATGACTTTTCATTGGCTTTTTTCAGCCCTTACTTCATCCGTTATTGCACTTTGTTGTTACAGCTAGCTTTTTAAAAAAAAATGTATTTGTGAATAGACAAAATATTTGCTATAAGAGTTGACATGGATATATGTTTTGTTAATAATGGAAAAAAATGTATTTTTGTATTTCATTATATTGTAGTGCATTGCTTGTAAACTGATGCCTTATTTTGGTGTAACATTTAAATAAAATATATTTTTTGTTACCACGTGAGTGCTGTTTGCAACATGTAAACTCCCTCTCCTTTCCTCTGGGGGGAGACACATCATGACAGCTTCAAGTGACTCCCTGCAGAGAGAGTCAGGTATTATAACTGCAGTGATTTATTTCAGCCTGAATAGATGTGGCACCAAATATGTCTGTAACCTTAAAAACAAATTCTTTAAAGGGTCTCTAATTTCATCAAATTTTAAAAAACAGATTGACAAACTCATGATCTTTGACCTCAGTGTTTGTTAGTGTGATGCAGGCTTGAAAAGACGAACAGAGCCATTTCTCTTAAACCTCATGTAGCCTACTCTAAAAAGCTGGTCTCCTTTCTTGCTGTTCTGGCAGGATGACTGATTGGAGTTCAGTTCAGAGTAGGTGAGGACTGAGACTGTAGTCTGAAGGGCACACACAGCCAGGGCAAATTGATAAATTCATTATAGCTGTCTGGCAGGTAGGATAGATAATATTTAGCGGATACTGTGACCCTCTAAGTTAAACATGCTGTACTGAACTGCTGAGACTGTGCACTGGAGCAACCTGTCTTGATGCATGACTATGTAAAAGCTTTTTCACAAAATAGGGGGTGGGCCAACATGTTAAAGCAGAAATGTGCTCTTTAAGAGTTTCACTATCACACATTCATTTCATGAAAGGGGCACTGCGACAAAGAGGTACTAGCTGACTAATACTAGATGCCACTTAAAAGTTTTTATCTGAAAGATCCCAGCAAAAATCAAACTTTTTAAAAGCATTATAAGTTGATTTTAGAGGATCAGGAAAAGACCTCAGTCAAAGTACCTTACAGTTTAGTAAGATTTGATCGACAGGGGGAGGGACATTATTAGAGAACAGCCAATCCACTGTCTTGAAAAATCTGATTCAAATGATGCTGAATGCTGATTGGTGCTGACCTTTCTTCCACTAAACCCCGCCCACTTAACAATCAGTGAATATGCTCCCACAAAGAAACAAAAAACAAAATTCTTTATGCAGCTCTTTACTCTGAATATAAATACAGTTGATGTGTTTTTGTAGTGAGATCAGGGTATACAAAAGTCTCATTTTAGATTTGTTTTGGCCCCGCTCTCACTATTGTGGTTGATATCAGTTTAGCAGTGGAGCAGCATTACCCCCATATATGTATATATACAGGGCTCTCAAGTCTCACGCATTCAGCGTGTGATACACGCATTCCCACCCGTTCACACGCTCACACGCCACACATTGTATTTCTCACGCATTTAAATGAACATGGTGATGTCCACCAAGTTGCACCTCTTTAACTATGGAACAGGTAGGAATCAACTGAGTTCCTCCGAGAGTTCAGAAGCTGCGTGCCACGCCAAGCCAATCAAATAAAGTATATCTACTGAACAGCCAATAAAAAAGCAGCATTGCTGTATCCGGGTAGATTTTGATATCTTACGGTTTGACTACAGAAGAAGACAGACACTCGCCGAAATAGAGCAGGTTTTTATAAGGACGAGATAGACCCGATGATTACAGTAAGTCAGTAACCTACACATGCAGAGACCTCAACACCTCATGGCATACAAACTCATATGATAAACTAAAGCCCTATGCTTTTGCTATTAACAGCTGTATTGAAGGATTTAGCCTCTGTACAGCCATTTCCGGCCATTTTCCCCTCCACAAAAGCAGCATTTCTCATATATCTCAAATATAAGTTCTGATACTCATGACAGTGTTATGCTCATGTACCAAAGGATTAAGTATCTCCATGTTTGTGAAACCTATACTAAAGTAAAATTCATCTAAATGCTCCACAGTGCTGATTTTAACAACTCTCCTTCACAGCAGGTAACTTTACGACTTAATACTTATATATTAATGACTTTATTCTCCCAAATAATAACTTTATTCTTTAAGATTTAAAAACGTTTTTTTTTCTAATTGTGCCCCTTATACTCCGTTGTATTTAAGAGATAATTATACTAATAATTATCTGCAATCACCCCCCCAAGGAAATCTCACTCTAAGCTTAGTTCAAAACTTGAGAGCCCTGTATATATATATATATATATATATATATATATATATATATATATTTGTATGTATGTATCAGTGGCGATTGCTCTAAGACTGCAAGGGAAGCTCGGCTTCCCTTTAAATGTCACCCCCCAAAAAAAAGAAAAAGTGGTGAAATACGTACTGCTGTGTGTACATTTCATTAACTAAATATGCACTAGAAAGCCTTCATCTTTTGTTCAGACACTGTGATAAGAAGCTGATAATTACAGGTTACCGGCATAACTTCGTTCTCATTCATCCTCGCAGCGCCTCAGCGCTTTAAACAGCCGGACGCTGGGCTTCTGCTGACTTCAATGTGGAAGCTACAAGTGGGTTGTTCCAGCAGCGAAACTAGACGCTCATTGGATAAATGCTGGGCTTTGTCCCGCCCATCGGAAGCTTAGCTTCACTGGAGTTCTATGGCGAGAGGGCGGTCCCGACTTTCTCCTGGACTCCAAGCTTCTGCATCCATGATTGGATGAGCTGTCTGAGGCGAAATCCTTTTTTGATTGACAGCTAAACAAGCGAATCAGCGATCTTGAAGAATAAAACATCTACCAGAGCATTTTCCAAGTTATTCATTCCGTTGTTCTTAACTGCTCCGGAGACTTTACCGATCCTCAGCGACTTCTGTCTTTATTAAAAACGACTGCCGTTGTGTTTGGCGACTCTGTTCTGTTACATACTAATAAACAAATACAATTATGATGTAGGCCAGAAAAACGAGCTTCCCCTCATTGAAAGACCAGCAGCCGCCACTGCTATGTATGTATATGGAACAGGTAAGGATATTCTATAGTGCATTAGTAGAATTGTAGTAAATCTCACTCATTAACTATGGTCTCAAATAGTTTACATCTTATGCTTATGACAAAATACATCATTAGATACTGGATAAGAATAGATTTAAAAAGCTATGTTCCCATGGAAGTTTAAACACTTTAATTATACAAAAATGAAGGCCAAGTTAACTTTGTAAACAACCTTTTTTCCACTGTTTTGTTGTTCAAACTTCTGGCAACTACTCACGCAGTCACTCGTGTTTGTGGCAGGTGTGAGGTGTGAGCTGCATCAGTGACGTCTGAAGGGAGGAAATTAGGCGTTGAGGTGAGAGAGCAGAAATCTTTCATCTGTTTACCTCAAACAGCCACCTACGCAGAAGCAGTGGTGTTGTGCAGTAAGAAAAACTCAAAATCCTGTGCACAGAAACACACATTCTGTGTCTATTCCTCATGTTTGGGGCGAAACCTCAACATTACACCGCACTAACCTTTGCAAATCTCCTTGCAGCATGTGCACATGTTCAAAGAGGCACGTGCTCATAAACACATTCAAACTTTAAAACCAGACTTTACAGCTGCTTTTTAAGTCCCTTGAAGATTTCTGAGATCCCCTCTTCACAACATTTCACTGTTTCTCTTTTTTCTTGCAAGGTAAACAAACAAAGTTATTGCTGGTTGTGTATTTGTGTGAGTTCCCCTCTTGAATTCCTGCACCTTTACAGTTCAGTGCAGGGGGCAGGCCTCCGTCATCATGGGTGCTGGCAGAGCTCCAGGTTGAGTTCCCGATGAAAAAGCGAAGGCAAATTCCAGCCTTTATTAGCTCAAGGCTGAGAAACATTTCTTGTATCACATTTGACATGACAGGGCTGATCACTTCCATGCTGCTCCATCTCTCTTTACAACAACGCGTTCTTTCCTCTGCTCTAAGTGAGCTACGAAGGGTTAATAGAGGCTGTGTGTAGACGTGGCTGTGCCCTCAATAATTACCTCAATGGTTTTGCCTGCAGGTGTTCGGCAGGCAGCTAATAATGTGGTGTGTATGGAGAGGGAAGGCAGCAGGTGAGGCACAGGGACACTATCAGTGCAGTGACAATGTGATAGCAGAGGAATAAACTTCACAGACGATCAGTGTTTTGTTTAAAAATGCAAAAGAGTCAGTATTTCATTTTCATTAAAGAGGAAAAACTGCCTACCCCGAGAACAGCACCCTCTGGTGACGGGCTGCAGTATAGGTCATAAATCCCGCCTCCGCCAGCAATCCCTATGGAGCTGTGGACAAACTTTAAAAATTTATTACACAGGACATAATTTTTTCCCCCCTGCTTGTGATGTTGACATGTAGTTATTGTCAGACTGGTTTGTGCTCAAGTCCTCTTTTTTCTGTACAGCTCTGTTTTTAAAAGTTATTAGGGGGTTTCATATTTTTTTATGATTGACACTTGATACAGCCTATGGGCGTACAAAGATTGTGTAGCTCACCTGGGGGATACACTGTTTGAGTCGAGCATCATCACAGCGACTCCTGGCAAATCTTCCGCCCAATTTATTCAATGCTGCTGCGCAAGTGGTGGAGTGCGTACAACGCTACTGCGCAATGTTGGTTTCAGGAAGTGGAGAAAAAACACAGAATTACCAAGAGCTTTTTGGCTTCAAATCCGTATACTGGTGGAAGGCGGAGCCAAGTTGTCCATAGTATATATAGTCTATGGTTTTGACTTGGTGGCCCATAAGGGGAAACATGCTGCCATGGCTAAAATTGACTCCATTAAAAAATGCTGCACATTTAGTATGATACTTATTCAAACGTACATATCAACCAGACTCTCTTTGGGAAATATTTACAACAAATTATTTTTGTGTTTACAGGACAGTTTTGTATTGCAGACATATGCATGTAATAAGATTACATAATGTATCTAAATGTGGACTAGACATGGGTTTACTGAAGTAAAAGTAGAACAAAAATATGTCTAATGTAAAGGTTTGCAGTGAAAAGACACTTTTTGACTCTTCAGAGGAAAAATCCAGACATCAGAGAGCCAAGAAGGGTCGATCACTGTGCTCACAGAGATGTATGAGCTGGGGTTAAAAAGAAAACACTTACAATTCAATAAATGCCTGAAATTACAGGAATGTTCTGACTTAGATGATGGGGGAGATTTTCATTCCAGCCTTTGTTACA